TTAGTCAACTCAAATTAATGTAATAAGATTTAATACATAAACTTAAACATAAGTTCATAAGCAAAAATTAAATGATTTATATACTCTTTGATTTATCAAATAAAATCTTGTTTCCTCATACTATAAATTCTAAGTTTCTTCCTATACCCGAAACCATCCCAAGCATCTAAGTCTAAAACAAAACCAAAAAGAAAAGGTAGAAAAAAAGATGGCAAGCAAAACTTTTCTCTCAATCTCTTTAATTGTTTCCCTTTGTGTTGCCATTTTTGTCACTCAAGGAGTAGCTCATATGCAAACACCACCAACGGTTCCAGGAATTTTCCTACCTGGCTCACCCATTGATCTTGTAAATGTTGGTCGTCTCTCTTCAATGTTGAAGGATGTGTGCTCGAGATCGCCAAATCAATTTTCTCTGGAAAATTCGAAAATGTCGAAGCCGCATGTTGCAAGGCGTTTTCGACCTTGGATGCCAACTGTTGGCCCCATATGTTTCCGTTGAATCCGTTCTTCCCTCCTCTCCTCAAGGATAACTGCGCACGCATTGTCCCCAACTCCCCTACTCACAACTAAGAGCAAGAATGATTGTTGATCTACATTTTTAAAATTAGTTGTTAGCTCCAAAGTCTAATAAGTTTCAATGTTAATTTTCTTAGCAAAATGTGAACTCGTATCTTCGAAGAGCTCTTTATATAGGTTTTCTCAATAAAGTTAAAATTCATTTCAAAATTTTCCTCTTTTATAAACTCTTATAAATGTGTCTTGGTGGTTGCACAAAAGAGAAACATTAGAAAATCTTACCTCAAAATTTAATAACCACACGAACCGCATATGGATCCCAAATTTTGGTTATTTCCGGTTTAATTGGTTCAGTTCTGTACCGAAATAGTAGCGAGCGTTTTAACGTTATCCAGAACGAAGCAGAGTAACAAAGAAGGAAGCTTTTGCTAATCATGGCGATACTTTTTCGACCTCCTCCTTCACAATGTAGAAGCTTCTCTCCTTCTGTTTTCAACCACATCTCCGGAGAAATTTCATCACCATCTCGTCTCTCCTTGAAAACTTCCGGCGTCGAAAACTGGGTTTCACGTTTCCAGTCGAAATCTCTCAGTTTGGTGTTCTCTGGAGCTCTCGCTCTCGGTTTATCTTTATCGGGTACGTTTCTTTGTCCCTTATCACTCATAATTGAACAACAGATTCTTTGATTTCAATAACAATGTGTTGCTGAAACAATCTTAAATATCACAAAGTTAGAAGCTTTGTTTACTTAGCAATCTCAAGCTTGTGACTTTAATTACTTGTTGCATTGGCTTATCAAAGTCAGGATTTTGAAATTTCGGACCTAGTCTATTTTTCCACTTGTGTGGAACTATGAACAATGCAGATGAAATTTCTAGATTTTAGTTGTCAATAACTTTGAATCTCTTTCGCAGGCGTGGGATTTGCAGAGGCAAAAGTTGGTGTTAACAAACCAGAATTGTTACCTAAAGAGTTCACTTCTGTCATAGATGTTGCTGGTTTCCTCTCTAATGGTCAGGTATGCATGTATCAGCCATCCATTTTTTGAGGTTTGATTAAAGCACTTTGTTCTTGTTAATGTCATGTGGATTTGTTAGCTTATTCTGTGGTCTTTAGTGTATTTTTGATCTGAATGTTTTCGCTGTCTTTTGGTTTTCTTAATGCTGTTGTTCTTTGTGAATTACAGGAGAAAAGGATTGCTCAAGAAATCGCTAATCTTGAGAAAGATACAGGATTCAAGTTGAGAGTCTTGGCTCAAAACTACCCCGTTACACCCGGTATGATGTATGTTTTGAAAGTAACATACTTGATCTCCATAGGTTTTACTCGATGACATTTCTCTGTGTTTGAAACAGGACTAGCAATCAAAGATTTCTGGCAGGTGGATGATAGCACAATTGTTTTTCGCAGACCCGACATTTGGTAACATCCCAAACCTCATTGTTTTAAGTTCTTGTCAAGAATTGTGGTAGGCCTGATGGGGAACTGATTGTGACAACCGGATTTGAAACAGGGAACATCTTGAATTTCAATGTTGGGGCTACGGTTGATTTAGACATACCTCGTAGTTTCTGGAGTCGATTGGCTGGGAAATACGGCAACATGTTTTACTGGAAAGAGAAGGCAAGAAGGCAATCTAGATTAAAACCGATGATTGCCGCCACTTTTTCTGTTTTTTCTTATGTCTAAACTGTTTACAATTTTTCTTGAAACCAGGGAGAAGATGCATCCATTGAAGCTGCAGTGATGGCGATATCAAGTTGCTTACGAGAACCAGTTGGTCCAAATAACTGTGCAGAGATCCAATAAAGTATATGACCCCATAAAACGTATATGTTATTATCATTGTATAGATTGGCATCAAAGAGAGACAGAATATGTAAGAATGAATCCACGTCTTGTAACCTCTCTCCATTTTTCAACTTCACATCCTTAAACAACCACTGTTTCCTTCCGATCTTCTAGAAATGCCAAGTTCAAGCTTCTGAGCTTGATGGCGGATATGGCGTGAGCTAAGAACAGAGCATGAAAACAGAGTTTATGAATCTGCATTGTGTTTTGTGTTTCTCTAGTTGTTGGTTCAAGTGAGAGTAAGCAATATTGAAGTTGATACTTTCGTAGTTTAACATAAGCATCGAGTTTGAATTTTCAAATGGAGAAACAAAATGCTTTTTTATTGAAATTGAATGGAATTGTGACAGAAAGTGAATTTGAAAACACCAAAGTGAACTATGTTTCCTTTAACTAGACCAGTTTCAATTGGTACTTGTATCTCTTAAAAGTTAAAACAAACAAGTAGAGAAACCAAAATCAATAAACTGGAATAAGATATTTCAAGCTTGTAATAGAGAAACCAGACTGATGTTGAGAAAGAAAATTATAACTTGCACATGTTCTGTTTCAATTGAACAATAACACACCGCATTTTACATTAGTCAACTCAACTAAGAAAATTCAATACATTAAATCTCTAAATTGAGTTACATTTTGAGACAATAAAATTGATCTGTTACACTTAAAGTTACTGTTTTCATTTACAGAGAAAATCTTGTTTCCTGGTCCTATAAATTCTACCTTTCTTCTTATATCCAAAACCATCCAAACATCTAAACCAAAAAGAAAACAAAACATAAAAAAAGGATTAACAAGAAAGATGGGAAGCAAAACTATTCTCTCAGTCGTTTTGATTGTTTCCCTTTGTGCTGCCATTTTTGTCACTCAAGGAGTAGCTCAAACGCAAACACCGCCAACGGTTCCAGGACTTTTCCCACCTGGCTTACCCATTGATCTTGTAAAATGTTGGTCGTCTCTCTTCAATGTTGAAGGATGTGTGCTCGAAATCTCCAAATCAATTTTCTCTGGAAAATTCGAAAATGTCGAAGGAGCATGTTGCAAGGCGTTTTCGACCTTAGATGCTAACTGTTGGCCACATATGTTTCCGTTGAATCCGTTCTTCCCTCCTCTCCTCAAGGATAGCTGCGCTCGCCTTGTCCCAACTCCCCCTACACACAACTAAGAACAAGAATAATGATCGTTGATCTACACTTTTTAAATTAGTCGTTAGCTTCAAAGTCTAAGTTCTAATGTTAGTTTTTGTTGGCAAAATGTGAACTCATCATATCTTTGGAGAGCTCTATCTATGTAGGTATTCTCAATAAAGTAATTTTTTTTCCAATATTCATTCTAAATTTTCCTAATTTATAACTCTTATATACACGGCCGTCCAGATACACAATATGTATCATGTTGAACTAAACCCTATAGTCATGCCGTGTCAGTGAATTAAAGTCAAAACCCTAAATTGTTCTCTGCAAGTTGGAGAAGAAGTATAAGAAACCTGATCAACGGTTATTTCGTCTCGTTGATTCCGTCAATGTCTTCCCTGGAAAAGAAGAGGAAGAGGAAGACAACGACTAAGACGAATAAGAAAAAGCCATCTCCAAATCCATCACTTCCCGCTGATTTGCTAATAAGCATCTTCGCACGTGTCTCAAGATTGTACTATCCGACTCTCTCCTTAGTCTCCAAGAGCTTTCGATCTCTCCTAACTTCACCGGAGCTTTATAAGGCTCGGTCACCCTCGGGCCAAACCGAGTGTTGTTGTCTCTACGTGTGTTTACGGTTCAAGCCTTATTCGAATTCCACCTGGTTCACCCTCTGTCGGAAACCTGATCAAACCCTAACCACTGAGACCACTAAGAACAAGTCAAGTGGTTATGTTTTGGCCAAAGTCCCAATTCCTCCTTCTCCTCGTGCACATTTTTCGAGTCTTGTCGCGGTTGGTTCTAATATCTACAACATTGGAGTTTCCAAATCCATCTACCAACCATCCTCTAGCGTCTCTATTCTGGATTGCCGGACTCACACGTGGCGCGAAGCTCCAAGCTTGCGGGTGGTGCCAATGTCACTTTCTGCTAGCGTACTTGATGGAAAGATATATGTAGCAGGAAGCTACAAAGATGACTATGGCGATTCCGGTTCTTGGAAAAACTTGTTCGAGGTGTTTGACACTAAAACACAAATTTGGGATCCTGATCCCATCCCTTGCAGCGAGACTACATGCAACTTTCTTAACTGCAAAACCGCATGTATTGATGGAAAGTTCTATGTGGTGAGTGACGTGATTTACAGAGATGTGTGTGCTTACGAATCCAAGGAAGGTAGATGGGACTTGGTTGGACTTGGATCATATATGGAACATCATTTGTTTTTAGATTCTTGTTGTGATATAGACAACATTTGGTACTTTGTTTTTCAGGGAAGGTTTATATGGTATGATACTAAGGAACTACAGTGGAGATATTTGAAGGGTTTGGTAGGACTACCTAAGTTCCCTCCTAGTGCTCGTATTAGATTGGCTAATCATAGTGGAAAGATAGCGGTTTTTTGGGACGATGTGTTGCCTTGTAATGGCGGCGATAATAAGAAGATGATTTGGTGTGCAGAGATTGCGCTTAAAAAACGCAAAAGTTATGAAATTTGGGGGAAAGTTGAGTGGTTTGATCATGTGCTCACAGTCCCTATAACCTGTGTTTTCGAGAAGGTTCTTGCTGTTACTGTTTGATGAGTGCGTCACAAGGCTTGAACGTGTGTTCTTTTGGGTAATTAAATTTGACCAAACAGAATTGCAAATTTGTATTTATTATATCTAGTTGTGATTTGACTTGCTATTGTCCCACCATACCACCTTGAATCTGGTTTAGCTACCTTAAATGGTGTTAAGAGTTGAGACTTAAATCAATAAACACTGGAATGAGGTATTTCAAGTTTGTAATCATAAAGAAATCAAACTGACGTTAGGTCAAAAGGAAATTATAACTTTAACATCCTCTGTTTCAAAACTTAAACAAGAACACACCATATTTACATTAGTCTACTCAACTTTAATGTAGAGAAAATATATATTAAATCTAAACATGAGTTACATTTTGAAACAAAATTGAAGATTGATCTGTTACACTTGGAGTTACTTTTCGATTTATCAAAGAAAATCTTGTTTCCTGATCCTATAAATTCTAAACTTACTTCCTATATCCAAAACCATCTAAACCTAAACCAAAAGAAAACAAAACATAAAAAAGGATTAACAAGCAAGATGGGAAGCAAAACTGTTGTCTCAAGCTTCTTAATGGTTTCCCTTTGTGTTGCCATTTTTGTCACTCAAGGTCAAGGAGTAGCTCATACGCAAACACAGCCAACGGTTCCAGGACTTTTCCCACCTGGCTCACCCATTGATCTTGTAAAATGTTGGTCGTCTCTCTTCAATGTTGAAGGATGTGTGCTCGAGATCGCCAAATCAATTTTCTCTGGAAAATTCGAAAATGTCGAAGCCGCATGTTGTAAGGCGTTTTTGACCTTAGATACCAACTGTTGGCCACAAATGTTTCCGTTGAATCCGTTCTTCCCTCCTCTCCTCAAGGATATCTGCGCTCGCATTGTCCCCAATTCCCCTGCAAGGAATTGAAAGCAAGAATGATTGTTGATCTACACTTTTAAATTAGTCGTTAGCTTCAGAGTAATAATCTTTTTAATGTTAAATTTTTGTTGGCTTTATGAGAGCTCTATATAGGTTTTCTCAATAAAGTAGCAATATTCATCCAAAATTTTACTTATTTATAACTCTTATCAATGTGTCTTTGTCATATATATATGAGTAGTATAAACACAAATAATTTTGAGTTCCTTAAAACAGAGAAAAAGATAGGATAGATTAACATAGGAAATTTTATTTAAGAGTACTGTGTTTAAACAAAACTTAAATACAGTACTGTGTTTCTTGTCTTTTGGGTACAAAATTTTCCAAATCAGGCTGGTATGATCATATCACATACGTCTCCAAGCTAAAATTCTCTACAAATCTCTTACTTTTCTCAGTAGGAAGATAATGCAAACCAAGTTCTATTGATTCTTCTTAGTAGTGGGAGTGAACGATGCAGAGCTCTGAGTGAACGATTAGAGCTCTGAATCTGATCATCTTTAGAAGTTTTGATTATAAACAGAAGGTGTTTCCACAAGCATCGCCAAAACTATCCAATAATCCCACCAGCAGCACTCTAAAGGAAAAGAAAAAAAAACACAAATCCAAATCACTCATGATTCACAAAAATCCACTTAACGGGTTTCCAGAATTTGACAAAATGAGAATACACAAACATACCAGAGCGGGGTTGCGGTTGTTAATAAAAGCTCTGAAGGAAAGCGTATCAACCAAATATCCAGTGAACATGGTAAGACCAACATGTAAACCTATAAAAGTGAGTTTGCAAGAAAAACGAAAATCTTCAGCGACCTATGTGTAATACATTTTCAAGAAAAAAGTAACCGAGGCGAACATGCTTACCGAAACCGAGCTGGTCTTTGGTACGGACGACAACGGCTCTTCGACTTGTTTCTTGGGTGTTATATCTTTAACAAGTTCAGCATATTCCTTCCTCTCTGCTATTTCTCTGAGCTTTAGCAATCTCAATTTCAGTTCTTCGGTCTACCAAGAGAAAAAATCAGATCAAATTAAACATGGCGAGACAAGAAGACGTTTAAACATAGTTAGGGAAACTTCATACAAAGGAAACCAGAAGCATCCTTGAATTACACTCAATAGAACCGCGGAGACGTTTCTTCGAATATTGATAAATTCTTCCAATCAACCAACAGAATGTGTCATTTTCCATGAATTTCCATATTTGAGTATAAATCAAACAAAAACTACAATACACAATTTCCATAATTTCTTTCAACTACCAAAAGACAATCTCTTTTGTTGCTGGATGTTCGAGCACAATCAGTCTCAAGCTATATTAATAATCTCCTTCAATGGATACTATTAGCAGCAGAAACAAAATCTAATTAGGTCAAATTTCTCCGCATTCTAGATTGAATGAGCCTGAGCGGAAATTCCCCAGAAAAGAAAATTTGAAAGAGGATTTGATGTAGAATTTGAGGGTCGTGTACCTTTTCTCTGGGTTTGGGACTGGTGAAGACGAAATCGGAGCCGGAGCAAAGTCCCAACAATCCGGTCTGGTCGATGGATCGGATCCGGTCCATAGAGCGCGGAGCACTCTGTACGGAACGGTGTTCTTCGAGCGAAGATCGGTAGCAATTTCTCTGAGTTCTTCGGAGAGATGACGATCTCCGGAGGCGAGGGCGAGAAACGACCGTATCGGTTCAGTGGCGGAGAGAAATCAGACCAGCGCCATTTTTCGGGTCGGGTTGATCCATATTTGATCGGGTCCTAACACTTGACGTTGATCAGGCGGGTCGGTTTTCCGCGATGTTTTTTAAGCAACGTCCAAACCATATTTTTGGATTAGGTCCTATACTTTATGACACTCACATATTACACCTGATTCACGCTCGCTCCCATTTTTTTTGAATATATGAGTAGAATTAAATAATTTATTAAAGATGTGCTCTATTTTTTAGTTACAAATGCATAAATTTACGTTGTGAATTTTGTGATACAGACATGATTTTCAAAAGATAGATTTTTTAAGGTGTAAGTAATACTGTAATAAATTCAAAAATTACACTGAAAATTTAAACCTGAGAATTAAACAAGTATTAGTTTTCCAAAAATACATATACTCCATCCGTTTCAGTTTAATTGTCGTTTTAGGATTTAAATTTTGTTTCATAATAGTTGTCGTTTTAGGTTTTCAATGCAAATGTTTGGTGAAAATTTCAGTTTTATCCCTACTGTTTTAATGTTTTGGCCAATGAATTTTTTTATAAAATATATTAATAAAGGGTAAAACAGAAATTAAATGCTTTTCTTAATTTGTGTGAAAAACCTTAAACGACAACTAAAACGAAACGGAGGGAGTATTTGGTTAAATAGTGAAACAGTAAAAAATTTAAAAAAATCTAGGGGATAATTTGATTTAAGCTTTACGTTCAATTATTTTGTTCAAATATTAAGTGCAGGTAAGATAGAATCCCTGTTCTAAAAATCTCCGCCTAATCCGATTACTCCGCGCTTAATCGCTAGGCCCACTCTATCCGCCTCGATTAATGACTAATCCCCTAAAGAAATCAGGTATCCGATTACTCTCAGCCTAATCCGATTACTCTCCGCCTAATCTTACATATCCCGATTATTTTTAGATTCCAAGTATAAAAAAAAACTTTTTATTCTTGTTATTCAATCATTTAAATTGGGAGTTTGTGATGTTTTACAATAAATTATGTTCAAACTTTAATAAAAATCATAAATTTGTAATAAAAATCATAAAAATTTGTCTCAAAAATATAGTTTTATATGTTTACTGTAATTATGAAAACAATATTAGATTAATATGTTTTAAAAAATATTAAATAATTCCAAAACTAATCTCCGATTAATCCTCGATTTTAATCCAATTTTCCAATTAATCGTTAGGGCCATACCGAACGCGCGACTAGCGTCTAGCAATTTTCAAACGAGGGATAGAATGAATAGATTAAAGTTTTAGCACATCGGTAAAATCGTTGCTATTTTTTTCAATAAAGTTCGATTTCTTTTTACAGTAAACAAAAAACAAGAATCTTATCCGACGTGGCAATATTTGATACGTGGCGTTACCCTAGCACGTGTGAATTACTCGAATCACAGCTACGAAAGCTTAGTGTGGGGTATTATCGTAAATTTAAAATTAAAAAGTGAGTCAGCAGTAATAAACTAATAACATTCTTCTATTGGGCTGTACCTATCTTTTTTCCCTTCGTCTTCTCCAATAATGGATCACCATTTCTGTTATTTTCCCTAGAAAATTCCGCAAACCCTAGAAAAAAAAAGAGAGAGAAAGAAAGATAAAAAATCTCCATTGAAACAGATTGCATCAAGCGAGGGAAAGAGATCATGTATTTCTAATACAGAGAGAAATCCTCTGATCTCCTCTCTGATTCGATCGAGATCGCAGCATTTCCCTAATGAAATAAACCTAACGATCTCTGTTTCTTTTCCTCTTTGAATTTTGCTTCGATCTCCATATAAGAATGATTTCAAATCCAAGTTTATTGTCATACACTTGCATTGCGAAAGGAACCGTAATTCTCGCCGAGTTCGTTTCAAGGCAAGAGCCAGGAATCGAAGCTATAGCTTTAAGATGCATCGAGAATACGCCTCCTCATCATTCAATGTTCTCTCATACAGTTCACAAGAAGACATACACATTCGCAATCGACGATGATTCCTTTGTTTCTTTCGCGATTTCTGATGAAACTATGGAGAACCTGAATCATTCTGGGTTTTGAATCGTTTGAGATCAGCTATTGAAGATCTGGTTAATGACGGTGGATCTGATGTTGAAACGTTGATTAATCCGGTTTCGCATTGTCTTCAATTGAAGCTTGATCCAATTTTCGCTGAGATTGTTGGTGTTGTTGATTTGAATTGGATATGGATTTGGTTGGATCACCGAGGAGTGTAGCGAGAGAGAGTCGGAATCCGAGTATTGATTCGTCTAAAGGAAGAAGAGCTGCTTTGATGCCACTTTTGGGGAAGCCATTGAAAGCGTTGAAGAAGAAGAAGAGATTGCATAATGAAGGAAAAGGAGAAGATTCGTGTGAGGTTGGTTCGATTCAGGAGATATCAGAGAAGAATGTTGATTTATGTGGGAATGGTAACAATGGAGTCTTACGCAAGGAACTGAGAAATGGTTTGTTGAGTGATCATCATCATAGACAAAAGGCGAAACAGATATGGAAGAAACATGTTTGGGTTGTGTTGATGTTTGATTTCTGTATCTGTGCTATTCTATTTGGAATCTGGCTTTGGATTTGTGAAGGGTTTCAATGCATTGAAGGGTAAAAAAAAAGTATTCATTCATCAGTTTCTCTCTGTGTACATCTCCAAAATTCATATTGTTTCAATCTGCATCAACGTTGATCATTGACATCTTCTGGGTATTCGTTTTTTGGATCGAATCTGATCCCTTTTCTTTCTTTCTCTGTTTTTGTCAAATTCTTTTTAATCTTCATTATTTTTTAAAGTCACAAAAGTGTTGTTTCCAGGAGGAAACTAGGTATAGGTTGAATCATGGTTTACATGTTAGTGATATGTTCATTGTACTTTGAAAATCATTCACAAGCAAAATGTGTGTTGTGTATCTCTTTTTTTCTCGTTTATCTTTTGCTGTATAATTCCATAAATGGTGCTGTGATTGAACGTGGGTCACACAGGATGGTTTCAGATCCAGTCACACGTTAATATTGTACTAAATATATACTACATTGCATCTATAGTCGGCGTATTTAATAATAATATTCCAAGGAAAAAACACAAAAGTGAAAGCGATACCAGTAGTTAACTTTTATGCTGTAAATCTGTAATAGTCTTAAGGTTTACAGTAGAAAGATGATTACATTACAGACATCATAAGTGCAAGAAGATGTTTTGGAAATAAGAAACAAAAGAGGGATACAGTGTCAAATATGTGTCTCAGTCTCAATCTCTCAGCCACAAGGTGTGAGTTTCTTGTTACCTGCACCACGAGGATTATCATCCTTCCAATCATCGAAAGCTCTAGCTTTCATTACAGCTTCCTGTCTTCATCATCATCTTCTTCGTCCTCTTCCTTTCTTCTCAGAGATTTATCACTGTACCATGAGGTGGTTGCTTCTTCAATGGCTTTTTTCGTCTGCTCTTGCCAATCATTCATTATATTCATCTCTGTTAATCCAGCATCCTCTATGCACATTGTAGGCATCCTGCAAAACAAAAGTTTAATCGCCTTTTTTAATATCAGAAGGGTATAAGATTTGTGATGAGCTTGATTTTGTGTTTACCTGTGACTTGGTTGGAAAACCTGAGCTATCATCCTCTCTCTCTGTGTAGAGAGCGGTCCACCCACGATGCTTGCTGGACCGAATATAAGAGGTTGGTGCTTGTGTTCGTGACCTTCTGATACTGAAGCTCTTCCTTCTAACACATCTTGTGCAAATGTGGCACAAGTGATTGGTTGTGCTGGGTTAGAGTACCGTACCCTCGCAGCAGCGTCTCTGTGCCAGGTTGTTGATGCTCTAATGACATTGAAAAAATTGGAATTTAAAAGTAAAGTACCAAAAGTTTGTCGGTCATCATTTTCCTTGTTGTCTTTGCAAGGCTGATAAAATGAGGAAAATGATAAGATGAGAAACAAACAGAAGTACTGTCGTGATAAAAAAAAAACTTAAACTGCAATGACAAAACTAGAAGCATGCAAACTTTAAGGCTATGCCATTCTTCTAACAGCAATAGAGTTAGCAACCATATTTGCCTCTTTAACCAGATACCTAGGTATTCACTAGGCTTTTTCTGATATGTATTTTGTTTTAAAATAATTTTAAGAAGGAAAAGAGACTTACTTCAAGCGAACGGCTATAGAAAGTCCAAAAGGCACTGCCACTACTATCGTAGCAATCTGGAAAATTAATATTTTGGCGACAAGGTTACAAGAAAAGACCATATAATATTACTGTAGCCATGAAGATAAAGTTCAGCATTCCCGTACCCCAAAACTCAGGGATGTGATCACAAATTCTGTTGCTTCATCAGCAGTAGTGATTCCATAAATAAACATTGGAGTTCCATCTGATTTTTTGCTCCAACCACTAAAGTATCTAGAAATAAAAGGGTTGTTAGGTCCAGGATGGAGCTGGAGATCTTAGATCTGACTGCCGAACATAAGCACAATGGGTACTTGTAAAAGAAGATAGACTTACCGGCCTAATCGAACACTACAGGCAACTGAAGCGAACAAAACGAAGGACCAGCTGGCAGAAATCGCAAGCCATTTCAGGTATCCCTAGTAAAACGAATCACATTTGATATATGAACAAACTAATCGCAAGCCAATCATTCATTATATTCATCTCTATGCACATTGTTGGCATCCTACAAAACCAAGTTTAATCGCTTTTTAAAATCTCTAAAGGGAATAAAATTTGTGATGAGCTTGATTTTGTGTTTACCTGTGACTTGGTTGGAAAACCTGAGCTATCATCCTCTCTCTCTGTGTAGAGAGCGGTCCACCCACGATGCTTGCTGGACCGAATATAAGAGGTTGGTGCTTGTGTTCGTGACCTTCTGATACCGAAGCTCTTCCTTCTAACACATCTTGTGCAAATGTAGCACAAGTGATTGGTTGTGCTGGGTTAGAGTACCGTACCCTCGCAGCAGCGTCTCTGTGCCAGGTTTCAGCTTTCTTTGTACGATCATCAAGAGCATCCCGAGAAAACCCATCCCTCCATCCTGATCAAAAGATCATAACAATTTTCTTCGTTTATATGTTTATCAAGTAGTTGTTAGCACGTAAAACTAACACCGAGGTAAGCTACCTTCAACTGTCTTTCCTTTATTGCAGAGAGCATTTCCTCTTATCTCTTTAGCATTTCCAACAGATCAATAGCCTGTAGCGAAGTTCAATCATAAGATAAAGCCTCAACTCGTGACAAATCATAGGATTCCAATAAATGATTTTTAGACAAACCTTACAAACAGCCAAGTTAATTGAGGAGAGCCAGGCCTGCAGAGGGAAAAGTCATAAGACAAGGCTTGGAAGAAAATGAAATTAGAGAAAGCAGCAAAACAAAAAAGTGGGACAAACCTCTCTCTCTTCTTCGCTGTCATCATCTGGAATATCATCTTCTCCAGATTCAACCGGAGTCGACAAGGCTGCTGCTTTAGTGGAACGTCCACGTCGCTCCTTCCTCTCTTTAATTTCAAGAAGCTTTGCCTCTGCAGCCTTTTGACGTTTGAACCGAGCTATCTATAAAGTACCGTAATCATGAACATGCAGTTCAAAATCCAAAAACCTTAAACTTCATTCTCATCAGAATATAAACAAAAGAAACAGGCTGAGTCTACCTTCAGAGCCTTTCGATCTGCAGGTGCACCGGAACCTCCTCGTGAAGAAGCCTCCAACTCCTCATCCGGAACAAGCTCCATTGCCTCACAGAACGAAAAGAACTCCTAGACACAATAAGACTATACATCAATCTCAAAAAATCAAACTAAATGCTCATTCACTAGCACTAGCATCAAAATGAAGTAACAACCTGCAAACAACGCAGAAAAAAACGTACCTTCAACTTTGCATACGAGGCTTTGACAATTTGAATCCGGTCTTCCTGTATGATTTTCTCCGTCAGGTCCGCAAGATAGTAAGGCACCTATAATCACAAGAAAATATATCCCTCATCACTTTATAGATATGTCAACTCAGAACACAAAATCTCTTATGATCCCCACACAGAGTAAGTTCAATTGAAGAGGCCACAATTCAAAATTAGCTAAAACTAGAAGCTAAAGTTTTTCACTTTCTGATCTTCCACACCAAACTAATAACAAAAGTAGAACACAAACTTACTACTAAAAAAATCCAAACAACAGAGACTGAATTGCATAGAAAGTTACCAAAAGATATTTGAGATTGTTGGTGCTAATATCTTCTTTAGTCTCGTTAGACGAAAACAGCGCCAGCTTCCCGATCATATCTTCGCACTTCTGAAACATCTCACATCCTTTCTTCACAACATCCTAACAAAACCAAAAACAATAGAACAAAGCATTTCCGGATATGCCCAATTCAGTAAACCTCTCGATCTGAAATACCCATTTCAGATACCCCTTAATCGAATTTGAATACTAAATAAAAGTTCGAAGCTTCCACCTGATCAACACCGGACTCTGAAGCAGCAAGATGAATTTTCCTTGCTTGCTCAAATAGCGCCGATAAAGGCATTTCCTCCATAGCTAGACCACCCATCACAGACTAATAAGCAATTTCTCAAAAATCCTCAATGAAAACGAGAATGTGTCACCGAAATCGAGTATCTTCGAGAAGAGGATCGGTGAAGTCTTTGAGATTTTTTTAAGGTTCCAAATCGAAATCTGACTAAGGGAATTTACTGAATTTAACTGCGATGAGCTTTATAAGATACGGTTGAGATCATGCCACGTCAAGTGAAGATGATAATTGAAAATAAATATAAGCCGTTAGATTTGTAGACAACCTCAAACCGACTCAGTTGTAAAAATCCAGTCAAAGATCAGGTGCGGGCGTGTGTAGTGTAAAACCGCACGTAACACGAATCTTGACCCATTGGCAACTCATGATTGGTTTTCTAAACTGCAACCGCCGGGAATGTGGTTGCGCCTATGGTCTGAAACTATGAATTATGAAGAATGTTTGTAGTTTTTAAAATGGATTTTGGTTTTGTGTTTTTTGTTAATTTGAATGGAAATGAAATTTTCCTGATTTTTGTATGTGTTTAAGTAATACCGCACCAGCTGTATAACCAGTTCGGATTGTCCTAGTGCTATTGATTTGACCCACCTATAGCGGTAAACCTAGGAGGAATGGTTGATTCTGATACAGAAGCCAACTCAAATTCTCAAAGAAATCGATAGAGAAAAGAAGAAATAATCGAGCAGATTCGACAAAAATAAATAATCGCGGTTAATCAGCTGGATCCAAAGATTTAGGAACATCCAACAACTCATGAAACGAAAATGAAGAGGTGAACAGATTGAAAAAGAACTTATTATATATATGACTCTCACCCGTTTCATTTAACATAGGGGAAATGAATACAGAACTTAAATGTTAGACTCTAACACTCACACATTTCACACTACATATAGCTTGGAGAGGAAATGAATTGACTGAATTAACTGTACTATGATACATACACAGCACAATAATAACCATTATTTAAGCTCCCACGCACATGCACGCGGAGAACAACAGCCTGCTAAGCATCCAACGCTAGAGCAATGCTTCAGAAAGTGACCTGAAATGAGGATTGTATGTTCAGAGAAGTTACTTGTTAAATAAATAAGATATTCATGTGTGAATTGATCAGGAGATTAGGGAGTGAAAGGTTCTTACAGTAATTGCGCCTATATGGCAAGATACATTTCAGTTACGGTAATATTGGTTGACCGGGTAAGGGTAGCGATTGGCGACTTGGCTGAAAAAGTTTTAAAATATATGAAGTGAGAAATGTGAAGAGTAAAAGTTATCTAAAGTAGTTGAGGATCTTTATGAGCAGAACCTGAGCAATCCCAAAAGACTTGTCGTCACCCATTTTTTCAAGTCAAGCCTGGTGGAAGAACTTAAAAAGCCTGCCAACTCTATTACGATTATCTGACATAGAAGGAACAAAAAGAACGTAATTATCGTTTAGGGATATATATAAGAACAGAAGGAGAAGGTAAATGTTGTGTTCACCCCTACAGAGGACTTACCTGAGAGATGATAGTTGAGGTTATTGTAACGAGAAACATATTCTCTCTAAGGATTTGTTTGAAGGTTTGGTCTACACTTCGGATTTCAAACTCATTAAAAACCTGCATTATTTCAAAAAGACAGAGAATGATCAACATATTCGCATATCAACGCAAATTAAAAGTTTGGGAAAAATCAGACATTACCAGGCAGAAGACGAAGGAATTGAATACAAATGTGTTCATCACTTTTTCCGCATTGCCGGTATGACCATGCTTCAGCTTCAGTAGCTTCTCAGAATTTATGAGTACCAGCGACAGCACTAGGTAAATTACCTGAAGGTATTTCATGACAGAAGCATTATTAGAGGTCTCCAAGTCGGTGTTTTTGTCTTTAATCTAAATAGTTAATCAGTTATTCACCAAGGGATTGTATTTGCTCCTTGAAAACTATGAAGGAGTAAAAGATATTATCGGACATTAACCTCCACATAAAATCAATCAAGAATTTACCCAACATACCTGTATTATCAACTTGGACCACATCGCCTTGGTTATAAGAGGATCTCTGGAAAAAAAAAAGGGAAAAGAAAGGTATGCATATGTACGATCAGTTTGCGTATCTTTACGAAGAACAGATAGTGTGTTTTAACAAGAAGTGCAAAACCAACAGTTTCTTCCAAAACTTCAGCATCAATACAATAATGTCTCTTTCTAAGCAACTATCTTATTAATTAAATCTTATCATTGATCCTATTCAGATTTTGTACCTTATACCAACCGGTGGCTTTCCCATTAAGTGGTGACCAGAACTTGGTCTGTATGCCAACGCTAATGCTCCTAAGATGTCGATAACAAGATTAAGCCACAGAAACTGCATCAGTGAAAAGCAAAACTGGGTTAGGGAAAAGCAAAAACTGGGTTAGGGAAAAGGTTCCCAATCGTGGAAAAGCTGGATTATAAGATGATGAAGTAACAAAGGGATAACATTTAAGAACCTGCACGACGTTAAGTGGAAATGCGTCATAAACTACAACCTCAACCACACAGATAGCCAATGCTGATACACTGACAGTGAGCCGGAATAGGATAGATCTCTGGACATTGGTGTATAGAGATCGAGACCATATGATACACTGCATTATCCAAACAAGCCTCTAATATCTTATCAGAATGATTTAAACGAAATTTAACTGCCAAAAGGTCAACGTTTGCTCATCATTTTTGTATGCATTCTATACGCCGCTACTGCCCAAGTTTGTCATTTCAACCACGCATATAATAAACCAACCTTGACAATCGTAGCAAAATTATCATCTAGTATAATGATATCGGAATTCTCTTTTGCTGCTGCGGTCCCTCCAACTCCCATTGCAAGGCTAACATGAGCCTGTGCAAAGAAAACATGAATCATAGGTTGTAGTGATGATGGATATGTCTTTCTATGTTTACAATTCATATTCTCTTTGACATAGTGCAATAAGTCTTTAGAGTTTTAATATGATAACTACAGACCTCGCGTAGTGTCTTTGGATCATGTATTCCCATCCCAGTGGCTGCAACTATATGCCCTCTTTTCTTCAGTGCTTGGACAAGCAGAAGGTTGTCGTCGGGAGAAGATTGAGCAAACACCTTCATAGAGTAGTGTGTTAGTTTTTGGCTCAATCTAGTTCTTGAACCAGTCGGCTTATATAGACCTATACAAAATTTATGTCAAAATAGCAATCTGACCAACAAAGTAGTTTCCCATTAACACATTGGTGTACAACAAGTTCACTCAGCAAGGTGTCACAGTGGGACAACTGATACTGAATTCAGTTATCTTATCCCATGGTTCCACTCATCGATGTATCATGATGTGCACAGATGAATATATATGTTAAACCATAAATATAGAAGAATGGATTCATACTAAGATGTCTCCGGCGATCTGCTCTCTTTGTGGATCGGTTAGTTCACGAAATTGGGCTCCTGTCCTTATATTACGGCCAGATGCATCTGTCAGTATCCCGCATTCAATTGCTATTGCTTGTGCAGTCAAAACGTCATAGTCCATCACCATGCAAACCTGAAAGTCAACATATTCCACTTAGAAAGTAGACCAATAAAAGGGGTTGACCCAAAGAAAAAAATTTGCTTAAACATATTGTCTTCCGCAACAAATATTAAAGGTATCACTGCATATGATAAAGTACCTAATAGTCAGGTTAACAACTCAGAAAATATTACTATGCCAAACTCAGTTACAGATAACAGAAGTTCAGATCGAGTAGAAAATTTCTCTCCACTAATAAAAGTTCAAAAACTTCAAATGTCATGCTCATGCATGAGGAAGAATGGTAATACAGGCAATAACCAAAAAAAATAACCATGGCACCTTAACACTTCCGGAATTGCACAGTTGGATCGCATCCCTTGTGCCTGGCCGGCAAGGATCCTGCATGTTATTCAAAACATTGGATAAGTAATGATAATGAAAAGAATTCATTGGCTTTGAAGAAAATCGAATCAGATACCAATTCTTATTGATACAAAACTTAAGCTTTAGAATGAGTGCTGGAAATGTACCTTTATACCAATAATAGCCAACAAAACAAGGTTTCGAGGTTCCTTAATGGTTGTTGGAAGACTTTCCAGTTCACAAGGTTGATAAGCAAGTGCTGCACAACGCAATCCTTTGTTGCACATCTCTTCAATTGTTCCTTCAAAAACTAAAGAGAGAATGGACTCTTATATAATAAACCAAACAAGAAATAAGAGTGTATTTTTTAATTAGTCATATAAATTCATAAACAAACCTTTCGTTTCTCATCATCAATGCCTCTGGGGTTATTGGCCCCATCCATATACCTTTCACATGAACTCAGAATAGTTTTTGCAGATCCTTTCCAATGAGCGTGGGCGTGTGCACCAATCTAGAAATAAATAATAAGAAGTAAAAAAAAACTATATAAGAATCAAACATAGCATAAATATGCAGGCAGATTTACAGTCAAACAATTCCGGAATATCTCTGTGTTAAGTGAAAAAATAGATATATATCTATATGTGTGTGTGTGTGCGCGTATATATCTGTTCAACAACAATATAGACAAGGTTACGTTACCTGTAGTGCCACGCCTCCATATTTCTTTTTTGGGCTGAATGGTATAGTATGACGGACTAATGATGCTGACCTAGCATGATTGAATTTCATTCCCAACTACAAAATCGCATAACTAAGTGTCATTAATTATAAACTTAATCGCTATAGCAAGTAGTAACGTAAAATTAGAAAGAAACAAAACCTTATTCCCAAAGCTAAGAATAGCTTGTTCTGTTGGTGATCCATAAAGCTCTGGTTCAGTGACTCCCTATAATTAATTATGAACATACGAAGAAGAATTCATATTAAAATAATCATACTACAGGAATCTAACCAAGTCAACAGTGTGATCCAGGACACAATTACCGTTTCAAAAACAACACTGCCATTTGTGTTTTGGGCAATGCCTTCTATGATTAGTTCTTTAAGAAACGGGGGCAACTGTGAAACATTATCCATATCTTGCATTCTCATTCCTCCAGCCCAGACATCAACCACAGACATCTGCTTAGCAGAAAATAAATGCTTAAAAAGTGGGTACTCAAGAAGAATAAGAGGAAGCAGGAAAGAGCAAATTGCATATAAAAGGAAACATTTGCCTGATTCAAAGTTAAAATTCCAGTTTGATGACACAATATAGTTGTAACAGATCCCATTCTTTCAAATGCAGAGAGTGATTGCACCTGAAAAACATGTACAGAAGTTAAGCACTTGTTGATGCTCTAATGACATTGAAAAAATTGGAATCTAAAAGTAGAGTACCAAAAGTTTGTCGGTCATCATTTTCCTCGTTGTCTTTGCAAGGCTGATAGAATGAGGAAAATAATAAGATAAGAAACAAACAGAAACAATTGTCGTGACAAAAAAAAAACTTAAACTGCAATGACAAAACTAGAAGCATGCATTCTTTAAGGTTATGCTATTCTTCGAACAGCAATAGAGTTTGCAACCATATTTGCCACTTTTACCAGATACCTAGGTATTCACTATGCTTTTTCTGATATGTATTATGTTTAAAACAAATTTTCAAAAGTAAAAGAGACTTACTTCAAGCGAACGGCTATAGAAAGTCCAAAAGGCACTGCCACTACTATCGTAGCAATCTGGAAAATTAATATTTTGGCGACAAGGTTACAAGAAAATACCATATATCATTAATGTAGCCATGAAGATAAAGTTCAGCATTCTCGTACCCCAAAACTCAGTGATGTGATCACAAATTCTGTTGATTCATCAGCAGTGGTGATTCCATAAATAAACATTGGAGTTCCATCTGATTTTTTGCTCCAACCACTAAAGTATCTAGAAATAAAAGGGTTGTTGGGTGCAGGATGGAGCTGGAGATCTTAGATCTGACTGCCGAACAAAAGCACAATGGGTACTTGTAAAAGAAGATAGACTTACCGGCCTAATCGAACACTACAGGCAACTGAAGCGAACAAAACGAAGGACCAGCTGGCAGAAATCGCAAGCCATTTCAGGTATCCCTTGTAAAACGAATCACATTTGATATATGAACAAACTATCATAGGTAGCAAGGAATTAGTAGTCAATAAAACAGACCTGAAAAGGCTTTTCTTCGTCTGTCTCTTGTGGAATCTCCATCTTAAACCCCCATGCAGTGTTCATTCCAACACTTGTAACCTTTAAAACACGGGGAGAGAATAAAGTGAATTAGAAGATCAATGAACCATGTACAGAGAAAGCAAGCTCCAAAGCCAGTCTTCTAATTGATAAAGAAGAATTTTTCACAAGAAATATTGACCGCGCAAGTGTCAAACTGAAGAGTAAAATTGGCGTAATAATCAGAAACTTGCATACACAAACCATAAGAATTTGCAAGTTGCAGAAACACGGAAAAGCTTCCAACAGCATAGGCCTCATCTTTAATAAAAGTAGCTATAATATCATCTATGAGATGGATGTGTCAAGCATAAAACAAAATTAAGAGACGTGGCTCGAGAGCTTACCAGCATTGTACCTATGCCATCTATCAGTTTTGAGCCAGATAACAGGAACGGATTTCTTTGGAGATCTTTTTGAACCTGCTAATTGGAAAGAGAAATTAGAAATACAGGGGAAGTAATGATACAGCTCATCAACAGGGGAACAGCATACATATTCGTCTGAGCCAGTTATTTCTTGCTCGTCAACTATCAATGAGTTTGCAACAAACAGGACACCATCTGCAGGTACCTACAGCATTGACCAAACTTCACACCAGTTGAGCTCAAGATATATAAACCAAACAATGATTACTATTAAAAGTGTGATGCTTACCTGACCACCGTTCTTGAGGGGTACAATATCGCCCACAACAATATCATAATTAGAAACCAAGAATCTTCTGCCACTTCTAATAACCTGCAACCAAAAACGTTCAGCACACATTGTGGGCAAGGGTAACACCATACACAAATGACGAAGACAAGCATCTGCAGGAACACACCTCTAGGTGTACGTTTCTCTTCTCCTTTCTCAAGATTTCAAACTGACGAGACTGCTTGTACTCGATGATAGCTGCAAAATGGGTGACAAACAATATAAATCTGGCTGATTCCATATTCTCTCGTCTGAAGACAAGTTTAAAGTTGGCTAAGCAACTCAAGAATATCAAAGACTGTACAACGATACCTCTCACAATGATGTAAAGAAGAATCGCCAAAATGATGCAAGCTTCTACGTACCATCCATCGAAGATACCCTGCAAATGTCATGAGCGTGAGATATAGAAAATAAGTTCAGACAGAAAACTTGAGAAGAGAGCCACATAATATAAAAAATAAACAAAAACCAAAGCAGCTCTGTTGATTTGGGAGAGAAGAGACCAATGAGACAGAATTGCATAAGTAGATGAATTCCAATTACAGTCAGAGCGAGCAGAAAATGTTAATGTCAAACATGATTACCAAAAAAAAACTCACCTTTGTGTTAACTCGCAGCAGTGAAAGAATTACTTGACCAAGCAAGATAACCAGGAAATGAGAAAGCTTGCAAGCTCTCCAGAGAAAGCACTACAACAACCAATAGAACAAAAAACTGAAACGCTTTCAAACAGATAATTTGTAACTTAAGTAAAAACCAAAACTTTGTTAATCTAATTTGATCATACCCAGAATCTCTTTCCCTTTCTGGAAGGGTATGTATTAGACCCAAAAGTGTTCCTGCGATGCTGTATCTCATCCACACAACGATCTATGCCCGATTTTAGATCAGTCTTGAGCAGAGTTGTTAACCCATGAACCTATGAATCATCAAAATGGTAAATCAGAGGAACGAATTCATTGAATCAAAAGATGAAGTGATTAATCACAAGTGTGCTTGCCCCATTATATCGATTCAAAGCTTCAAGGCTACCACCATCTTTGACAAGTTGAACGAGTTCGTCCAATCCAATCCCAAATCCGCCAGAAGTTGAAGGTTCTGTGCAAAAGAGACATTAGATTTTTCGGTTTAGTTCGGTTTTGGTTTCCGGTTTAATAAAATAGATTCTATAGTCCGGTTAGACGAAGAAAACAAGGAAGTACCGTTTGCTGATTGCTCTGCTTCTTGGTCATCATCATGTTGTACAAGCTTATTACAAATTATTGAATTAAGAAGATCAAGATTAGAGAAAGAAACCAGATCTTATATCTACTAAACTGAGAGAGATAATTTACGCTTACTGATTGGTCATCAGATGTTGTGTTCCTCCTCAACATATCGCTTATCACTCGATAAAACGCCAACGCGCGAGATACTCTCTTCAACGTACCCTGCAGCAAGATTTAAAAATTAGGTTCACCATAAGTAATGACCAATGGTACTGAATCAAACAAGATAAACAGATTTATTCATCGTGCAAGTAATAAACATATACTCTTAAAAAAAAAAAAGGTTCAAGAATCAAACGACGAGATAAAAGGATTCATTCAGCGTGCAAGTAAGAAACGTTTACTTACCCTCCTCCACGAGCTCGGGAGATCAGTAGTAACAAGACCGGCTTCCAAATCGCCTGACTCAGCTTCAGGGACAGAGCCACCACCAAGATCTTCAGGAAGGTGTGGAACGGCAACATCATCATTTGAGTAGCCGCCGGCGGCGGCGAGACCAACCTCTATATCTCCCGGACCTCCTTTGGGATTGGATGGCCTCTTCCAAAACCTGAACATTGACAACTCAAATACTACCATTGAAAACGTACTCTGTTTCGATATGGTTATTGTGTGCGGGACTAGACTGATCTACGGATAATGCGGATCAAAGGAAAGAAATCAAAAACTTTTGAGTGTTTTTTTTTCCGGTGATATTAGAAACGATGTTTTTTGGTGTGTGAAGAGAATGTAAGGGAAGAGATGAGTATTTATAGAAAGAAAGGTGGGTGTCGATGGATTAAAGCAAAAACCGACGGTAAATCTACACCGTACGATTAGGTGATGTCGACGGATAAAAATTAGTTGAATAAAATAAAAGGATATTTTCATTTCTGACTTCGACGGCACTCTCTTGTTCTGGAAGGATATAAGGTTTCTGAAGACTGAAGAGTAAACTATTCGAAAAAAAAAAAAGAGTAAACTATTCGACGTTACTATTTGATGAAGAGTAAACTTTATGATGAATGATGAATGAGATAAAAAGAAACCAGGTCTTATATAAGATCAAGATTAGTGTAGTGTATCGCATAAACAATAGCTCGACTGGTTAAAATGTCTCCATTGCACCAATGCCCAAAGTTCAAGTCTTTTTCTAATTTTTCCTAACTTTTGTTTTCCTTATGAAAAAATTTCCGTAATTGTTTCTTTTATCTTTTATAAACTTCATAATTTTCTTTAGATGTTTTATCCTCGCTATTGGTTTTGATTCATTTCTAAATCTTCTGTTCAGATTTTTTTTTCTTTTTAATTACATGTATCTTTGATACATTGTTTTAGGGGAGAATTGAAAATAAAGGAGGATTATATGATGATTTATCCATATATGCATTCTAAATTTTAGATTGTTGACATATGCTTTCTCAAAATTAAAATCTTATTTTATCCTTAATGTTTTAAAAAAAAATATTCCTTAAATAATTTGATTTGTAATTTAATTTGTTTCCCTAATCTTTTTTTTTTAAAACTGAATTTGTAATTTTTTTTTTTATCATAGTAATTGTGATTGACTTAAGGAGGGGTTATTGGTTCATGGATTTATAAGGAATTAGAAATTCAAACAAAAATCATTTGTTATTCAATCATTGATTTTAAAATCTTAATTAAAATCATGTGTTATTGGTTCTATCATTTATAAATACTAGTTAAAATCCTATGTTATTCGTTTAGTCATTTGTTTTTGGATTTGAGAATCCAAATTATGTTTTAAATGGATTTGAATGGAATTGAAAGAAGAAAATAGAAGGATTCAAATTCATGGGTAAACACATGTTATTTCAAAATCCATATATCTTGATTTCATAATTAATAGAAATTTTCAAATTCTATATGGATTTACAAATTAATAAACCAATAACACAATGCATGTTAATTTCGTGTAGCTACACCATCTCGATTTACGAAATTGCTTGATGAGTCAATACAAAACTGGGGTCGAGAATCGCCACCGCTAAAAATCTACAGGTCGAAAAAAAATGTGAAACAAATATGATTAAGTATTAAAAATTCTTAAATAAACAGAATACAAATTCTAAAATTCGCAGACGTAATCTAAACCAAAATATTCATTATGTTTAATTTCCAATTTTATTTCCTTAATTTTCTTAATTTTTTGTTTTTTTTTTTTAAGAAATTCTAGATTACACCGAAGTTATGTTCCAATTCCCGTAGAATATAAGCAAAAACATAAGAATGTGTTTTCTAATTTTTTTAGACGAAGAGTATATATTAGACAAAATATTCTAATTTTCGTAGAACATAGAGTAAATTATAGAATACGTATTTTAGATTTTATAGAAATTGCGATTCTAATTTTTTCAGAACATAATCCATTTCTAACTTTTCTAGAACATGAATAGTGTATAGAACACATAATCTAAATTTCATATAACATGTTCATTGTATTGAATACGTAGTCTAAACTTCAGAAGACGTATTCTAACCATTTTAGATCGATTTTTATCAATAAAAATGATCACAAAAACCACATATTATCCATATTATATGCTTTCTAATAACTATTTCATCATTATTCACAATTTTTCTTTGAAAAAATTGTTTAAAATTAATAAAAAGGGTAGTTTAGGAATAATTAATTTTCAATTTTAGAATGCATATATGGACAAATGTTCATATAATCCTCCTTTATTTTCAATTCTCCCTTGTTTTAGCAATGCGTGTATAGTCTGGTCTGCTTTGAAAACATTTAAAATCAAATGCTATACTCTAAACATTTCTAATACTTTATGCGACAAAATGATGTTCTGAACTTCTGATATGTGAAAAACGGCTATGGTTACTATATTGTACTATGTATGGTAAAAACAATAAGAAGAACATTCCCGAACGAAAGTATAAGATGAGTGTACCAAGTAAAGATACAAATTGAATCACACGAATATTCGTTTCCTTCCTACGCGTATTTTTCTTGGGAGGTTAAAAGAATACGAAAAGAAATGACCTGGATTTTGTCCCTTTCTAAATGGATATATCTATCTATTATATTTTATGTAGTTACTAGTGTTATACCCGGTGCTACGCACCGAAAAATAATATTCGGTTACATTTTATCTCTATCTATATTAAAAATATTTATGACAATTATTATTGTGTATTTTTTATATATTAACCAAGTAGAAAAAAAGTAGTTGAATGCACATAAAATTATTAAAGATTTATAAATAGTTTCTAACCGTAGAATTCAATGCTGATTTAAAGAATATATACAAAAGTAGTAAAAGAAATTTTTTATTTAGAGAATTAGTAATACAAAGCATAATTTAGATTAATATTCAAGGTGTTAGACACAAAATTTATCCTAATGAGGCTGACTCAATACAGATACTGTGTCTTATGTTTTATTTCATCTTCTAAAGCTATTTCGTGTTCTACTGGATTCCTCGTTCCTCATGTTTTTTTTTTTAATTTCCTCGTTCCTCATTCCTCATTCGTCATTTTTCTTGGTTGTCACTTGTCTACACTCCTCATCTCCGCCTTAGTTTTCCCCGTCTTCATGTTCAGTTTTTTTTCTAGGTTAGCTGCTTTTTTCTAATCATTATCTTCGGGCTCGTCTAATTTATATGTTATTCATTATGTTCTGGTTTCTTCTAATTCACCTGTTAGACAACATTAAGAAGTAAAAAAAAGCCTTAGCAAGCGATGGGAAGAACCCAAAGACACAATAAAAACATGAGAATGCAAAAAAATATTAAAAGTCATATAGATTGATATATAAAAAAAGGAGATATGCTGATAAATGCATATGTTCACTATATATATATATTTACATAAAAAACATTGCAAAAGAAATATTTTCTGGGAGAATTATAGCTCTTGTTCTCATAAAAGGATATACATCTTGCATTTTCAACGCCAATTACAATCACATTCAATCATTAGCAAAGACTTTCAAATAACCAAGGATCTCATATGAAAAAAAGACCATACACGATTTGTATCGCATGAGAACATGGACAAAATTACACCTTCTTCTAATGGTATGAGAACAAAAAAATATTTTGTGATGCTCGTTGGTATTGGTCACTGAATTGTGTTTTATTCTTCCTAAAACAAAGCAGAGAGTTAAAGTGTCTCAGATGCATAGAAGTTGAAAATTTGCTTAAAATATTTAACAAAAAGGAAAGAGATAGAAGAATTAGTGATTACCTTGCATTTCCTTGGCATTTGATTAAACATCTTTCACTCTTTGTCATCTCTGATGTGGCTCACCTAAGTTCATAAGATGAGGATAAACTTTATGAGAATCATGGTGACATAAAAAAATAAGGTTTTTTAGAAAGGATATAAAGTAGGGATGACTGGAAAAAATTACACACAAGATAGAAGTCGCATTAGTCGGACTTGTACGTGCTCGAGGGATATGCGACCAATGGATTGATAACATTTGGCTGATCTCCGGATGTTGCGTTGGCGTCTTTATCATATATAAGAACCGTTGAAAAATCTACCGATGGATTCACAAGGTAATATGGATAGGGAAAGATTAGCCTTAACAATCTCCAATCTCCAGTGGCAGCGATGGCGTAGGAACTCGTCGCCAACGTCAACAGCAGGAATTGGAGGAGGTTGAAGACGTGTTAGAGCTGGAGACGGAGTGGGTCGAGACAACTATCTCTGAGATTTTCTGGAAATATAAGCGATGCTCTAATAGCAACCACGTCGACTGTTGGCGAGAAATTAAAGTTAAAAAATTTTGCGAGATGAAACAAATGAGTTTTCAGTTTACGGTGGGTTAAATTTATAGAAGAAGATGAGACAGTTTCTAGATCGTGAAAACGTGGTGATGGTGTGGGAGAAAATTTAGGGATATTTAAAAAAGTTTTTTTTTTTTTTCTTTTTTGAACGATCAATTTTATTTTAGATTTTTCTTTATGAAATTTAAAATTACAAAAAAAAATCTATGTGGCAAAGTCTTATTGGCCAGGTGACTTGTGCTTTATAGTATAAAGGATTCCAATTCGATGGTTATACTTATATGTATTTGGACTATAAAATAAAACAAATGTATTAACAGTAGTTTCGATAAACTGGATAATAGTGTATGTATTGTAATATATATATATAACTGGATAATATATATATATAATAGTGTATGTATTATATAAAGCAGAAGTCAGTCGGCAATTGTAGTTGCGACATGTGTCATCAACAATTTTTAAATTAATTAATTATTATTTTATTTTCTTTTTCTTTTTCTTTTCTTTTTCTCGAGAACTATTATCTTTTCTTAAATTCTTTATTATACCCACGATTTCTTTTTCAATGTGTCATCTTTTCTTTATTTGATTTAGTTACCTTTGTCGAGAACCAACTTTTACCTTTTTTAAGGCTAAGAAAAAAAACAATCCCACGATCTCTTATTTCCAATCCACGATCCCAAACTAACTTCCGACTCTCATCGGTTTCATCAACTCAGTTTCCTTAAATCCCCATGTATATATATCTCACAATCAATTATAACAATTGTATTAACAGTAGTTTCTCGAGAACTATTATCTTTTCTTAAATTCTTTATTATACCCACGATTTCTTTTTCAATGTGTCATCTTTTCTTTATTTGATTTAGTTACCTTTGTCGAGAACCAACTTTTACCTTTTTTAAGGCTAAGAAAAAAAACAATCCCACGATCTCTTATTTCCAATCCACGATCCCAAACTAACTTCCGACTCTCATCGGTTTCATCAACTCAGTTTCCTTAAATCCCCATGTATATATATCTCACAATCAATTATAACAATTGTTCCTCCATTCATTTTCTTCAATTCACCATCCGTTCTGCAAAAAAAAAAAAAACTGTAGCTACTTTTACGGAATCGTATTTTCTACTTTTACGAGCTCGATCCATTAACACCAACTGTTCTTACTCACCGTTATTTCCATTCAACCATCACCGGTAGTCTTCATCCTCCTATCATAAAGGTGAGTCCAGTTACCTAAGAGCATCTTTATCGGCAGTTCCTTAGTTAGTTCTTAGCATTTATGATGAATTAAATTAAATGCGAAATCACAATTAAAACTAAGAAACGTTTGTTAACTAAGAGACGAAAACATCTCTAAGAGGCGTCCACGTGGCAGCAATGGGTGTGTTTTTTCTTTCTCTCTCTCCGCGATATCCCCAAACAGAGAGAAACCGGAGACGATTTCCCGAAATCAAGCTGGAACGAGCATCCTATCTCATCGAAACTACTGTTAATACATTTGAAAAATTTTCCCGCCAAAAAATTGCGGAATCACTTTTCCCGCAAAAAAAATTTTTTGGCGGGAAAATTTTTTGGCGGGAAAAATTTTACGGGAAAATTTTACAAGGTATTTTAAAGGTTTTTTACAAGGTTTTACAAGTGTTTTGGCGGGAAAAATTGCGGGATCAATTTTCCCGCCAAAAAATATTTTGTATTTTGTAGACCTAATTTTGTTATATTTCCTTATATATTTGTGATATATTTTATTAAAAGAAGGGTAATTTAGTCATTTTGTACATAAAAAGGGGTATTTTTAAAAATGGACAGCCAAAGGGGGCATTTTTGAAAAGGGGTATTGAAAAAGGGGCATTTTTGTGAGTCTCCCTATTCTTTTACAATATAAACATTTTTAAATTTATTTTACTATTTATATAATTTTCAAATGAAGACTTAAGAGTAATTCAGCATGAAATTCTTATCAAAAATATTTTCTCTGTTAATATATTGTGAAGATATGAAAATTATTATATAATAAAATACAAATATTATTGATAAATATTTTTTTTATTTATTTTAAAATAAAAAACGAATTTTAATATTTGTTCCTTTTTTGTTCCATTTTGTTCCTCATCAATTTTGGAGAGGAACATTTTTGTTCTAGTGTTCCTCTTTTGGTGAGGAATGTAGAGGAATGGTGTGGAAAAAATATTACTTGTAAATGGTAAAAATATTGAGGAACAAAGAGGAATATCACATTCCTTCTCATTCTTTTCCTAAACTATGGTTACCAATTGAAGCCAGTATTGGAAAAATATGTTTCTTCAATAAAAAAGAAAGAAAGTGAAGGAAAAACATGTGGAGAGGCCCAACGGGCAACGGTCTGTTGTTTTCTTCGGTTCGTGCTGCCACCACCTCTCTTTCTTTGACTCGACTTTCTTCCCTCTCGTCGCTTTTCCTTATCATTTGGATTCACTAATAGTATTGGTAGATCATTAACAATTATATTTCTCTAGTCGACACTAAATTTATAATAATGATATAACTCACAAATGACTCATAAACACATTCGCAACTCAACACGTCTTCATCTTCCAAATACTTTTCAAGTTGTCGTCACCACAGAATCTACTGATTTCTCTTTTTCTTGTGCCCACCAACTGGCCAAAGCGTGGGGTGTGATTGGTAAAGTAATAGAATAATAAAGATATAAATAGTTTTTTACCAAAAAAAAAAAAAGATATAAATAGTAGTACTATTTGTTTAAAATCCCCAACATTGCAACCGCCTCAACTTTCTCTTTTTCTTTTTAATTTGTTGTTAAATCAGAAAATGAGACTTTTAAGGAAATGAACAAGACAGAGAAAACCATTATTTTATCATAATAATAAAAAATATCACAAAAGTCACGCTAATAACTACTCAAGAGAGTAGTGTATATGTTTATTTAGAGGGAAAAGAACACGAACTTTTATATATATGCATGAAGAGATACAAGAACATTACTATAGTTCAATGTAAGCAATTGTATTCAGGTCCTCTTTCCTCCATTAAGGTACATTTTAATGGTTAGCTTTTTTCTTTGTTTAATAATTAAAAAATTTTCCAATTTTTTTTTAACAAAAATACAATTACTTACTATTATTATCCCATAATAGTCTATCAAAAATCATTTATGAAGTGATAAGCGTAAATGATTATTTTTTTTGTCAATTAGATCTGGAATTTGAAGAGAGGAAGGTGACCTGGAATTTGTCCCTTTCTAAATGGATCCATCTATCTATTATATTTTATATGTCCCCTCAAGAAAAAAGGGAAAAAAAACTTTTGAGTGAGATCAAAACGATGTTTTCTCCTGTTCGTGACGCCACCACCTCTCTTTCTTTGACTTGACTTTCTTCTCTCCACGCTTTTCCTTTTCTTTTCGTTTTTTCTTTTTTTCATTTGAAGATATATTGATAGATCAAGGTGGGTTACAAAGTGATTTGGGAAAAGTCGATACACTATAACTATACAAACCCTGAGACTACTAAACTCTTATACAACACATTACCACGAGACAAGACTCTGGCCTTTACAAAAGAAATAAGGGTCACAAAAGCCCAAAAAACCAACCCACAATTCGACAATCACATAGAGCACATAACTCTCTCATTACCGAACAAACCTGCTAACCAAATAGGAAAGCCCCTGGCCACTAATGGTACTATTGGTATATCATTCATAATTGTATTTAAAAACTACATTTATAATTATATAAACTCACAAGTGACTCATAAACACATTCTCAACTCAACAACCCATCTTCCAATACTTGTCAAGTTGTCGTCACCACAGAATCTACTGATTTATCTTTTTCTTGTGTGCAACCAAAAGTCCAACGTGTGGGATGTGATTGGTAAAGTAATAGCTAGAATAATAAAGTAATAAATTTGTCTTCTTTGAGAGGACAAAGCCGCGTGAGTTGAAAAAAGAATCAATAAAGATAAAGAGAACATTAGTCTATCACCTTTTTGAACCATGTTACGATCACTCTCTATTGAATCTGTTAGCAGATGCACATAAAACAAAAGTAACAAATGTATTTAACCAACTTTATCATTTTACAAATTTGAAGCAATCACAAGTACAAATGATTATCACAACATGTCAACATGTATTTTTCACAAATTTCGTTTCATCGAAGTGCTCACATGATTGTCCAAGATCTGATGGAACTTCCATATGATTTGTGTTTCTTACACAATTTTTTTACTAGAGAAGAAGGTTTATGATGAAGGTTATATAAGAAAACACAATTCTCCTTAAATTAATTAGTACTGTACAATAATTAAGAATACAACGCTAATTCATTTTGGACCTAAAACAACCATCCCAAATAACATTGAAATATCTAAAAATGACATCGCAGTCCAGAGCTAACATTTTGCCTTATTATAATTAAAAAAAAAAAAAGGAATTAAGAAGTAGCTGATCTTAATTACTGTCGTCAATATTAATGTTTCCTTTTGCTACATATATTTTGCAAAATCTATCTTTTGGATTTGTTAACATAGTTTTTATGTTCCATATATAACAAAACAAAGGAAGAACAACAGACATGAACCATCGACAAAGGTTGGAGCGGCTTTGGAGACTGTATAGGCAAACCCTCTCGATCAACTCGCGTTACTTACTAATTTACTACTCCCTCTGTTTTTTAAAAGTTGTCGTTTTAACTGTATTTGGACAAATTAAGAAAAGGTATACAATGACTATATTAACCTCATAAAAATGACAAGTAATTATTTACAAATAATTTGTGTTCAATAAAATGAGGGTAATTTGGGTAGTTATTGGGATAAATTACATTATTACCTTAAAACGACAACTAATTTAAAACAAAAAAAAAGCTCTAAAACGACAACTATTCGAAAACGGAGGGAGTATTAATAATAGGTGTAAGGAATTAGGAATCTCATGCTTCTAATGGTTGTTGAGGTTTTCATGTGATATTAATACTAATATAGTATGGGTTGTTGTGGATAAAGGGAGAAAGAGTGAATTGGTGGAGAAGGTGTTTCTTGGTATTAAGTGTATAGACTTGCAAGATTTGCCTTCACTTGTTAGTTCTTGCTTCGAAAGGTTTTTGCAAGAGGGAAGTGATTGGAGGTGTTGTTGGTTTCTTTGGGTCTAAAGCTGAGACGAAAGTAGCTTCCGTTGTTAGACAGATAGAAGGAACCGTTCTTCTTCATGTGAATTTCGCAGTGAAGCAGGATCCTTCAGTGGGGCAAGAGGTTGTGGCTTTAGTCAAATCCGATCTTAGGGTTTTCAATCATTTTACAGTCGCGGTTCTGTTTTCGGTTGCTAGAGTCAGAAAATTTGGTGAGAACTCCTTGGGGATTTTGAGAACAGCTTTGCTTACTGCGTACAATGATTATAGACTCTCCAAGTAAGTAGAGTAGCAAACGGAATGGTTTAGGAATACATTCTCTTACATGTTGTAGTCTGTAGGATACACATTTTACCAATGTTTTTGTCAATGATGTCCAGAGATTGCAAGTGGCTACCTGATGAGCTGAAGGAAGAGAGTTTCATGCATGCCAAATTGGTTGAAAAATCTTTACTAAGAGCGGTATGTTACCCTGCTTCTTTGTTTTTGGGGTTTTTAGACCTGTCAATCGTACCAGGACAATATTGCGAGAAGATTAAGCAATATATTTTCTTATATTTTGTTAGGTTAGTGAGCGCAGTTATGGGAGGGAGCATGTGGTTCCAAGTGTTATTCAGTTTGGCTTTATGTTGCTAGAATCTGTTGAAGGTAGATCCAATGAGCTAGTTTGGTGATTCAAAAGGTGTACTGGGTATTGAGAAGCTTAGCATTCAGATTCTGGGAACCCTTTTTGAAGTCCATGATATGACAAGAAACGAGGTTAATAACTGTTTGATTACTGATGCCTTAATTTTGTTGATGCTTTTTAGACTGACATTCAAACTTTTATGCTAGTTCTTTGCATCCGTAACTTTACAAAACTTAGTTGAGTGACACTCAAATTTTGCAGATAATTGAGCAATGCAAGTTTCGCATTCTTTCTTTGAAATGCGCAAAGAGCAAGCCAATAGTAAGGTCAGTAACACTTAATGGGTAGTTTTTTCAACCATTTTTCAATTTGCTGAGGACGTTGAGTTCGTAGGTTGTTAGGGTATCTTGTTCAGAGACACTCACTTATCATGTTGGAATTTGTCCACCATCTCAAAGAGTTATTGGATTATTTCACTTTCATGGAGGGAAATATCAGCTGTTTTCTTGTTTCTGCTGTTATCCCGCTCATCAAATTCAGCCGTGAACTTCAGGTAAAATATATACTCTCTCCTGCCCATCTGCTGCTGCTTGGAGTGTTTCATCGTTTAGAATTTATAATACTCATCTATTTGTATGCATTTTTCTTATCTATGGAATTGGGAAAAAGAAACGAGTCTTTCATGCAAAGACCTCAGATTAAATTTAACTTGATGATGCAGGACTATACCATCTTGGTGATTCGCAAGCCTATGTTTTAGACGGGAAGATAATGTTCGAGTTGCAGCAACCAAAGTAATAATTGATCTGATACTTGCAGAGAAACAAGCTAAGAGAGACAGCTCATTTACTTTCCAAGACTCAGCAAGCCAAGCAAGTTCCAGTCAGCAGACTGAGATGAGCTCTATTGTGAGGGGAAACCTCTTTATTGAACTGAATGGATTGCTTCAAAGATGTCTTTACCAGCAGGTGTCTTTTTCGTTCTTGTGATGGAAAGTTTCTTTCAAGAGAATGAAATTCTTCTTAGAGCTCTTTGGTTCCTAAATGTAGGCAAAAGTGAAGGAAGTAGTTTGTGATGGGCTTGTGAAGTTAGTCCTGATTGATCCATTAAGTGGAGGACATGTGTTGGACTTTCTTATGCCTCACTTTTTTCGCATAAGAAAGTCCAACACATGTGAGGCATAAGAAGAGAAATACAAGATGGAGATAACTGTCAAATGCTTCATTTTCTTGCCACACTAAGAATGACTCTTCGGTTTGGCTTGATGAAGCAGGAAAAAACAAAATTTACAGGGAAGAGCCGCTGCGAGATTTTTTCAACTTTTATTGTTGATAGACAACTTAAATACATGTTTTGACAACTTGTGATTATGCTGGCAGGACACAGATTTTCAACTTGGAATCACTTCATGCATTAAAGTAGAAGGTGGAAAATCTATCATTGAAGAGCCCTTGGATAGGCTTCTCTTTTGTGTCTCTTGGATTTTACTCCTCCAGCCGCACAACAGTTCTGATCGGCCTTCCGATGCTGCGTGGCCATCCTTTGGTTTCTCACTTTCACAAGATAATGAGGTATTGCTACAGAAGAACTGGTTTTGTGTTACCTACTAGAGCGTAGTTGTAAATAATAATGCTTGGGTACATTCAAATTTCGTATGGCAGCAGCAGGTAGGAAGAAACGTATCTCATGAAATATACTCCAGTACTTTGGTGAAGATCCGAGGCTTCTTACTAGGCAAGAAGTTAGAGGGTACGTATACAAATGATCGTTGTTAACAAAAATATCGACTTTCTTGCATACCTGAACACGTCTGGTCTTCTGTTACATCTATTTGCTTTCAAGTCTGGTTTGTATAGGTTGTGTGTTAGGCTTAGTCTAAGTTCCAGAAGAGAAATACAAGATGGAGATAGTGAGTCTTAAAACCAAAAGGAGCATCTCACTCATTTAATTTTTCTGTTTATTAAAGTACTTAGCTTCTGATCTTCTTGTTTGCATTTTACAGATATTGTTGGGCAGACTCATGACACAGTTTCCGCATCTCTGCAAGAAGATAAAAGAAAATCCTATTGTTTGATTATATTGGGAATCGTTCAAGTGATCCTAAATTATATTATAGTGAATTTAGAGAAACAGCCAGAAGGGAAAAAGGGTGCTATCAGAAAAGACGTGGGCAAATTGAAACCGAGCAATATTGGCAAGAGAGTACGATTTAGCGCCTGTAATGATACTGATGTGGGAAACACAAGTATCAATGAAGAGCGAGAAAAAGTTCCCTTTTTGGCTACTTCAAGTGTCTACCAGCTATTTCTACTCACTTTCAAACTCCATAGCAGCAAATCCGCTGGTAATCTTTCAGGCTCGGAGGATCATAGCCAGACATCATCAGCCAAGACAGATAAATCAACTTCTGGAGTTCTCTCTTTCACTTTGCATGTTTGTGTTGGACACATAAGATCATCTCTGACCATGAAAGAGGAAAATCCACTTAAACCGTTGGTCTATGGTGACATGAAAATTCTGGGTCCTCCACTGCTACAAGTAGTTTACATGCTAAAGCCAGAGCCACCTTTAGCAACCGGACAGACGAATAAGGAGAAGAAAGGAAGGAAAGATGTTGACAGAAGAAAACAGTGTCTACATCTGGCCATACTTAGCTTGAAAGAGCTGCTCAATATATATTCAAGTGGATCTGGTTTGACGGGCTTACTTGAAGATTTGTTGGCAGTGCCTGCATCTGAGGATGCGACTTTAGAAGAGTATAGGGAAGCTTCAAAAATTGAAGATCCACTTGTAAAGAGTATCGAAATTTTCATGGAGAAAATCATGAAGCCCATGACCACAGAGCTTATCGCGCAAAACTCTAATGATGTAGAGGTAAATTCGTTTAAACTTCCTGCAGTTTCTCTTTAGCTCATTCTTTAACGTATAGGAAGCTAACACTATAATATTCGATTGCATTGTTCAGATTCTTTGTGACATAATGTTAATGCTTGGGAACAATCTACCTGACAAATTCAAACAAAGGCATGGATCATGGGCTCATCATATCTGCAGAAGCTGTGAAACATCTAACACCACTGTAGCAAAGAGCACTGTGAAACTTGCCATCTCTTTTACTACATCCCCTGGTGATCTATGCATAGCCGTGGAATTGGCTAAGGAGTTGCAAAATGTCACCGGTTTAGACAACTCCGATACTGTACAAGTGTCTGAATCATACATGGTCATAAACCAGTCAACAAGTGCTTCTGTAACTTCTTGCATAATGCAATCAATTGATTCAGCAATAGTTGACATGGATTGGGCCACAAAGAAGCTAAAGAATTTCTATGTGGTCTCTCAGAAGAATATCCATCTCAACCATGATGCTGAGAGTACATTCGGGTTGGCTCTCGAGGAAGCCCTTTACTCAATGGCTGAGTCAACAGTCAGAATACTTTCTTCCTTTGTTTTGATGAACCTCAAAGGTGAGAGTTTTCACTTCTCATTGATCTCCTCACTCACACTAACTAAGCTCTGTTAATGATGTGCTTTCATGATCTGCAGATTCGCAAGCAGCGCAGTTTCTCAGACTAGTAGTTAGGTTTTACAAACAATTGGCACAAATTGTGAAGATGAGGATTGCTCCCAAGGGTTGCAAGCAAATTCTTCCGAGCCTTAAATTTCAAAAACTCGTGGAACTAACTTGCAAAAGTCTCACGGTTCCTCTATATCCCTTTTTAGCTGAATTGCAAAAGGTAAAAGTCGTACAAGCATAGTCATCGATTGATGTTTCTTCGTATCCAAAAGCGTAACGTGTTGCCTTTTTCCCAAATGCAGGAACAACAGGAGAGTGTGAGTTCTAATTCCAAGGGCATAATCAATAAGATCAAACAGGAGAACAAATGCATCCCTGATTTGATATTCCAGATCGAAGACTATGAAAGATACCTTATTCAGCTAAGCAAAGTTACTAAATTGAATTTGTTGAGGCATGCCAAGCGTAGCACCGCTAGAGACTTCAAAATAATTGAAGATGTAGAAACTCCTGCAGGAGGAAACCAGGAAGAAGAGACAGAGATACAGAACAATAACAATGGTAGTAACGAGGATGATGTAAGACAAGATTCAGACGATGATTCAGAGAAAACATTGTCCCCTCGAAATGCTAGTTCCGTATCATCACCGGGCTTCGATTCTGATAAACCAATAGCAGCAGCAACAGAAGAGGACGATGAAGAAGATAAAGAAGAAGACCAAGAAGAAGAAGAAGAAGAAGAAGAAGAAGAAGAAGAGAAAGAAGGAAGCAATCGTCCTAAAAAGAAAGCGAAGAAGAGTTGGATTGTGGAAGATTCTGATGAGGATTCTGAAACATTTTAGGTTCATGTTTGCACATAAAACAATGAATGGAGCGTCTAGGGATAATCCGGGATTATTAGCGACATGGGTAGGTGTTTTGTGGAGGATTTGCTCTGGATATAGGATGATGTACGGTACTGTTGGCATAGTTGTGGGGTATGTGCAGTAAATACCCCATATCTGGCCTGGGAGCAGAGAGTCATACGTATGGAGTTAGAAGTGGACTCATAGTCTGGTATGTTTGTGTCCACCAAGTGCAATAAGAGGGAGAATTGGACGAAGATTACATTCAAGCCTGATTTGAAGAAGTTTAACATGACTGAATTGGACAACGATGTGGTTGCTCTAATGAGTAAGCGAGTGCTTGAAATTGCTGGCTGTTTGGGAAAGACTGTCAAAGTTGACCTGAATGGAAAACAAGTACTAATTAAGTCATTCAGTGATTATGTTGATCTCTACTTAAGTGCCGCCGATAAATCAAGGACTGAGCCTCTCCCAAGGTTTGTTCGATGATTCGTTATTGAGTTATAACAATTTTGGTGTCTTGGAATAGATTTTGATCTTTTTGAGTTTTTGTGTGAGTAGGATGACTGAGAAAGTTAATGGTAGATGGGAGGTTTGTGTGAGCTTAAGTGATGGACAGTTTCAACAGGTATATATATATATATATATAATGGCTGGCTATTATTACCTTTTGTTCTTCATGATGAATGAGTAAACTCGTTTTTGGCTACTAACAGGTTAGCTTTGTCAACTCCATTGCCAAAATTAAGGGTGGTACGCATGTTGATTATGTGACCAACCAGGTCACAAAGTACAATATTATATATAAAGATACATAGTGATTAGTGCTTGAGGTAATTTGTATTAACTAATTAAATTTTTAAAGTATTTGGTACTTCTCGACTTCTGAATTGAGTCATGCGTTTGTATGGGTGAAAAAGAAAAGTTGAGAATGATGTGAATCAGTACCATAAAATTTATGTTGTGGGAATTTGGTAGAGGTCCCAAACTCAAAAGATTTACATAGTGGTTGATCATTGATTATATATATAACCCGAGACCTTACAATGAACGTCCTCTTTACAGACACCACTCACAGTTAGATAAGGCTATTAGATTTGGACGTAGCTAGCGTGGACAAAAAAAACCCAAATCTCTCTATATTCTTTCACCGATAAGCCTTTAAGCCATTTCAACTTCTCCTTCTGTAAATAATGCATCATAGATTTGGTTAGCTTTCTATACAACTTGATCCAATAATGTATATGATTGAACGACTGTAAATTATACTCCCTCCGTTTTCGAATAGTTGTCGTTTTAGAGCATTTTTTTTGTTTTAAATTAGTTGTCGTTTTAAGATAATAATGTAACTTATGCCAATAACTACCCAAATTACCCTCATTTAATTAAACACAAATTATTTGTAAATAATTACTTGTCATTTTTATGAGGTTAATATAGTCATTGTATACATTTTCTTAATTTGTCTAAATACAGTTAAAACGACAACTTTTAAAAAACAGAGGGAGTACCTCTGAATGAGATTAATGAGTTTTGAGTTTGATTATAGTATCAAAGGTCTTGGTACTAGGATTCAAATCCAAGATTAATGATTTTTATTTTTACTTGTAAAATCGACAAAAATTTTGAGTTGACATTTATTTTCGTTTGGGCCGAGACTATATGATTAATGGGCCCATAGATAAGTTTCGTCTAAAAACGGCGTCGTAGTCGGAAAAGATTAGACCCTCGGACTGACATAGATGGATCAGAAGTTCTTTAACCGTTTCGTTAAGGGAACGAAGAAGCCGAAAACTTTCTCTGCGCTCTTCTTCTTCTTCTTCTTCCCCAAAAAAAAACCCTAATTTCTAGATCCATCTCTAAGAAACTCTCGTCGTTCCTCTTAAACATGGCTTCGAAGCTCCCGTTGCAAAACATCGACAACGCCAATGTTGCTATATCTTTAAAATATCTGTGCTTTGCTTATTATATATGCATGTTCTTAGAACTGTCAAATGGTCATCCGACCATGGGCTAAGCCCAGTCCAAAATGTTATGGACGGTCCGTGGTCAGCCCATAAATAGAATGGGTCATCTGATCAAAAGACCAATTTTGTCCATGGACATAATGAGCTAGCCCATACGGACAATTGGTCGGCCAGTTTCATTAAAAACTAGGGTTATTCAATTTTGGGGAAAAATTAAACTCTTCTGCTCAGTCGCTCTCCCTGAACAAAGAACGAGAGAACAAAAAACCAGAGCTCCGTTTAGTTTTCGAACTCGCTACCGAATCTCTCCACCAAGGTGATCGATCCCTTTTCTCTGTTCTTCTGTATACGTCTTTTTCTTTTTGATCCAAGGATTTCAATCCAAAAATTGGGATTAGGAAATGTTTTGTTCATCAGGGTTTTTGTTAAATTGTCTATCTATAATCTGCTGCTGCTTGATGGAGTTTCGTTTAATTTCTTAGGACTTGTTCGAGAGGCACAGGGTCGTGTTTACTGTTGGAACTTCTATAGCATCTGTTGCTACGGCTTGGATTGGTATGTTACTATTCGATATTTTGCTTACTATTTTCAATTGTAGAGACATTCATTACTTCTTTTTTTTGGTAAACTGTTAAGTACATTCATTACTTCTTACCACGTATTTGAATGTTTTAAGTTGCTGAATTGGTGAAGTGATTCAGATTTTGGGTGTTATTTGGCTTAAATTCATGAATTGTGTTTGATTGGGATAAATTTAGCTCTCAGGTTTGATCTCTAGGGGTGAAATCCATTCTGTGATAAATTTGAATCGATTTTACTGATTTTCACTTTTGTTTCTAGCAGAAGAGAGTATAATTTGGTGAATAAATTTGTGGCAGAAAGTGGGTTTTGTGGCAGAAATTTGAGAATCAGATACAACCTCATGAAACCTAGAGTAACAACTCAAACATGCTTGATCTAGTGAGGAATTACTCAAGACCGTAATTCAAGAGATTGTGACTTGTTATTCGTAACCCTAACTTAAATATATCTATATAAACTTTTGTGGATTAAATCGATTAATTTTGTTTTATTGGAGTATATTAGACAGTCTTATTCAAACTATTGAATTGAGTAATTTAGTTTAAAAACATGTTTGTTGATTGTTTTTGTCAAAATTCACATCTTTTTGTATTGTTTTAAAAAAAATGGGCTGACCATTGGACATGGTCCTTAATGGGTTTGGACAAATTTTTAGACCATTGTCCATTAAGGACCAAACCATCAGAGCCCATGAAAATAATGGTCCAAATGGACATGACCATTGGGCTTTGGACAGCCCATTTGACAGTTCTACATGTTCTGATGTCCCTGTTTTCCCATTCAGCCTGGCACTCATATTTTTCCATCGATGGTTGATGACCTCACGCTTGAATACTATGAGAAGAAAAAGGTTAGAAAAGTTCAGTTTTTTTTTTTGAGGTTTTACTTATTAAGGCAATGATCTAACATTAACTGTGTTGTGATGTGTACAGGAAACTATGCTGAAGAATCAGGAAATTATGCTGAAGAATCTGGAACTTGAGCTGCTGAAACTAGAGAAAGCTAATGATCAGAAGTTGAGAGAAAAATGGTTCACAGAAATCCTGGAAAATGCCAAGCCTGTCGAAGCAGCAGTTGCTGGAGCAACTAATGCAGCTGAAAGCTCATACTATAATTACCTATTGCAATTGTCTGTTTTGATTACAGATACAGTACAAGAGGTAAGGGCACAGAGAGATCAAATGATGGATGCAGTTGAAGACTTGAAAAACGCCACACCGGAATCCCTCTGGCTCAAAGAACTAGAGGTAAGGATGCACAATGCTAAGCCTTATTTATAACGCTTCACATTAGGAAATTACCACATTTTGTCATTGATACATCTTTTCCTCTTATCGCAGGAACTTGATAAGCAAGATGCTCAACCCGATGAAGAGAGACAGGCGCCAAAGAAACCGGCACCAAAGAAAGCCAGTGAATCTGTAACAAAAGAGGCTTCAAATTCAGCAATGGACACAGGTTAGTCTTGTGCTCAAATTGTTTTTCATTGTGTTTTGTTTTTCTAGGTTTGATCTAATATAACAGTAAGCTGTTAATAACAATCACATTTTTGACAAAGAAACATTGATCAAACAGAACTGCTTGCATGTAATGCCTGTCCTGAAGTTTAGCCTTTTCTTTTTCTGTGTCAACAGAAACAACTGAAACAGCGAAAGAAATTTCTCTGGATGACGATGATGACGACGTGGTAGTGTCCCCGGAGAAGAAAGTGAGGAAGCTGAGATCGTCTCCGTTTAACAAGAAGAGTAGTTCAGTGATGAGCAGGTTGGCTAATAAGGAAGAGGAGAGCAGCGAGAATGCAGCTGGAAACTCATCGTCAGAGAAATCTGGAGATGTTTTTGCGAATAGGGGGTATGTGTGGTGGAGTGATTCGGAGAGTGAATCTGGGAATGAGTCTGAGTTTGATGACATTGAAGACGATGAAGATGATGAGTAGAGTTAGAGAGAACTAACTCGGTTGTTGATAATGATTCAACTTAATTTCAAACTTTAGTTTCTCCCTCTCGTCTTCTTTAGAGTTTGGTGTTATTATTCTGATGAAAGACTTATTTTCTCTAAGGATTGGCACAAAACTCTGTTTTCTCTATTGATTATGCATTTAGTTTCATTAATCATTTTCTTCTCTTTGGTTGGTCACAGTTGGTCTCATTAATCATATGGATCTTTTGGTTTTAGCATAAATAAGCGAGATTGTGTATGATGGCACAATCTAATTTTGGTCATATTTTTTCAAGTCAGTTAGCTTTAAAAGTAATTTGGGGATTATTTCTATGATTCGTTAACGTATGTAATGTATGTATGTATAACCACAAAAATGGGTTTATTATCTATCTTAGGTTGGCTAACTTGGTAACATCTTAAATCAAAATTCAATAACCACACTGATTCGATAATTACCTTAAGTCCATGTATGGAGAACAAGGTTCAAATTGAAGTGACTTCTAATAGATTAACACGAATAAAGAGGCCTCACGGAGATGAATTGACACAAACCATTCTTTTAGAGGTCACAGAACATCCAGACTATTCTAGTTTTATTGGCCTTTCGGTTTATGTAAGGGAAAGGAAATATAACACAAGTCCAATTTTATTTAAACAAAACTTAAATTCTGTGTTTCTTCTCATATGAGTACAAAAATTTCTCAAATCAGGCTAGTATGATCATATCACATACGTCTCCAAGCTAAATTCTCTACAAATCTCTTTCGTTTCTCAGTAGGAAGGGAACGCAAACCAAGTTCTATTGATTCTTCTTAGTAGTGGGAGTGAACGACGGAGTAAACGATTTAGAGCTCTGGATCTGATCATCTTTCGACGTTTTGATTATAAACAGAAGTGTTTCCACAAGCATCGCCAAAACTAGTCCAAGAATCCCACCAGCAGCACTCTGAAAGGAGAAAACGAAACAAATCCGAAACAGCCATGATTTAAAAGTCCCCTTAACGGTAGTGGGTTTCTTAAGAAAAACGACAAAATGAGAGATACACAAAGCATACCAGAGCGGGGTTGCGGTTGAATAAAGCTCTGAAAGAAGCGTATCCAACCAAATATCCAGTGAACATGGTAAGACCCACGTGTAAACCTATAAAATGAGAGTGAAAGAGAACAAAAACCTTCAGTGACCTGTGTGTAAAACTGTAATCCGGGAACCGAACGAAAATGCTTACCAAAACCGAGCTGGTCTTTGTAAGAGGAGAAAGGCTCTTCGACTTGTTTCTTGGGTGTTATATCTTTAACAAGCTCAGCATACTCCTTCCTCTCTGCTATTTCTTTCAGCTTCAGTAATCTCATTTTCAGTTCTTCGCTCTACCAAGAGAGAAATCAGATCAAATTAAAACATAAACTCACATTGAAATGGCCAAACGCGAAAAGGCTTAAACATAGTTGGGAAAAAACTTCAAACAAGGAAACAAGAAGCATCCTTTCTTCGATAAAGCTCAAATATCCCAATCAACCAAACAGAATTCTGCAAATTTGTATTTCAATTTGAAACACAAATGTGATCACTTTTGAGATTACAGGATTAGAAGAAATCTTCCATGAATTCCTCTAAATTACCAAAAGACAATAACTTTTGTTCGGGCACGATCAGTATCATCTAATATAATCTCATTCAATTTACAGCAAATCACGGAGCATGAACAGAATCTAATCTACAATAGAGAAGAGCTCACAACAAATAAACACGAGTAAGGATACGAAAATCCCCAGAATTGAATGAGGATTTAATGTGAATCGCGGTTCGTGTACCTTTTCTCTTGGTTTGGGACTGGTGAAGACGAAATCGGAGCCGGAGAAAAGTCCCAATAAACCGGGTCTCGTCAACGGATCGGATCCGGTCCATATAGCGCGGAGCAATTTGTAGGAAACGGTGTTCTTCGAGCTAAGATCGGAAGCAATTCCTCTGAGTTCCTCGGAGAGACGAAGATCACCGGACGCGATGGCGAGAAACGACCGCATCGGTTCAGTGACGGAGAGAATCAGACCAGAGCCATTTTTCGGGTCGGGTTGATCCATCTTTAATCGGGTCCAAACAGTGACAGAGGTTGGTTTTAAACGACGTCCAAAAAATATATCCGGATTAGGTCCCTGTGGTTTACAATTATCAAACAAATGTCCTATAGTTTATTTTAATGCAATTAAACCTGATTCACGCTCCCTTCCAATTTTTGAATATTAATAATTTTTGTTGCGATGTAATCTGCTACGTGGCGTAACCCTAGCACGTGTGACTTACTCGAATCACGGATTAATGTGGGGGTATTATTGTAAATATGAAAACTTACAATGGTGGTTTCAGGAAAATATTATATTGGGCTGTGTTTATATCTTTTTCGTTTCGTCTTCTCCAATAATGGATCTCCTCCTCCTTCTCCTCTCCATTTCTGTTATTTTCCCTAGAAAATTCCGCAAACCCTAGAGAGAGAGAGAGAGAAATCAAAATCTCCATTCTGGATTGGGCCAAGGAAAGAGATAATCTATCTCCTTCTCTGATCCGATCGAGATCGCAGCATTTTTATCTTTGTTGAGAGAATCCGAATGCAAAACCTAATGATCTCTGTTTTTGTTTCTCTTTGAATTTTGCTTCGAATCTCCATTGAAATCTGTATACAGAAGGATGATTTCAAATCCAAGTTTATTGTCTTACACTTGCATTGCGAAAGGAACCGTAGTTCTCGCTGAGTTCGTTTCCAAGGAAGAGCCAGGAATCGAAGCTGTAGCTTTACGATGTATCGAGAACACGCCTCCACATCATTCAATGTTCTCTCATACAGTTCACAAGAAGACGTACACATTCGCAATCGATGATCATTCGTTTGTTTATTTCGCGATTTTGGATGAAAGTATGGAGAAACCTGAATCATTCTGGGTTTTGAATCGTCTGAGATCAGCTATTGAAGATCTGATTAGAGACGGTGGATCTGATGTTGAAACGTTGATTAATCCTGTTTCGCATTGTCTTCAATCAAAGCTTGATCCAGTTTTCGCGGAGATTGTTGGTGTTGTTGATGTTGATTTGGAATTGGACATGGATTTGGTTGGATCACCAAGGAGCGTAGCGAGAGAGAGTCGGAATCCGAGTATTGATTCATCTAAAGGAAGAAGAGCTGCTTTGATGCCACTTTTGGGGAAGCCATTGAAGGCGTTGAAGAAGAAGAAGAGATTGCATAATGAAGCAAAAGGAGAAGATTCGTGTGAGGTTGGTTCGATCAAGGAGATATCAGAGAAGAATGTTGATTTATGTGGGAATGGTAACAATGGAGTCTTACGCAAGGAACTGAGAAATGGGTTGTTGAGTGATCATCATCATAGACAAAAGGCGAAACAGATATGGAAGAAACATGTTTGGGTTGTGTTGATGTTTGATTTCTGCATCTGTGCTGTTTTATTTGGAATCTGGCTTTGGATTTGTGAAGGGTTTCAGTGCATTCAAGGGTAAAAGTTATCATCATCTGTGTACATCTCCAAATTCATATTGTTTGAATCTGCATCAAAATTTGATCATGGACATCTTTTTTTTCTTCTTGGTATTCGTTTTTTGGATCAAATCTGATCCCTTTTTTCTGTTATTGTCAATTTTTTCCAACTTTATTTTTAAAGTCACAAAAAGTGTTGTTTCCAGGAGGAAACTAGGGTATAGGTTGAATCCTGGTTTACATGTTAGTGATGTTGTTCATTGTACTTTGGAAGTTAAATTATTCACAAGCAAAATGTGTGTTGTATGTATTATCTCTTTTTTTCTTTCTCGTTTTTCTTTTGCTGTTTGATTCCATAAATGGTGCTGTGATTGAACGTGGGTTACACAATAATAGAGGACAACAAAAGATGGTCTCAGATACAGTCACACGTTAATTATTTTTTTACTAGATAGTATATACGTTGCATCTATAGTCGGCGTATTTAAAAATAATATTCCAAAGAAATATACCAATTTGAAAGTGAATCTAGTAGTAGTTAATCTTATGCTGTAAATCTGTAACAGTCTTAAGGCTTAAGAGTAGAAAAGATGATTACATTACAGACATCAAAAGTGAAAGAGGAGGTTTTGGTAATAAGAAACAAGGGAGAAAGTGTTAAATATGTGTCTCTGTCTCTGTCTCAGCCACAAGGTGTGAGTTTCTTGTTACCTGCACCACGAGGATTATCGTCCTTCCAATCATCAAAAGCTCTAGCTTTCATTACAGCTTCTTCGTCTTCATCATCCTCTTCCTCGTCTTCTTCCTTTCTTCTTAGAGGTTTATCATTGTACCATGATGTCGTTGCTTCTTCAATGGCTTTTTTCGTCTGCTCTTGCCAATCATTCATGATGTTCATCTCTGTTAACCCAGCATCCTCTATGCACATTGTTGGCATCCTACAAAATCCAAGTTTAATCACCATTCTAAAAAATCTCAAAAGAATTGTGATGAGAATGATTTTTTGTTTACCTGTGACTTGGTTGGAAAACCTGAGCTATCATCCTCTCTCTCTCGGTAGAGAGCGGTCCACCCACGATGCTTGCTGGACCGAATATAAGAGGTTGGTTCTTGTGGTCGTGACCTTGTGATACAGAAGCTCTTCCTTCTAACACATCTTGTGCAAATGTGGCACAAGTGATTGGTTGTGCCGGTTTAGAGTACTGTATCCTTGCAGCAGCGTCTCTGTGCCAGGTTTCAGCTTTCTTTGTACGATCATCAAGAGCATCCCGAGAGAACCCATCCTCTCCATCCTGATCAAAATATCATCACAATTATCTTCGTTTCTATGTTTATCAAATAGTTTTGTTTGCATGTAAGTAAACTAAGACCACGGTAAGCTACCTTCAACTGTCTTTCCTTTATTGCAGAGAGCATTTCCTCTTCTCTCTTTAGCATTTCCAACAGATCAATCGCCTGTAGCGAAGTTCAATCATAAGATAAAGCCTCAACTCGTGACACATCATAGGATTCCAATAAAATGATTTTTAGACTAACCTTACAAATAGCCAAGTTTATTGAGGAGAGCCAGGCCTGCAGAGGAAAGCAATAAGACAAGGTTTAGAAGAAAATCGAATTAGAGAAAGCAGCAAAACAAAAAGTAGGACAAACCTCTCTCTCTTCTTCGCTGTCATCATCTGGAATATCTTCTTCTCCAGATTCAACCGGAGTCGACAAAGCTGATGCCTTAGTGGAACGTCCACGTCGCTCCTTTCTCTCTTTAATTTCAAGAAGCTTTGCCTCTGCAGCCTTTTGACGTTTGAACCGAGCTATCTACAAAGTACCGAAATCATGAACACACAACACAGATTTCAAAATCCGAAAACCTTAAACTTCATTCTCGTCAGAATATAAACAAAAGAAACAGGGCTGAATCTACCTTCAGAGCCCTTCGATCAGCAGGTGCACCAGAACCTCCTCGTGAAGAAGCCTCCAACTCCTCATCCGGAACAAGTTCCATTGCCTCACAGAACGAAAAGAACTCCTAAACACAATAACAAGACTATATACATCAGTCTGAAAAAATCCAACCAAATGCTCATTCCCACTAGCACTAGCATCAAAGCTCAGCAGAAATATTACCTTCAACTTTGCATACGAGGCTTTGACAATCGGAATCCGGTCGTCCTGTATGATTTTCTCTGTCAACTCCGCAAGGTAATAAGGTACCTATAATCACAAGAAAATATATCCCTCGTCACTTTAATGAAATTTCAACCCAAAACCCACACAATCTTCTGATCTCCACACAAAAGTCCAATTGAAGAGGGCACAACCAGAATTTCAGGCTCCAGATTTGAAATTTCAGTAGCTAAAACTAGAAGCATCAGGAGAAGCTAAAGTTTTTCACTTTCTGATCTTTCACACCAAACTAATAACAAAAGTATAATACAAACATACTACTAAAAAATCCAAACAAGAGAGACTGAATTGCATACCAAAAGATATTTGAGATTGTTGGTGCTAATATCTTCTTTAGTCTCGTTAGACGAAAACAGCGCCAGCTTCCCGATCATGTCTTCGCACTTCTGAAACATCTCACATCCTTTCTTCACAACATCCTAACAAAACCAAAAAAAAAATCGAAACAAAGCATCCCCGGAAATGTCCAATTCAGTAAAAACTCGCGTTCGAAACCCTAATTGAATTAGAATACAAAAAAAAAGTTAGAAGCTTCCACCTGATCAACACCGGACTCTGAAGCAGCGAGATGAATTTTCCTAGCTTGCTCGAATAGCGCCGATAAAGGCATTTCCTCCATAGCCAAGCCACCCATCGGTCAAGTCTTTTGAAATTTTTTAGGGTTCCAAATCGAAATCTGACGAATTAACCCGAGTACAGAGAAAAACTGTAAGAGCTTTCTTTTTAAGGGACGGTTGAGATCATGCCGCGTCAGGTAAAGTAGATAACTGGAAATTTATTAGCCGTTAGATCTATACACAACCTCAAAACCGACTCAGTTTTTAAAAAATCTAGTCAAAGATCAGGTGCGGGCGGGTGTAGAGTAAACCCGCCATGGATTGTGGTTGTGTTTTTTGTTAACTGAATTGGTGATAAAATTTTGTTGAATTTAGCATGTGTACAAGTATGAGTAAACTACTATCGCACTCGGTGTATAACCAGTTGGAATTGTCGTAGTGCTCTTGATTCGATCGACCTAGCTATTGCGGTAATAGGAGAAATGGTAGATTCTGATACAGAAGCCAACTCAAATTTAAAAAAAAAAAAAAAAAAAATCGCTGGTGAATCAGCTAAGCTCATGAAACGAAAATGAAGAGGTGAATTCATTGAACACAACTTACTATACTATATGACTCTCACCCATTTCAGTCTACATAGCTTGAAAGGGAAATGAATACAGAACTTAAATGTTTGACTCTCACGCATTTCAGCTCTACATAGCTTGGAGAGGAAATGAATTGACTGAATTAACTGTACTGTGATATATTATACCCTTTATTTAATCTCTCACGCACATCCACGCAGAGAACAACATCCTCCCAAGCGTCCAAAGCTAGAGGGATGCTTCAAAAGTTGACCTGAAATGAGAATTGTAAAGTTCAGAGAAACCACTTGTCAAATCTATAAGATATTCATGTGTGATTCATTAGGAGATTACGGAGTAAAAGGTTCTTACGGTAGTTGTGCCTATATGGCAAGACAAATCTCAGTTACGGTAATATTGGTTGGTTGGGTAAGGGTAGCGAGTGGCGACTTGGCTGAAGAAAAAAAGTGTATCTATTGAGAAAAATGTGAAGAGTAAAAAATTATATAAAGTAGTTGAGTATCTTTATGAGCAGAACCTGAGCAATCCCAAAAGACTTGTCGTCACCCATTTTTTCAAGTCTAGCCTGACGGAAGAAATGAAAATGCTGGCAAACTCGATCACGATTATCTGATATAGAAGGAACAAAAAGAAAGTGTATATGGTTTAGGGATACATAAGAAAAGAAATACAAGATAAATGTCGTGATCACTCGTACAGAGGACTTACCTGAGATATGATAGTCGAGGTTATTGTAACGAGAAACATATTCTCTCTAAGGATTTCTTTGAAGGTTTGGTCTACACTTTGGATTTCAAACTCATTACAAACCTGCGTTGGAGTTAGAAGACAGAGAGATGATCAACATATTCACAGATGAACGCTAATTAAAAGAGTGGGAAAAAATCAGACATTACCAGGCAGAAGACAAAGGAATTGAATATAAATGTGTTCATCACTTTTTCGGCATTGCCCGTATGACCATGCTTCAGCTTCAGTAGCTTCTCAGATTTTATGATTACCAGCGACAACACAAGGTAAAATACCTGGAGGAAGGTATTTCATGACAGAAGCATTATTTAGTGGTCTCCAAGTCAGTGTTTTTGTCTCTAATCTATATAATTAATTAGTTATGACCAAGGAATAGCATTTGCTCCCTGGAAACTATGAAGGAGTTAATTATTTTATAGGACATTAAATCAAGGATTTTACCCGACATACCTGAATTATCAACTTGGACCACATCGTCTTGGTTATAAGAGGGTCTCTGGAAAAAAACCCGGAAAAAGGTATATTGTATGATCAATTTGGTTATATTCACCTAGAACACTAGAACTGCAAAACCAACTGTTTCTTGCAAAATCAACAGTAATGTCTCTTTCTAAGACAACCATATACTGACTTATTAATCAAATATTATCCTTGATCCTATACAGATTTTGTACCTTATACCAACCGGTGGCTTTCGCATTAGGTGGTCATCAGCTCTTGGTCTGTATGCCAGCGCTAATGCTCCTAAGATGTCGATAATAAGATTAAGCAATAGAAGCTGCATCAAGGAAAAGCAAAAAGTTAGGGAAAAGGTTTCCAATTGTGGAAATGCTGGATTACAAGATGATGAAGTAACAAAGGGATAACATTTTTGAACCTGCACGGCGTTAAGTGGAAAGGCATCATATATTACAACCTCAACCACACAGATAGCCAATGCTGATACACTGACAGTCAGCCGGAATAGGATAGATCTCTGTACATTGGTGTATAGAGCTCGGGACCATATGATACACTGCATTATCCAAACAAAGCCTCATGTATCTTATTAAAATGATTTCAACGAAATTTAACTGCCAAAAAGTCAACGTTTGCTCATCATTTTTGTATGCATTCTATAATCCCCTACTGCCCAAGTTCGTCATTTCAACCATGCATATAATAAACCAACCTTGACAATCGTAGCAAAATTATCATCTAGTATAATGATATCGGAATTCTCTTTTGCTGCTGCGGTCCCTCCAACTCCCATTGCAAGGCTAACATCAGCCTGTGCAAGGAAAACATGAATCATAGGTTGTAGTGATGATGGATATGACTTTCTATGTTTACAATTCATATTCTCTTTGAAATAGTGCGATGAATTTTTAGAGTTTTAATATGATAACTACGGACCTCGCGTAGTGTATTTGGATCATGTATTCCCATCCCAGTGGCTGCAACGATATGCCCTCTTTTCTTCAGTGTTTGGACAAGCAGAAGGTTGTCGCTGGGAGAAGATTGAGCAAAAACCTACACATAGAGTAGTTTGTTAGTTTTAGGCTCAATCCAGTTCTTGAACCAGTCGGCTATACTTATACAAAATTTGTCAAAATAGTAATCTGACCAACATGGTTAGTTTCCCATCAACATAATAGGTGTACAACAACTTCACTCAGCAAGGTGTCACAGTGTGACAACTGATACTGAATTCTATCTTATCCCACGACTCCACTCATCGATGTCTCATGATGTGCACAGATGAATATATACATTAAACCATAAATATAGAAGAATGGATTCATACTAAGATGTCTCCGGCGATCTGCTCTTTTTCTAGATCGGAAAGTTCACGAAATTGGGCTCCTGTCCATATATTACGGCCAGATGCATTCGTCAGTATCCCACATTCAATTGCTATTGCTTGTGCCGTCAAAACGTCATCCGCCGTCACCATGCAGACCTGAAAGGCAACATATTCCACTTAGAAAGTAGACCAATAAAAGGGGTTGACCCAAAGAAAATAAAAAAATCATTTAAATGTATTGTCTTCCGCAAAAAATATTAAAGGTGTCATTGCATTAATAAAGCGCCTAATAGTCGGTTTAGCAAATCAGAAAATATTACTACACCAAATTCAGTTACAGATAACAAAAATTTAGAACGAGTAGAAAATTTCTCTCTAATAATAAAAGTTCAGAAACTTCAAGTGACATGCTCATACATGAGGAAAAATAGTAATACAGGCAGTAGCATAATCACAGAAAAATAACCATGGCACCTTAACACTTGCGGAATTGCACAATTGGATCGCATCCCTTGTGCCTGGCCGGCAAGGATCCTGAATGTTATTCAAAACGTTGGATAAGTAATGATAATGAAAATAATTCTTTGGCTTCGAAGAAAATGGAATCAGGTACCGATTCTTATTGATACAAACTTAACTTTTAGAATGAGAGATGGAAATGTACCTTTATACCAATAATAGCCAACAAAACAAGGTTTCGAGGTTCCTTAATGGTTGGAAGACTTCCCAGTTCACAGGTTTGATAAGCAAGTGCTGCACAACGCAGTCCTTCCTTACACATATTTTCTATTGTTCCTTCAAAAAACTAAAGAGAGAATGGACTCTTATATAGAAAACCGAACAAGAAATAATAGTGTATTTTTGAATTAGTCATCTACGTTCATAAACAAACCTTTCGTTTCTGTTCATCAATAGCTCTGGAGTTGTTGGCCCCATCCATATACCCTTCGCATGAACTCAGAATAGTTTTTGCAGATCCTTTCCAATGAACATGAGCGTGTGTACCAAGCTAGAAATGAATGATAAGAAGTGAAAAAAAAACTGTATAAGAATCAAAAATAGCATAAAATATGCAGGCAGATTAACAAATAAACAATTGTGGAGTTCTAACAAAGCTGCACCAGAATATCTGTGTCAAGTGAAAACAGATATGATATCTATGTGTGTGCACCGATATATCTTCTCAATAACATTATAGACAAGGTTATGTTACCTGTAGTGCCACGCCTCCATATTTCTTTGTTGGGTTGAATGGTATAGTATGACGGGCTAATGATGCTGACCTAGCATCATCAAATTTCATTCCCAACTACAAAATACGAGTAACTAAGTGTCATTAATTATAAACTTAATCACTATAGCAAGTAGTAATGCAAGATTAGAAAGAAACAAAACCTTATTCCCCAAGTTAAGAATGGCTTGTTCTGTTGGTGATCCATAAACCTCTGGTTCAGTGACTCCCTATAATTAATTACGAACATACCAAGACGAATTCATATTAAAATAATCATAAATCTAGGCAAGTCAACAGTGTGATCCATGAAACAATTACCGTTTCAAAAACAACACTGCCATTTGTGTTTTGGGCAGTGCCTTCTATGATTAGTTCTTTAAGAAACGTGGGCAACTGTGAAACATTATCCATATCTTGCATTCTTATTCCTCCAGCCCAAACATCAACCACCGACATCTGCTTAGCAGAAAATAAATGCTTAAAAAGTGGGTACTCAAGAAGAAGAATAAGAGCAAGCAGGAAAGAGCTGATTGCATATAAAAGGAAGCAATTGCCTGATTCGAAGTTAAAATTCCAGTTTGATGACACAATATAGTTGTAACAGATCCCATTCTTCCAAATGCAGAGAGTGATTGCACCTGAAAAACATTTACGGAAGTTAAGCACTTGTTGATGCTCTAATGACATTGACAAAATTGGAATCTAAAAGTAGAGTACCAAAACTTTGTCTTTCCTCATTTTCTTCGTTGTCTTTGCAAAGCTGATGAAATGAAGAAAATGATAAGATGAGAAACAAACAGAAGTAACTGTTAAAAAAGAATTGAACTGCAGTGAAGCATGCATACTTTAAGGTTTTGCCATTCTTCGAACAGCAATAGAGTTTGCAACCATATTACCAGACTACTTTGCCACATTTACCAGAAATCTAGGTATTCACTAGGCTTTTTCTGATATATATTTTGTTTACACAAATTTTCAAAAGGAAACGAGACTTACTTCAAGCGAACGGCTATAGAAAGTCCAACAGGCACTGCTACTACTATTGTCGCAATCTGAAAATTTCAAGAAAAGACCATATATCATTACTGTAGCCACGAAGGTAAAGTTCAGCATTCACGTACCCCAAAACTCAGGGATGTGATCACAAATTCTGTTGCTTCATCGACAGTGGTAATTCCGTAGATAAACATTGGAGTTCCGTCTGATTTTTTAGTCCAACCACTAAAGTATCTGGAAATAAAAGGGTTGTTAGGTCCTTATTGCCAGAACGGAGCTGGAGATCTGAATGCAGAACATAAGCGCAATGGGTACGTTGTAAAAGAAGGACAGACTTACCGGCCTAATCTAACACTAAAGGCAACTGAAGCAAACAAAACGACTAACCAGCTGGCAGAAATCGCAAGCCATTTCAGGTATCCCTAGTAAAACGAATTACAGTTGATATGTGAGCAAACTATCATAGGTAGAAAGACTTAGTATTCAATAAAACAGACCTGAAAAGGCTTTTCTTCGTCAGTCTCCTGTGGAATCTCCATCTTCAACCCCCATTCAGTGTTCATTCCAACACTTGTAACCTTTTAAACACGGGGAAAGAATAAAGTGAATTAGAAGATCAAGAACCATGTACAGAGAAAGCAAGCCCCAAAGCCAATCTTCTAATTGATAAAGAAGCATTTTCCACATAGAAATATCGGCCGCGAAAGTGCCAAACTTAAGAGTAAAATTATCAGAAAGTTGCATACACAAATCATAAGAAGTTGCAAGTTGCAGAAATATGCTACAACGAGAAGCCAGATTCTTGGGTATAAGAAACCAATGCATCTCATTTAACCATTGGCGAAAGCTGGGATTCCTAGGGGAGGTAAAATTGGGAAATACATTTTTCAGTTCAGATTTAAACAATGATTTTATCCCCTAATTCCATGTTTCAGAATTTGTGTTTCTGCATCGCCCATAAAATAAACTTATCTAGATTAATTCTTTTATCTCAACTTTACTCTATTCCAGATCAAAAAATCTACTGACTTTACTCATAGAAAACACAAAGTTCAATGCTTTGCTTATCTTTTTTTTCTGGCAGTAGAAGAAGAGACAGCATTTAGGTAAAGAAAGAGAAGCTGTTTGCAGAAACACTGAAAAGCTTACAATGATTTATTTTTGTTGTGAAGAGTCTATTATAGTTACAGTGTTTGTCAACGTGACTTATCGCTTTCAACATAGCCTCATATTTAATAAAAGTAGCTACAATATCATCTATGAGATGGATGCGTCAAGCATAAAACAAAATTAAGAGACGTGGCTCGAGAGCTTACCAGCATTGTACCAATCCCTTCTATCAGTTTTGAACCAGATAACAGAAACGGATTTGTTTGAAGATCTTTTTGAACCTGCTAATTGAAAAGAGAGATTAGAAATACAAGGAAGGTAAATGATACAGCTCATCGACAGGGGTACGTCATACAATTTCGTCTGAGTCAGTTATTTCTTGCTCGTCAACTTTCAATGCGTTTGCAACAAACAGGACACCATCTGCAGGTACCTGCAGCATTGATCAAAAATCACACAAATTGTGAAGCTCAAGACAAACAAGCCAAATAAAGATTTCTGTTAAAAGTGTGATGATTACCTGACAGCCGTTCTTGAGGGGTACAATATCGCCCACAACAATATCATAAACCGAAACCCTGACTCTTCTGCCACCTCTGATAACCTGCAACCAAAAAAGTTCAGCATTGTGGGCAGGTGCAACACCATACACAAGGGATGAAGAAAACCGTCTGCAGGAACACACATCTAGATATACGTTTCTCTTCTCCTCAGTCAACTTTTCAAACCGACAAGATTGCTTGTACTCAGCGATAGCTGCAAAATAAACATGATTGTTTCCATATTATCTCTTCTGAAAGTATGAAGACAACAGCAACTCAAGCATCAAAGATTGTACTACGATACCTCTCGCAAAAATTTGAAAAACAGTGGCCAAAATGATGCAAGCTTCTACATACCATCCATCAAGTCTACCCTGAAAGTCTCATGAGCGTGAGATACAGAAAATTTGAGAAGAGATAAAATTTAAAAGAATCCCCCTGACAAAAAGCAACACCTAAAGAGAGCCACATGATAAACAAAACGATGAATCTACACCAAAGCTAGTCGTTTTGGAAGAGAAGAAACCAATGATACAGAATTGCATAAGTAGATGAATTACAGTCAGAGCGAACATACCAAAGAAAGGTGATTAGATCATCTTGTAGAGAAAAAAAGTCACCTTTGAGTAATTTCGCAGCAGCCAAAAAAATACACCAGCGAACATGATAACCAGCAAATGAGAAAAATGGCTAGCTCTCCATAGAAAGCACTACAACAAGACAACCAATGGAACAAAAATTGAAAAGCTTTGCCAACTTTAAGAAGAAAAAAGCAAACTTTCTTGTGTCTAATAAATGATTCATACCCAGAAAGTCTTTCCCTTTCTGCAAGGATAAGTGTTTGACCCAAATGTGAGCTTGCGATGTTGTATCTCATCATCGCGCCGATCTATGCCCACTTTCAAGTCAGTCTTCAGCAAAGTTGATAACCCATGAACCTATGAATCATCATCAAAATGGTAAATCAACGATTAAACCTTCAAAAATCAGAAGAAGAGATGGTTAATCACAAGTGTGCTTGCCCCATTATATCGATTCAAAGCTTCAAGGCTACGCTCTTTGACTAGTTGAACGAGTTCCTCCAATCCAATCCCAAACCCGCCAGATGTTGAAGCTTCTTCTGTGCCAAAAAAAAATCCCAGATGATGAAGATCCATTGTGTCTTGAGATTTTTCGGTTTAGATCGGTTAAGTTCGGTTTAGTTTCGGGTTTAATAAAATAGGTTCATAGTCCGGTTAGGTCGAGGAAACAAGAACATTTAATAACAAAAAAAAAAAAGAAGGAAAAAAAAATACCGTTTGCTGATTGTTCTGTTTCTTGGTGATCATGTACAAGCTTATCACAGGAAAATCAAGATTAGATCTTAAGCTAAATTCAGATCTACTAATTAAACTGAGAGAACTAACGCTTACTGCTTGGTCAGGTACTGTTCGTGTTCCTGTTCTCCACAATGTCTCGCTTATCACTTGATAAAACGCCTCAGATGCTCTCTTTAACTTACCCTGTAAGATTCACCGTGAAAGTCGACCAAGTAATGAGACATGTTACTGAATCAAACAAGAATCACATTCAACGTGTAAGTGCAAGTATATACTCTAATACTGACCACCCTCCTCCACGAGCTCGGGTGATTGGTAGTAATGAGACCGGCGCCCTCCAAATCGTGTGGTGCATTATTCTCAAGTACTGCAGGTTCAGGTTTAGGGTCGCCTTCTTCCAAATCGCATGACACATCTTCAGCTACCGGAAGGTGTGGAACTACAACATCATCATCTGCGGGGGGGAATGAGTAGCCACCGAGACCAACCTCGAGATCTCCCGGCCCTCCATTGGATGGCCTTTTCCAAAACCTGAACATTGACCATTTAAATACTACCATTGAACGTATTCTGTTTCGATATAGGGTTTAGGCTAGGCTGATCTACGGATAATGAGAAGCTAAAGAAAGAAATCAAAAATGTTGTTTGGAGTCTGTGAAATGCTTAGCGAAGAGTTCTTTGTTATTTATATGTATAATGGTCGATTTATTCAACACCCTCTTTTTTACCTTTTAACACTCCACATCATCTTCTCTCTCTTCCACCTAATAATTCAACATTCATTTCAATTTTAAACTTTGTAATAGTTTTGTTTAATAAAATTCAACACTCTAGCTACCCTACTCTTTTATTTCATATTATTTTTGTTTTTTGTATTTATGATTATATACCAATAACGATTAGCGATTGAAATAAAATAAAATAGTTAAGAGCTAATAATTTTTTAATTTTTCTTTTAAATTCTTAAAAAATCAAAGTAATATAAAAAGAAGAAATATAGAAATTCATTATGAATAGTGGGACTCGGATTGGATATTATTGTCTGAAGTGCAAATAGTAAACTCGGACTCGGATTAGATAGGTTTGTGTGTTTAAAAGGGTAATTAGAAGTATTTTGGGTGTTAAATGGATTATTGTTGGGATTAATTTCATAAAAAAGATTTTTTTCTTTGTCCAAATCAAATGAAGTAAGTCTCTATTTATAGAGTATAAAAAATGATAAATTTTGATATAAATAAAAATGAAAAATAATTTATTTACTATAGAATAATTTATCTTAAATATTTTGGTAGAGAGAAAAAACCAAGAATCCTTAACAGCCAATAAAAAAGTAGCACATACATTAATTTATATTTTAATTCAAAAGTAATTCTCTTTACCAATTAAAAATCGCCACGTGTACATGTTAATATTATCTTGTACGGATTCAACATGTTGAAAGAATTCAACACCAATTAATCCACATCAGCCTTTTTGTTTTTTCAACAATTAAACACATCATTGTAAGTAGTCTAATTAGAGAAGGTGGGTGTAATACTATTATTAAAAAAAAAAAAGGAGCAAGTGTGTGGCTATCGGTCACATCACACGTAGTCACGTACGCGTTTCGAGGGAAGAAAAAGATAGTGGAATAAAAATTAAAGTACATTCATTTCTGATTTCGAGGTGTATTGTTCTCAAAGGAAATTAGCAATAGAATGTTGGTAAGTAGGGAGAAGAAAAATAATTGGAAATTTTTGGAAGAATTTATACCTCAGAGAGTACAGTTGTGGTCAGAAAAATGTGAGAATAAAGTGCCCAACTGGATTCAAGTTCAACGAGCAGTTTGCATGATCAGCAACAATAATGCAGTGGCGGAAGTGTTCTCTCGCATAGACCACAAGTTTGATCTCATGTACTCCAAAAGAGCATTTGTCCATTGGTATGTAGGTGAAGGCATGGAAGAAGGAGAGTTCTCTGAGGCCCGTGAGGATCTTGCTGCTCTTGAGAAAGATTATGAGGAAGTTGGTGCACAAGGAGCAGAGAATGACGACGAAGAAGGCGATGAGTATTAGAAAGACACAAGAGTGGTTTTCCATTGTTTCTTTCTTGTGACGTACAGCAACTATGTCTATGTGAATGTGATCTCTACAGTTATTTTGTGGAAAACAAAAAAAAAAAGTCAAATTAAGCAGCTTAATTACGGAGAGGTCACTTTTTGTAGAGACTCCAACATTCTATATTGTTACTTGGAGAAAGCTGTACAACAATGCCATCCTAGTATTAGACGCTTAGAGATTCAAGGCTATTTGGACGTTATCCTGCTGTTGAATAAAGTACTATATCAATTCAAGTATATTTGTCGAGGGACAAATACTATGGCTGATAAATTAGCAAAGGAGGCTAGAAATCTCTGAGATTTCTTTTTGTTATAACTTGCTACATATATATTACCTAAAAAAAATAAATATATATATATATTACTTTTCTAATGGATAAGTTGGCAGAAAAAAAAATGTGAGAAGAATTTTTTTTCTTCTAAACGTATACCGGTCAGATTCCGTTGTGAAATGGAAAAGTATAAATGGACAATATGAAGAGAGCAAGGGGTGAGGAGAGATTTGTTTTTGGGAGAATATAAATACCTATATTTCTATATATACAGTATAGTTTTTTGTTGGGAAGGGGACAAATAAAAAGAGAGAAAAGATTGTTTTTTGTCCGTTTCTAAATAGAGAATATAAATACCTATATTTCTATATATATATATATATATATTTTGTCTTTCCAATGCGATGGTTATATAGTTATAAACTATAAAATAAAATAAATATATTAAAAAGTAGTTTATGTATAGTGATATTTTTATTTTTGTTCACACTTACAAATAGTGTTGATTTTGTAATTTAAATTCGATTTACATACACTAATTAAACATGTTTGTTCCCAGCCAAATAAAAGAGAAAATAATGCGTAACGATTTTGGTCGAGAAAAAAAACCAAAAGTCATTATACAAATTTTAATCCCAGCTTCTTCCCAGTTGAGTTAAGAAATCCTGAAAATTGGAAACTCAATGAATTGATGAGATTGAGTCATTTTAGTATAAACCATTTTACAGCTATGGTATTGTTCGTTTTAGCTGATAATAATCAGAACTAACGTTTATTGGCTTTATTTATCTGGGCATATTTTTGTCTAGTTAGTTTTTTTGTAAAGTACTCTGCTTTTTTGAATCCCCGATTGGTTGCGAAGAATGTCAGCAATATCTGATTGTCAGCTTACATACACTCCTATGCATGTAACACAAACGAGGAAAGTCCTTGCAAATTTTGCAACAATGATATATTTTAGTTTCGGAAGATTCCTATTAGGTCAAGACTCAAGAGACAATAGAGCTTTTTATAATTGCTTCTCTGTTTCAGTTCTCTCACATGTTCTTTTATCTCAGATAATTCAACTTTCCTGATTTTTTGAATGTTTCTTGAATAAAATGTTGTAGGACCCTCTTGAATCTTAGCTGTGGTAGCTTTTCCCACTGAAGTTTGTTCAACGTTTACAGGTTTTGGAGTGTAATTGTAGACTTTTAGCTTTCCTAGTAAGGTTCGTAGTATTAAAAAAGGTATCAAAAGCTTCATGATTTTTGATTGCCTGCTTTATTTGGGGATTTTCGGGGTTTAGATTAAGCCCAAAACGACGTCGTTTTAGGTAATAACTGAATCGTTAACGGCTGTTATCGGATCTGCTAACGACAGATAACGGCGTGTGGTTTTTGGCCTGGTCAACGAATACTTCATGTTTAAATTGGCCGGTCAACGTTTACTTCGGGGGTGTTATTGGTTCCTAATTTACAAAGAATCTTGATGACTTTAATAAAATCATAGAAAATAAACAAATGAAAGATTCTAAACTATTGTTAGAGAGTTTTCTATAATCTTGTTGATTAGTTTTTCATAATCTTGTAAAGTTTCCCAAACAATCTCTCTATTTTGATGATATTTTACATGACTTTATTTTGTGAAGAAAAATGTAGAAAGTCATAAACCAATAACATAAGAATTTAATTCATTAACAATCATGGATTCTTTTGTTTTAATTGAATAACACAAAACTTTTATTGACTTTATTAAAGTATGAATCCAATAACTCAGATTTATGAAGATTTTAGATTACTTTTTACAAATCTTAAACTAATAACACCAAACTTTAACAGATTTTTTAAAAATCTTTATTGAATAACAACAGATTCTACATAACATTTTAAGTCACTAAAACTCTATTTAAATCACAAACCAATAACACCCCCGAATCATGTTTAAATTGGCCATATAACAAGTTCACGTATTAACCGGCCATTTTTTTAAAGTTCGGCTATTAAACGACATTTTTCCCTATTTATATATGATTTTTCAATCTCTTCCAAGTCATTTCAGAGTATTGCAGTGAGTACATGCGAACTGGCAGAGGTTATTACTTAAAAAATTTCACTATCTTTTATTCTGCATTGCAAGAATTCTACAAACACACTTTCCTTTGTGTAATCATATAGCATTCAAATGTGCTATTGGCATTCATATCAAGCTCTTTTGTGTACTCCGATCGTATCTTATGTGGTTAATCTCGCCTGATCATTTTGAGAGTGGTAAATCAGAAACTTTAAGACGATTCATTTTTGTAAATCAGAAACCAATTCAACACTTTACTTACAGAGGTACTTCACTTTTGTTATCCTTAAGCTGCCTATTGATTTGTCTCTGTTATAATATACTGAAGCTTCCAAGTTTTTTCATTTTTTGCAAAATGCGTTTTGAATGGATGTATGTATTGGACGCTTCTTTGATTTTCACTGTTTGATTGGGCTAGAAAGCTTTAGAATTTAGAATAGAAGTGATCGGTGGTTTGTTTTTTCAGCAATTGAATGATATAGTTCTCAAGTTGTTTGCAATAATGCCTCAAAGAAGTAGTCTTTTCGTTACTAAAACTTAAAAATTCAGGAATTCTTGTGTAAAAATTACAAAAATGTAGTATAAAAGGTGTTAGTTAATGTTGATAGTGCAATGGAATGATTGAAATTACATGGTCCACTTTGAATATCTCTAATCATTTCTGTGGTTTGAATTTCACTTATATCTAAATCACCAATCACTTCATAACAGCTTGATGAAGAGTATTTATGTCCCTGATACAGTGTTTTACCCCAATGGGGAGAAAAAACAACATAAACTCTTTTTCTATTTATGTGTACCCTTTTACCTTTTGAGTTTAAAAAGTTACCTTTTTATGTTTTATATTCAAACCTACAACATTGGTGGGCAATCTGTCTCTCTATTTCTCAGTAATCAAGAATGGATCTTACTATAAAACCTAGTTAAGTTGTTGTTTGATCTTGCTAGAAAAATGAATTGGGTTAAAATAAGAAGAAGAAGAGATTATTGGAATGAAAAAGTAAGAGCAAGTGGGGACACATGAAGGGGCCTTTGTGTTTAACATAAAACCAGGAGAAGCATACAATTCTTGCTTTATCTATCTGTAAGGATGATGATCTCTTACATGATTCTTTCAAAGTGTTTTTACATGTGTGTCAGATCTTTTTTCATTCACCAAACTTTATTCCTCTGCCATTCCCATCTGGAAAAATAAATAAAATGAAAAGCTTATGTAACTCCCACCCAACAAAATAACATGCTACACCACATGTACTTTGCAGTTTTCTTGTGCTTAGACTTGCAATTTCACTCTACCTTTGTTTAATTCTTGCGTAAGATCTCAGACTTCTTCTTTCTCTTTCTTTTGGTATCATTTTGAACCATTTTGGCTTTTGCATTTGATGTTTTGCTGATTCTTTGCTTTTGATTTCACTTTGAATATAATCAGAAGTTGCTCTGATAAGTGTTTTTTATATTTTCTTATCAGATGCATCTTGAGATTCAGATTTAGTCATCTCTACAGAGATTGATTGTGTTGTTACTCTGTTTTTTCTAAGAGCAACCACCATGTCCATGGGAGATGAGAAACAGTGTGAGATGAGGAACGAAATGATGTTATTTAGTTTGCTGATTAGGAGAGTCTTTGATGAGGAAAAGGGTAAGCTTCTTCAGAGGCTTGAGGATGCCAATAGTGAAATTACAGAGTTGAAGAAAGTGAGAAATGATGATGCAAAAGCTAACGAGAAGGTAGTTAGCATAATCGCATCTCAAAAACAGAATTGGTTAAGGGAGAGGTATGGATTAAGGCTGCAGATTGAGGCTCTGATGAAGGAATTAAGGAATATTGAGAAGAGGAAGAGAAAAAGCTTAACCGAGATGCAAGAAAGATTAAAAGAAAAGGAATATTTAGTGGAATCTAAAGATAAGGCAATAGAAGACGAGAAGCGGAAATGCGAAGAGTTGGAGGAAAGGTTGGTCAAAGCAGAAAAAGAAGTTCAAGATTTAAGGGAAACACAAGAGAGAGATGAGCAAGAACATTCTTCTGAGCTATGGAGGCAAAAGAAGACATTCCTTGAGCTTGCTTCTAGCCAGAGACAACTTGAAGCTGAACTGAGTCGTGCAAATAAGCAAATTGAGGCTAAAGGACTTGAACTTGAAGACCTGTCATTAGAAATCAATAAGATGCAGAAAGATTTGGAACAGAAAGATCGAATCTTGGCTGTGATGATGAAAAAGTCAAAACTGGACATGACCGATAAGCAGATGACATTGCTTAAGGAGGCTAAGAAAAAGCAAGATGAAGAAGAAGCGAAGAAATGGAGAACGAATCCAAAATCAAGAAAACACGAAAGACGATCACTAAGAAGCATGTTTGCTTTCGAAGCCACAAGTAAGCCTAAAAGCAACAGTGTTGGTTCCATTACTCACATTGAACATCTGGAGTCGAATAAAGATCCTGATGTCGTCCCCTACTCTATTGGTGATCTCAGTGACCTAGGTAAGTCCTCAAAAAGCTTGAATTTTCATTTATTGTTTCTATTTGAAATTTAAATTGATTATGAATCTCCATTGGTACATTTTGAAGGTGTCGATGGAATTGCAAAGAAGCGTGAGAATTTGATTTTTGGAGAGGAAGAACTTTGTATTAGAGTGATAGGGAAGAAGCAAGAGATAGAGCTAGGGGACTTTACAGAGCATATGAAACTAAAAGATGAGAAGGTTGAAACTCTGTGTTTGCATCTGATGAACTCTGAGTTAGAATCAAAGCGGTTGAGATCTTGTATTGAAGGACTGAGCCAAGAAATGTCACAGTTGAGACACGACAACACACAGTTGGAAGGCATAGTAAATCGAAGAGGGGATGAATCGGTTTCCCTGAAGAACCAAGATTTCAAGACTCAGCCAAAAAGCCTGGTGCCCCACAAGAACAATATGAGTTATAGAAGGAAGAACACAAAAACAGAAGCACGAGGAGAGCAAGAAAGAGAATTCGAATCAAGGGAAGTTTCTCAGGAAAATGCCACCGAGAAAGGAAGGGAATCATACTCGCCTGATGAATTGAGACATTTGACTTTGAAGGCTGCTCAATCTGATGCTGAAGAAGGATCTGAAAACGAAAGACACTTACCAGAGAATAAGTGTACCAAAAGAGAAAAAGAAAATGGTAAGGAGAGTAAGAGACTAATAAGGTCATCAAGCACAAGCAATCCACCTTGGAGAATGGATCTTCATGCTCTTGGAGTTTCATACAAGATCAAAAGGCTGAAACAACAACTGATGATGTTTGAAAGATATATTGGGAAACCGGAGAGCCAAGAGACTGAAAAAAACAGCAGTGATACCGGGAAAAGGGCTTTGTTATTGCTAATTACATTGCTCAACAAACAAGTTACTAGGTATCAATCACTACAAGAGAAGATTGATGATTTGTGCAAAAGAATGGTAAGCAATCATTTTCTCATACCACTTACATTACTATCTCTGTTCACATAAACTGATTCTTTTTGGTTAACCATTATATATAGCATATGAATGATCCGGAGAAGATTAGTGGAGAAATCAGAGTAAATGGGGAAGCCAAAACATCACTAGAGCATTTCTTAGATGAGACATTTCAGCTGCAAAGATACATAGTGGCAACAGGACAAAAACTGATGGAAATCCAATCCAAGATAGCTTCTGGCTTTGTTGAGTTTCTAGTAGACCTAATCACAACTGAATCCTCCTCTTCTAGTAGCAGCTTTGATCCAGAACGTTTTGCAGAAAACATCAAAAGTCTGTTTCAAGAAGTGCAAAGAGGGCTTGAGGTTAGGATATCCCGAAGCATAGGTGATCTTGAAGGGACATTAGCTCGTGAGGGAATGATACATTTGAAGCGACGGAGCGACATGGAGCTACGAGTATGAGAAGCTACAAAATATGTAAATTCTTTACAATTCCTCTTCAGCACTTAGAGTTTTTGTATATAAATTTTACTTATATATAGGGGACCATTGGTCATATTTAAACTCCTGAAATCTTAGTTAATTGTTCAATCAGATTATTGGTTTGGTTTTACGGTATCGAAATTTCGGTTTGGTGTTGGTTACCAGCTTGATTAGAAAAATCCCTATCCCTATAGAAAAAGGACCACATGAGTATTATAAAGAGAATGCTAAGGTAAGGATGGGGCTTAAATTGAATGTATCTGTTGCTTTTGGAAGTTGATAGTAAGAAAAGTAGCTTTTGGAAGTGATAGTAAAAAGCATTTAATTTGCATGTGTTTTTGCTTTGCCTCTTTGTGGAAGCTTCAAACATTCAATCTTATAATGTTTTGTAGTTGCGTCTTGAGTTATCTCCTCCAATTAAAATATAATGTTATACCAAATGAGGAAAGAGTTTGTTATTTTTATATCATAATACTTAGAAAGTTTCTTTGTCTTCTTTTTATCCTATAATCTTTATTATATCTCTATGAATATAAAAAGTATGCTTGTTTTCTTTATAACCTTTAAATTATTAAAATAAACATATAAAAATTCATTAATTTTTTTAAATAATATCATATTCATAATAAATTTATGTTATGTTAGTATGAACTTAAAAATGTTGTTTTATAGATATAATAGATGAAGTCTTCTTCGGAAGAAACTAGAGGTCTCCGAGAGAGGTTGATAGGGTTGGGCGGATTGGATCTTAGTACCGGAAGTTTTGGTGAAAAATTAACAAAAGAGAAGTGGTATCTTCAAGTAAGATCATGGAACTTTTTAGTGCATTACTTTAGATCTCTCCGATTCTTATTTATCCAAAAAAAAAAAAAGAATTTTAAGAAAATGAAATATTTTCTCCATACATACAAATTTCTAACACTTCACGTTTCGTAAACGCAATCGAATTGCTTTATGATAAAAACTAAAAGGCAGACAAGTGCCAAAAACAAAAAGGCCTTCGTTATGGTTATCTTTATAACTCCCCTTTAATTCTTCTTTTATTTCTTAATGAATGGCATAGAATTTTCACATTCTATTAAGTATTATCTTATACTATCAAACTTGAGAGAAGAAAGTAACATTTCACTAATGTCAGTGGTCTCTCAATTCGAATAACCTAACATGTTAAAATCAAAAGCACTCCTCAATTCTCATCTTACCAACGTGACTTACTTTTATTTTTCTACTTTTGTGATATTAATTAACTAATTAAAATAAGATTTAACTATAACATATAACACATTTTTTATATATATATAGCTTTCTATTAAAATTTTTGACATATACCAAAAGCTTAAATATATAATCCGTGTGCAAATAAAACCCGAAATGCAAAAAAGAAATTCCACTAAACATGAGACTCCTATCATTTTCACTTTAACGGATTCATATACATATATAGAATTTGCAGGGCTTGTAATCATGACTGTAATGTGTAATCATGATTGTAATATAAATTGGACATGCTTATAATCAAATCCATATTCATTCTGCTTGTGATTGTGATTGTTATAATGAGCAACCAACTAACCATCATAAATTTCCGAGATAACGCAAGCTGATTAATCTAATTAAGTACTAGATGGTAGAAAGAAAAATGGAACTATCAATCTTTTACGTTGTGATTTAGTTTGTGTAAAATTCGTTGTTATTTGTGTTTGTTGATTAGTGTTGAACTTTTATGACTTTCATATAACTTTGTAGAAAAAGACATTTCAAAACTTGCGGTGTTATACGTGGAAGAGATTTCACACAGTTAAAAAAGTATTATTGTTTCGTTTATTTTCTTGTTGTTGTTAATTTGACCTAAATAGTAATGAATCATTATAACCAAAGTAATTATAAGTGATCTTTTGGATATATTCCAACAAATTAAATACATGCATTTTCATCAACATGTTACATATATAGAGTCCAGATAAACTATACTTTATATACAACAAACAATATATCTAAATAATGCATTAGACATGAAAAAAGAAAAGAGAAGGCGAAGAGGAAGGAGCTTCGCATGATTCTCCTAATCTTTGCATTAGATTTCTACACAAAAGTCGCTGCAACATAACTGATGCCACGACAAAGAGAGCTCGAGAGGATAGAGAGAGCACAACACAAAGAGCTGCCTTTGACTTTTTCAAACCCTAAAACCAAATTGACCGTTTGTCCATCAACACCACGTCCTCCCTCAACGTCCATCGTGATTACCTTTATTATTTCTTACCAACAATATTTTCAGTTTTTTCTTTTTACAAAAAAAAACACTAATTCTATATTATCCTACAAGAATTACACTGCCTAAAACAAACTAACAAAACATGTGTCTTCTAAGTGATAACAATGAAATTTTCTCACATGTAACGTTTCATATACTATAGTTTACGTACAAAAATAAATGAAATTGGCATAACTAATTTATTAGATATTTATTGGATTTTTTGATAGTGAAGGTACTTAAATTAACAAGTCGTTTTCAATAATAAACAAACAAAATGCCATATCTCGTGAACAAGAAGCACAAAAGAAGAGCGTTTCATTTATTTTAATTAATTCAAAAATTCAATTCATTTTCATTTATTAATTATCTTTTCTTCTCCTTCATGTCTTCTCTAACCTCTCTCCCACTATTCATCGTCCTTAACTTTTCCTTTTTCTCGTTCAAATGAATCCAATTCCAATAAAGGTTTCTTTTTTCTCCTATTTAACCCAAACCCATTTCTTATAACGTCAAAAACATTATTGGGTTTTCATTAATTCATCTCCAAGAAAACGAAACAAAATGGGTTTTGTTAACGATCAAGATCGGTTCTGTTCCACGTCTAAGCTTCCTCTGTTTTCATATCCAATGAATAACAGAGTATATGAAACTACTCCGGGGTTAGCTACACCTCCGGTTAATATCGCCGGATCTGTTCCTTTTCTTTGGGAAGAAGCTCCGGGAAAGCCTCGTCGTATTAAAAAACCGGCGAGGTCAAATCAGAACGGTGTCGTGAGATGTCTTGAGCTTCCTCCGAGGTTACTTTTGCCTGGAGAATCTACGACGGTGAATGAGCCTTCTCCGACTACTGTTCTTGATGGTCCTTATGATTTACGTCGTCGTTCACTGTCGCTTCCGAGATCAGCGGCTGTGATTAGGAAGTTAAGAGGAGTTCCGGCGCCGGCGCCGGAGAAAGAACAGAGATTAATGCTTGGTGGGTCTAACCGATGGGGAAGTTTTAGGAAATGTAAAGAGGTGTCTGAGGGTATATTTGACTTTTCACGTTTTAGAGATGACGGTTTTGATTGCCGGAGGGATTGGACCGGAGGAGGAGGAGTTGGTAACTTCGCCGGAGACGGCGGCACAAAAGCGAAACTTTATAGAATTATAAAGAAAGGAAGCTTTTTTAATCTCTCTCATACAACAAAGTCAGATTTCTGGGTAAGTTTATTTATCAAAAAGTTTCTTACTTTTTCCTAAAATTCTTAACACTTTTTTAATTTCTGATTTAACTTGAGTATTAAGTAATAATCACATTTTGTGGGATTTTTTCCGGATTATGAAAATTAACTTTTCGTTGGAATGTCAAATTTTTTGCAACAACAAAAAGTAAATTACGTGTCAAACTTTTTAAGTGATTAAAGTATGTGTATAATATACCTTTTTTTGGGTATGTGAAGGAAGTAATAGTGTAACCCAAATGATTCCATATTTAAAAATGCAGGCAAGGGTTTACGAAGGGTTTAAGCAAGTGATTCCATGGAAGCGTAAGCAAGAGAATTTGGAAAGAACAAACTCTTCCATTGTTTAAAATCGAATCTCTTTAATTCTATAGTTTGATATACTAATTAGTCTTCTCTTGTGTATACTTTATTATTTATACAATCTCTCAAGGACACATTTTATATTACAATTTACAATGACAATTAGGAATTTCGTGGTTGCACAAAAAAAAAATCGGTTTTTATTTAATCTCTGCGTTTCATTTTTATAAGTTGCTACTAGTATTGTTGTTGATACAGGGATTTTAAGTAAAAAGTTGCAGAGATAATTTGAAAATGTTCAAATAATATGAACATGAAAATCAGCCACACAATATCACTGATGTGAAAAGAGTAACAAAAATGAAACATGGTTTTTATAATATCTTTGTCTATATTTGACTTCGCTAGTTTGTGTAAATTTTGTCAAAAGTTGTTAAAAATGGCAGTTCAATTATAGAGTACACACTTCAATACAATTATTATATTGAAAATGTGTAATTGGGTCAATGAAAATTAACCATACTAATATCTTTGATATTAAAAATGAAAATATGTAGAATTTTATTCAACTCATCATACTAATTTCATTCATCAAAAATAATTGATAAACAAATTCAATGAGGAAAACCTAAAAAAACATTCCCTAGATAATCTAGATTGACCAATTGGGTCAATGAGATTAAAAAAAAAAAACATTATTCTAAGAGAAAACAAAATAGATTTGTAGAAATACTAAGAAAATCAATAATAGTCATCACCAAGTGACTTTCTTCTCTTATAATTGGCTTTGAAACAAGCTTGCCTTAGCTTCTTTGTTCCATCACTAAGCTCAGCATCTGGTTCTTGCTCTATAAGAACCCTATGTTCCTCCAAATTCTTCACTTCTTCTTCCATTCCAACACTCTATCACCAAAAAACATATTAAATCTATTAACCTTTCAAAATAGAAAACGTAATAAACCTTAAAACACAATTGAATCACAAGCAAATGCTATTAATTAATTAATGATGTTGGACCTTGAGATTCTTGATGAGAGAGTTCAGACTCTTGAGCTTCCGGTGAGGCCACCGGTAAATCCCTAATTCCCTGCAGCGCTTCTTCAACACGGTGAGTCCCACGTTCAGTTCTTTAGCCGCTTTCATGATCGGCCTATCGAAAAATTGTTTGATCTCAGACATCTCCAATTTGTCTTGCCTTTTTTTCTTAGTGTTCCTCTTCTTCTTCACTGTTCTCTTTTCAACTCTCTCGTCGGAACTGAGGCAGTCGTTTTGGATAGCCAGTGGTGAAGAGGAGCCACTTGAGAAGTAGGGTTCTTGAGTCAACAAGTGAATATCAGATGGAATTGTGTTATCCACTTCGATGTTTTCAAAGAAATCCTCAAAGCTATTGTACTGAAACTGAAAATGCAACCCCGCATTTGGTTTCAGATCTTCTGTGTCTAGGAGAGTCTCGAGCGGAGGTAACCTGTAGACCAAAAACGATTAAGAAAAAATAGTAAAGAAAAGAGAGATAACTTCTTTAGCAAGAAAACGAATGAAGGGTTTCCAACATACTTTTCTAACATGTCGTACAGCGAATCTCGTTCATACTGGTTTTCGACTTTCAGAGAATCGAGTTGATGAAGAGAGTTATGATCCATTTGTTGAAGAATCAGTGATAGAAACAGAGCAGAATAGTTAAAAACAGAGACGTGTTTTGACGAACTCATATATAGTCTCTGTAAAAAACGATGAAGGGTTCATAGGGATTGCAATGTAATCGGAGTTACGAGTCCCAAAGCGTATAATCATTAAATGTTGATCTTAATTAATTACCGTGTGACTTTAATTAAGTATATGATCATGGGGGCTGAATTTTGGGTTAGTTGCTTCTTTAATGAAAGTTTTTTTTATGATGATGAGAATTATTTTTGTCTACTTCCTCTAGTCAAAGTCAATGCATGAAAGTTGATAAGATCATATTGCTAAAAATTCACAATCGATATTAAATGAATGGAGTTTTTGTGTGTTATCGGATTAGATGATGCATGTGTTATATGTTACGATGATAGATACATTTGATGTTGAAAGAGGATTAAGAGAGTTAATGAGAATATCTGCTAATAACAATTTACTTAGTAAATGGAAAAAAAAAAAACGTAGTCAAATCAAAAGAATTAAATGTAATCATCCTTTTTTCACTTCTCAAATCCAGTTCACACTACATAATAGTAATACATTGTTTGAACAAATCGGTGAAAATTCCAAGATTCTAGGAGAAACACCAAAAACACTATGATTTTGAGTGCTTGAAGAGTAATGAGAAAGAATCAATCTTCTTTTTTCCACATTGGTGTTTTACTTTTGCCCAAATTCTTGAATTGTTCTTGTGGCTAGCGTAAGAACGTCTACAAACGCAGAGAACGAAGCGCGAAGAAGCCTTGCCTCTATTGCTTCAAAGTGCCTGTCAAATTATCCGGTAGAGAAAATATCAAAACTAGTAGAAAAGTAAGCGAAACCGAAGATTCTATGGACACGAAAGATGGCTAGTTAAAAATTAAAATCAGTCTTAAATCGATCTAAGCGATTCAACGATCAAATAAGGCGAAGAAGGACTTGAAGAAACTCACACAGAAAGCTTGTTGTTTGATACTGACATAACTCTTCTCACCTTATCAGGCTGCAACTGCATTAATGATCACACAACAGAAGAAATTCAAGCATCAGTGACATTGGAAAAAGCTTGTTGGGAAATTAGATTTCATTCATATATTGGAAGAGAATTAACAAATTTCAAACCTCTTTATCAACAGCCAATGATGTGTAAGCAATCAAAGCATGTTCTTCCGATTCAAAATTCACATCCAAATTACTGCAAATTGGCAAAAGCTCTGTTACATCAAGTCCCTAACAAGTCCCAATGAAAAGATACCAAGTTTATTCAAACCTATAACACTCTAATCCTCAGTATTGTTGTGCAACCCTAAGCCAAGCCTAAAAAGCAACTTTAGAAGCTCGAATTAACCTCAATGAGCGGAGCGATGAAACTAAACTAACTAGGTCATATTGCTGTTTATGTGGGTAAAGATCGAAACTTTTGAGTCTATTCCTTCAAATGTATCAGACCCAAGATTTCTCTAATCGAATCCATATGTTCTAACATCAGATACAGAGCAAACTCGTTACGAATAATTGGAACTAAAAGCTGAATCACTAAAGAGGCGAATTCAAAAATTCCAAAAATAGGAGGAGCAAAGTAAGAGAATTTACAGAACATACCAACTAAAATCCCAAGTTTGGTCAGAACGAGTAACTGCAGGAACAGTCGCAGCCATTTTTGCTCCTTCCTTCCTTCGTCAATGGAGGTTTTGGCAAAACCTTAATTAAACACAGAAGCAGGTTTTGAGTGGGCTGCTTAACGGGCCTCATATTTTTAAGCCCAAGACATTTCATACCGAGAGGAATTGACGAGAATACCCTTTTCCGTAAACAAAGGTATGTGAAAGGTATATTCGAAAAGTATATCTTGCATGAAGGAATATTTTGAGTACAAACTAGAATCTCGTCTACTCATTTCGCTATCTCTTCTCTATCTCTGGTTCTGCAGATTACACAATTCATCTACGTAACATCATTCACCAGAGAAAAGCTTCAAGCTTTGGTTTCAGACAGAAGCAGTACCAGGCATGTCCTCTTCTATCTTCTCTTTCTTGTTTCCGTGTTTGTTTCATGATCTTATAATAACTATTGTTTCGTAGCTAGAAGGTATCCTTCATGAATGTCTTTGAGATATTAAAAACATGTTGAAAGATTCATGGAACCTGGAATGTTTGTTTTCTAAGTTGTATAGGACATGTAATTCTTGATTTAGGCAGACACTTAAAGAAAACAGTTATGTTCTATAGGTACAAAAGAACATACAAGTCTATATTGATATTCTGATGTCTTATCTTTACATATTATGTTCGTAGAACAAATGTTACATGGAGGGTGACGTTGTAATGATCCTCTACACGTGTATATATCAACAGTTTGTTGTCTCCTTCTCCTAGCCTTGTGGCTCTGTTGCAGCAAAATTATCTTTAATCTCTTATGTTCATCAGCTTGGTCATTGAAGAACAGCCTGATTGCTTGTATGAAAATATCTGTGGAAAGACGGCAGATTGTGATAAGTCTAGTTGTTCATGTTCTATCTTCAATATAATTAAGCAGTGAGGAGCTTACTTGGTCGACAAATTGAAATGTGAAGGTTTGTTGTTATGTGAGACAAGGTCCAACTTTGACGGGTTTCACTGCCCTGAAAGCTCTTCTTGAATACTCAAATGCCAAAACCAGAAGTCCGAAGAGGAAAAGTAGAAAGCGATGGAACTTTTCCGCTACGAAATGTGCAGGGGAAACGGCATTTTTGCCTTCCGATGAGCTTCTAATCAATGTTAGTCTCCTCTTGAAATAACCTAATAATTCGAAAAGCAAGCAAATAATGGAATGTTGATGTTAGTCTCAGAACAACTTTCGAAGAAGAAGAATGGTCTAAAAAGATGGAAATTCTGTATTTCTATACCGGGTGTTTCCATGGTGAGGTTAGTCCAATCAGTTGGTATTTTCTTCATTTCCGATGCCTTGATTAACTCGAGAAGAGCTTTATTAACCTGAAATTGACCAGCAGGTATGTTAATCCCTTTTTCCAGGTTCTGAGAATACAGAGATACCAACAAGAGTAAGGAAAATGTGTTTCCTCTTCCACATTGTAGCAATGCTATTCCTAAAAGACCTCAGAGCCTATAAGTCTTTATAGTTTGCTATCATATCTAACAAAAACAATGAGGTTTAAGTAACGGTATGATCGCTTACAATGTTTGATCAGTTGCTACAGTAGTCAAGAGTTTTCCAAATAGGTTGCCGTTAAAATCTTTCTCCATATATGATTAAATCAGTTAATCAAACTCATAGTCAACTTCTTCTTATTTTCAGAGTAGTCTGATTCTATTTCGGTCTTATATTTTTCCTGTTAAGTTACGGTAATCTGAGTATGACATTCATTAACATATACTGCAGATTGGAGGAAATTAAGGAGCAACAAAGACTTTAGATATTAAGTCTTATATACATCAGGCACAAGAGAGACAGAGCTAAATAAGACAGAAGTACCTCTTCTGTTCTCTCGTGGCTTACAAGATGACCTCCATGAAGATCCACCATTCTAGCGACGGGATATAGCCTCTGTGCCAGTCTTCTTGCGTAACATATCTGAGCAATCACATCATGTCTGCATATAACCCATCACATTCTCAAATTAACTACTGTATAAAGGTAAAGATGCTTTATAAGATCAACAAACTCAAAACTGAGTGCACGAGGTGACTTTGATTCTAATTGTGTTGGTGTTGCATACCTTCCATGAATGACTGAGACAAGAAACCCAGCCGAGCGGATTACTTCGATCTCTGGTTTTGTGATTTTGTGTAACCAACACGCGTTAATTTGGCCATCAAACCCGTACTTGGACTGCATTCCAGTTTCTGATATTCCTTTTACATATTGCTGCATTGCATCACTCAAATATAAGTTACCTTAAATCGTTCACTAGTGATATTATTATATGTCATTTTCTTCACATAAAAACCAGTAAACCCACCTGATATAAAATTGCCCGTCTTGTGTTAGTTCCTACAGATTCTTCTAGGTAATCCTGCATTTATAAACAGCATGAGAACATAATCACTCACAAGTTTCCTCTGGACAGTAATACATCAATCTTAGATTTTGTTACCAAATTACTCTACTAACATAAATTTTCAAGACCAATGACTTGAACTCTACCAACTCAGTCATCTGATCGCTTGTTCCAACCGAATAGAGAAAACAGCACCAAAATTTGAAATATAGAATGAAAGTTGCAAATGAAACACAGATTCAACAAATGCATGCCATATTTCAAACTCCAGTCGTTGCTCTATTAACAATGGTTCTAAGCCAATTTTGTTCTTAGTATATGAGTACATCGAAGAACACACTGAAAGTCCCCACCTTTGAATAATGTGTGTCCAAATCAACAGCTGCCCTTTGTTCAGGGGTCTTTGCCTTCAGAAAACGTATCGCAATGGAAAGCGATTGCCGGTCAAGCTAAATCACATAAAAACAAAAGGCCAGAGTCAGATATTTTGTATCCAAGTGAAACATCATCTTGTGACAAATCGTGACAATAAGAAAACTATAACTTGTCTTCATATAAGAAACCAACAGATTCACACGTATGAACAAGTCATTGCTATCAAAGAAAGAAGACTCAACAACAGCGCCACGTATATCAATCAAGTACCTTCGGGAAACATTCGAAACCTCCACCTGTAACGTTAAGCAACGCCAACGAAAGAACCCGTTCGGGCACCATTGCAGCTAACTTGCAAGCTATCATAGCTCCTGTTAATCAAAAAGCCAAAAGAACAACAATAAGACTTCTTAAAGAACCTATGGAATAGAACCATAATTTGTCTACAAAACACAATCATCAATAGTCACTTGAATGATCATTAAAAGTTACCCATAGAATGGCCAATTATGTGAGCTCTCTTCCAACCCAAATGATCTAACAAATTAATTGAATCATTTGCCATTATCGTTGTTCTGCGCCAAAACATAACCCAAATTGAGTGAAGAAGCTAACAAAACCAATTTCACAGGCTATTGTTAAAACCAAGATTAAGAACACAAACCACAGAATCAAGTTCTTCAGTAATGAAATTGGGGACAATAGAAAGAGAGACTCACGTGTACTCGGATTTGTGGGTAGGTACGGAGCTCCGACCCATACCACGATTGTCAAAAGCACAGACCTCGATGCCTTGGCCTGTTCCTGAATCATCGGAAACGATTCCTCCGTCGTCGTCGTTGGGTTTATCCGTCCCCGTCAATCCCATGATTTGGGGACCCCAGGACTCATGGGTTCCGGCTAAACCTGAACAAAATTAGAAAAACCCAATTGAAATCAAGCTCTAAATCGCTAAGGAGATCAATCAAATGGGAAAGATGGAGATTACAACAGACCTATGATGAGAAGAGCTTTGATAGGACCATGACCGTAGGTTCTGTAGAAGATTTTGATTGCGGCATTGTTAAGAGTCGTCTCTGGGCCGACGTCTTCTTTCACGACCTCGCAAAACGGCATCGTTTCTCTCTGTAATTTCAAAGATATCTTCCTCTGAATCAGATTCGGCAACCGGAAAATGAAGAGGAGGAGACGAGAAAGGAAGGACTTTTCTCTATTGAGGAAAAGGAAGATTTGGACGGCGATGGATTGGGTTTTGTGGTGGTTCGGTTCGGTTTTTTTGGGTGGAGGTTAGGACTGCCACGTAGGATTGGTCGGCTGGATTTTATTGGCGGGTAATACCTAACAAAGGTCAACGGTCAAATTTTTACACGAGAAAAGTTATTATTATTATTATATTTCTATAGAAACATAGCACGTGAAAAGTAACACTAGAAGTATTACTACGTCAATGGAATTCATTCATACATTATATAACAAACACCACCATACAAAGTGGAGCATTGACCTACCTAAGCGATAGCAAGTAGACCATTTGTTGAAGTAGTCACTAGACTATTAATCTCCGGTTCAATGTGTTTTTTTTCTTTAGTAAGGAACATTTCAAATCCATCCATCATTGTTTTTTATTCTGGATATCCATTTTATCCAGATATCTAAATTAATAGCAACAAAGAAGAAGAAAAAAAACACAAATTTTAGTTATAAGAAAAGACCATAATTAACTTTGAAATTTGTTGAAACATATATTACCAGAAATTTCAAAGTTTAATAAGAGTTACTAATACTTTAGCAAAAAATAAAAATAAGAGTTACTAATAATTAGGATCCTTCCCTAAGCTTTGCCTATAAGACAAAAAAAACTATACGGTACCTTTTGAAAAGTTCAAATTTATTAGTGATAAATTTAGGAAGAAATTTGAGGGAAGGTGGAGATGTATTCAGGTGTATTACCAAAGGGCAAAGGTTATGAAACGAATCGAATGCATAGTGGTCTAGTCCACCCAAATCTTCATAGTACTCTTTAGTTGGAATTTTCAAAGTTGGTGATGGTTAAAAAATGCTTAAAGAGATGATAGAGAAGATGGTTGAGTTTGTGTATAAAGTTTTAAGGATGGTTGGGATATGAACGGAACACATAAAGAAAGATTGAGTTAAGTAATTGGATATACGTCTCAATCCGAGAAGAGTACTTTACGATTACGTTTCTTTATGAAAAGGAGAATTTGCTTGATTTGTGTATAAGATATAGATCAATATTTGTGTGGTAAATCTAGTGTGTATTTAGACATCCGGTGATACTTCGTAGGTTTGATGATGATTCATAATGTTAAATAAGAACTTGGTGGTTCGATGAGACTATAAGAACGCCTCTACCAGAATATCTAAATGTAGGTACACCTTAGACCATCTCCAATGTATTTCTCTATTTTTACCTCTATCTCTATAATAGAGGTGAGTTTTCTCTATTTTTACTCCAATGTATTCCTTTAAAAAGTTTAACTCTATTTATAGAGGAAAAAATAGAGATTCTCTATTCTCACCTCTATATATAGAGAAAAAAATAGAAATCTCTATTTTAGAGGTGAGAATAGAGGTGGGTTGGAGTAAATTTGCCTCTAAAATAGAGTTTAGAGACAAATATAGAGGTGGGTTGGAGATGCTCTTATTCCTTATAAATAAAAAAAAAATGTAGAAGAGAGATGAATAGAGAAAGAGTCCCGTGACCACACCCTTTTCACTTGTAGCTTCACTTCACCCATTTGGTTCAAGTTAAGTGATGGCATCACTCAACATCAACATGTCTCATCGTTTTGTGACTACTCTCGACGATTTCATGAACATGTTTTAGTCGTACGCATCAATTCCTCTTGAGGTATGTGTTTCAAACTACTTTATTTGGCGAGAGCGAGATCGAAGACGTGGAGAGCAACCAATCTCCACGGCTTCTTTAGTTAAAGCCATTGACAGTACAGTTCGGAGTCGTTGCTCGATGGTGAAAGAACAGAGCAATGGAAAATTTCAAGATGCTTTACGTGAATGATTTGCAACAAGGGATCACTAACCCTGTTAGTCTATGTTTTGATTATGTTAGCCGCTCTGTTTTGATTCATTAAGTTTCAGTTTTCTTTTTATAATAACTTTAATAAGATACATTTAATATAAGCGTCGTGTTTTTTATGAATAAAATTTTTTGCATTCATACCAAAGAAAAAAAGAAGAAGAAACGTAGGGTTTTTATTTGAAAATCTCTCGTCTCTAATTGGAAGACTCCTTTAACATGTATTTTTCTATAATTGGTTCATTCTTTTGGTCTTCTTTAAAATTTAAATAAATAATGACATCATACTAAAATAATATATTTGAAAGATTTGTGAGTTCTTCACCTATAGGCGATAGGAATACTTAAGCTCTTTCAATCATTTATAGACATGTTGCCATACAATTTTTTTTTTCCTTTTTTTTCTTCATATTAATCATTTTGAAGGTTTTACATTTTAGCATACTATCATTTGGAAAGTACTAAACTTGACGATGTTGCCATACAATTTTTTTTTTCCTTTTTTTTTTCATATTAATCATTTGGAAGGTTTTACATTTTAGCATACTATCATTTGGAAAGTACTAAGCTTGACGATTATCTTGTGAAAGCTCATCATCAACTTAAGCTTGAAAATTATCTTGTTCACAAAAGCAAGCAATCACAACACAAGATAATTGTCAAGCTTAAGTTGATGATGAGCTTTCACAAGATCCAGAGCCGTCCCTGAAGTTTTGGGGGTTACAAGCAAAAAATTTTGGCTAATTTTCTCTTGAAAAAGAAAAAAATGAAAAAACACTTCTGCTAAGAATCAAACTTGTGACCAATTCTACAAAGTTAGTACTATGTTTCCAGCTGAGCTAAAGTGTTTTTACACAAAAATGAGGCCGGTTTACTATATAAATATATAGCGGCCGCAAGCACCAGCTTTGCTTGCTTGTGCTCTTGGACGGCTCTGACAAGATCCCTCTAGTGCAGCTCTTCCCTAATTTTGGTTAATATCAGTGTCTATCTTTCTCAGAAATGAAGGAGAAAAAGATATATATCAAATTGCTGAAAAAGGATAGTAATCGTTTTTGTCCTTACGGATAGTGATCAAAATGGTATTTAACGAGTCAATACTTAGAAGCACCAAATGATTTTTACCATATGCTATCATTTTAACACTAAACTAATGATACCTTACCTGCTAAATATTAAAAGGGAAGATTTTTTTTTTCAAAAGCATTTTTTAGTATGTATTTAATTACAAGATACACGATTACCAAATAGTTAAAATACAAATTAAGAAGAAAAAAAACACAATTGTTTTTCAAATTAAGTTAAGTTTTTTTTAAGGGTTTTGTGCACAAAAAATACCTTCAACCCGCCAATTTTTGCAACTTTACCTTTCACTTCCAAAAAATATAGATTAATCATACGAAGTCAAAAATAATACGCAATATAACTCTTATACGTATATTGCAAAAAAATTTACATCCACATACATTAGATTTTTAAAATTCTAAAAGTAGAGTTGAACTTTTCATCGCGAGGACTTCAGTTTAACATATTATTCATTAAAATTTTACCAATTGACGATAGCGAAAAAAAGTTACGTATTATTCTTGATTTCACATTTTTTAATACTTACCATAATTTAAATCTCATTCACAACACGGAACATCATCTAATTTGTTACGTAGTAACAATATTTATATTTTCATATCAAGAAAAGTATGTATACATTTTTAGTATCTCTACTAATACGTTATGTAAGGACCAAAATTCATCTTGACTGTGCTAATAACTTTATGAAAAACTGATGACGATTCATAGTCTAGTAATTTATTTAGCTTAATATGAGTTTTTAAGAAGATGAAGCATCCCTAAATTTACCAAGAGTCTAAAACGACAACGTTTGGTAATAGCTAATATCGTAGTTACTAGTTAGCGTACACCACTAACAACACCCTTTGCACGGTCTCTCTCTACTCTCAGACTTCAAAACTTGGTTCTTTGGATTCACAAGAACCCTTAAAAAAAACAAAAAGCTGGTTTTTTTGCATTGCACCGATTCGCCTTCATCGATTTTGGATATTTTCGAATTCACCCTCCAAGATTTCCTTGAAATTGACCGGAAAGTTTCTTCCTTTTTTGATTTCCGGTAAAAAGGAAAGTAATTGGGCACTGTAGACTTCCTTCTAGGGTCTTTGTGAACTTTCTAATCCTTTAGAAAAACCCTCGAATTCGAAAATTTTGCGGCGAGATTGATAAATGACTAGTTAAGATTGAACTTTGATTTCTGGGTTTGCGATGGAGAGATCTAGATCGAAGAGAAACTACCACTATGACCAAGACTATGATGGAGATTCTATGCCCAGGTCTAAACCTCGCTACAACAATAATTACCACTTTGGTGGCGGCGGTGGAGGAGGAAATAACCGATACCGTGGCGGCGGTGGTGGTGGTGGTGGAAATGGCCGGCCATCGAAGTCTCACCCTGAAACGATGGCAACGACGACTTATCGAATCCTCTGTCATGACGCTAAAGCAGGAGGCGTCATTGGTAAATCCGGAACAATCATCAAATCGATTAGGCAGCACACCGGCGCGTGGATTAACGTGCATGAGCTAGTTCCTGGAGACGTAGAGCGTATCATTGAGATTTCTGACAATCGTAGGCGTGACCCTGATGGGAGAATGCCGTCTTTCTCTCCTGCTCAAGAGGCTTTGTTTAATGTTCATGACAGGATTTTGGAGAGTGAACCTCAGTTTGGGTATGGTGGAGCTCAGCCGGAAGAGGAGGAGGATTACGGTGGAGTTAGACCTGGTGGAGGGAGAGTTGTGACGAGATTAGTGGTTTCTAGGATGCATGTTGGTTGTTTGTTGGGTAAAGGTGGGAAGATTATTGAGCAGATGAGGATTGAAACTAAGACTCATATTCGGATTTTGCCGAGAGAAAGTAATTTACCTCGTTGTGTTTCACTCTCTGAAGAGATTGTTCAGGTTTGAAACATTGCTATTTTGAGAAACTGAACTTGTTGCTATTTTGCTTGAGAACATATATGAAATGATTAATCTTGTTAAGATTTTGATATGAAATGTAGTCAGTTTATTGAAATGCTAGATCATTTAAAAGTGTGATTGTGAGGTTGAGGTAGTTGACTTTTTTTTTTTTTTTTCATCAGTTGAGGTAGTTGACTAGAGTCGAATCACTCTTATGTAGTTAACTTGGTCATTGTTTGTTATGTTTAAGCTTTCTTTGGTTTTTGCTTACCTATGGGAAATGCATTTATGATGTTGGTTCTTTCAGATTGTAGGTGAACTTAGTGCAGTGAAAAACGCTTTACTCATTGTATCATCGCGTCTAAGGGAGAGTCAACATCGTGATCGGAGTAATTTCCAAGGGCGTTCACATTCACCAGAGCGGCAGTTTGCAGCTGCTGGGGATGATTACATCCCACAGAGAAGACAATCATCAGATAGGTTTCCTCGTGGTAATTATAGAAATAACAACTTCAGTTCTCGCCAATCCAACTATGCTGAAGAAGCTCCAGCAGTTCCAGTTGGTGAGAATGTCTACACCGAAGAGCTTGTGTTCCAGATTCTCTGCCCAGCTGACAAGATTGTTCGGGTTGTTGGGGAATCGCAAGGCATATTAGATTTGCTTCAAAATGAGATTGGCGTGGACGTGAGAGTATCTGACCCAGTTACTGGATCTGATGAACAGATAATCACCATTTCATCGGAAGAGGTACTCTAAATATCCTCAGATCTTCTTCAGTATTATCTGTTACATTTACAATTGTGAACTTGAAGTTTTGTATTCTTATTTTGTTTAGGCTCCTGATGATCCATTTTTCCCTGCTCAAGAAGCCTTGTTGCACATTCAAACTCAGATCATAGATCTTCTTCCGGATAAAGATAATTTAATAACAACGAGATTACTTGTCTCATCTAGAGACTCCGTATGTTTGGAAGGGAAAGCAGGATCAGTATCTGAGATATCACGATTAACTGGAACAAGCGTACAAATTCTAGCTAGGGAAGAAATTCCCCGATGTGCTTCTATCAATGATGTTGTTATACAGGTATGTTTGTCTATTTTTGAGGAGTTGGGCATTTTCTTAACAACTTCTGGTCTCAAAAGAGAATTCTTATGTGAATGTCTGATGTAGATTACTGGCGATATCAGAGCAGCTCGGGATGCACTTGTTGAATTAACGTTACTATTGAGGAGTCATATGTTCAAGGAGCTCTCTCAAAAGGAGACACCACCAGCTTCCACATCCACAACTGGCCCTCTTGAAGGTGTTGCAGGAGTAATGGAGGTAGCTTCATCAAATAACACAATTCCATCCCGTGAAGGTCTTACTGGTTCGAATCTGAACTTGCAGCAAGCTAGCACAATCTTGCCACAGTTTAAGGTTTTTGTTCTCATCAACAATCTTTTCAATATAAAGGCATCTGTAATCAGTTAGGGCAGACTTATTATTGATATCGAAACAATGTAATATTACTATCTGGCTGTGCACAATGACCTGAATACTTGGAAAGTAGTCTATGGTTCTTGTCCATTCGTGCAATGTCCCTATATTTACATATATTTTTTTCTTGGGTTTTTATAGGAAGGCTTTGGATCAGTTGCAAAGGCGGGTGAAAGTGAACACCGGGAGGAGGTTCCTGTCACGACAAGCAGGTAGAGAAACTCCCAAATTTATAATATTTTTTCCGGAACCGTAGACAAAAACATATTCCAAAACAACAAGTGCTCGTTTCACGCCTATCCTTCCTGTTTTTTGTTTTTTTTTTCTCTAGAATGGCAGTGCCACTTGTTACTAGAAGCACTCTTGAAGTTGTCTTACCAGAGGCAGTTGTTCCTAAGCTTGTTACGAAATCAAGAAACAAGCTTGCACAAATCAGTGAGGTGAAACCCTTTTAACTGGAACTAGATTGGTGCAAATCATGAGTTTAATCAAAATCTTTGACGCTTTGTCTTCTCTGTTTCCCACTTGATCACAGTGGTCTGGAGCTAGTGTAACCTTAGTTGAAGACCGACCAGAAGAAACACAGAATATCATTCGAATATCGGGTACACCAGAGCAAGCAGAGAGAGCACAGAGCTTGCTTCAAGGCTTCATATTGAGCAGTAAATTTCTCTCTTTCCAAACTTTATATCGTATATATACTCTGACCTATAGGTCTGATTTCCGTTCCTTATTTGGTATAGTACAAGAAGATGGACCGTGAACTTGGACCAGATCACCGGTCAACACAGAGTAGAAGATCAAGAAACTGAGAAATGTGGAGTTATGTATGAATTGTTGAATATTAGGATTTAAGTGGGCAGTGTGAGCAGTAGTAGTTTTAGATGAACATTCTACATTTTGACCATCACTCTTTGGTTTCTACTTTCTATGTTGTCTATTAGTCTTCTTTGTTTACATTGTTCTGTAACTTATAAAAGTTTAATCCGAAAGTAATCATTAAAGACTCGAATCTTTTTTGCATTCATCCCAAAGTACTGCAATAAGCAAGTTTTAGGAAGAACTCAAACGCTGCGTTTCACTTGAGTTAACGTCATTAAGATAGTCAGATAGGGGCTGTTTTTGCAAAAATAGAAAAAGTGTAGGGGTGAAAACATAATTAAATCTTAAAATCTTATTTTACAAAAATAGCCACTGCTAAAACCTCTACCTGCGGCTTCCCCTTTCTTCCAGTTCGTGAAAAAGGAGACGTCGCATCGCACCGCCGTCGTCGCGTTGCCGGTTCACTGGTGATTGATTCTTCCTCATCTTCTCTTTTGGTTTTCTCTATTCTCTCATATCCGTCGTATTTCTAGGGTTTTTCTCACTCCTTTTGTTGTGGAATCTCTCATTGTAATCTATCGCAGAGAATATCGTTGAATCTAGAAAATGGCTTATGTTGGGCAAAGTAGAAACGTGATTCGGCATGTAGTTTCGAGAGGAACAGCTTATCACAAGTCTGAAAATGCGATTCATCATCCTCTCCTTTTCGCTTGTCAAGGAGTTCGATACAGGAAATTGGAAGTTATTCTTACAACGGTGTGTTTTTGTGATTCTTGAAGAACTTTTAGCTTTTGAATTGAATTAGATGGTGGGTTTGGTTTTGATTTGTGTTGATTTTGATCTGATCTGGTTTTGTTTAGGGTATAGAGAAGCTTGGCAAAGCAGGTGAGACGGTGAAGGTAGCTCCTGGATACTTCAGGAATCATCTTATGCCGAAACTTCTTGCTGTGCCTAACATTGACAAGTATGCTTATCTCATCCGAGAGCAACGCAAGGTTCTCACTTTCTTCTTCTCTCACCTTTGCAAGTACAATGGCTAGTTGTTTTCTTCTCTTGTTGTTGTACTTAAGTAATGTTCTTGATGATGTATAGTTCTTGATGTAAAGGGTAAAGCAGATACTTATAACATGTCCTCATAGTGTTATGTTATTAAAATTTTATTGGTTTAGTGTTGGAGGCTTATCCCTGCATTTTATTGATGTTCAGATGTATAATCATGAAGAAGAAAAAGAGGAGGTTAAGGTGGTTCATAAAACTTCTGAAGTCCAGACAAAGGAGTATGAAAAGGCTGCAAAGCGCCTGGCGAATGCTAATCTGGTAAATTTAACTTGCCCTCTTAACTCTTACTATTCAGCATTCTTGTTCTTGTGGAATATTTAAAATGGTGTAAATATGGGGTCTATTTGTTTGATTAACAGGTATTGAGGAAGTTAGTTGACAAGGAAAAGTTCAAAAACCGCTCCTCCAAAGACGACAAACCTGATGTACAAACTCCTATCACAAAGGAAGAGATAGTCTCTGAGGTAAATTGTTCTTTCCTTCTAACGTCGTTAATTATGTGGCAAGTAAGATCTTGTAATCAACAATTATTGTGTTGGTTTATGAAGGTGGCGAGGCAGCTCTGTGTAAAGATTGATCCAGATAATGTGGTTTTAACGGCGCCTTTGGAAACTTTTGGCGAGTACGAGGTGCCTCTGAAATTCCCCAAGACAATTCCTTTGCCACAAGGAACTGTTCAATGGATTCTCAAAGTCAAAGTCCGTGGCCATTAAATCTCCACATTTGAAAGTCTTCCTTCAGTGATAATTCTCTTCTCCAATCTGTTTAATGTAGTCTTGGTATTGCAGAAACATTGTTAGCAAACACAACAAATGCGTTCCCTTCACTCTGTTTCTTTTTAGTAGTTGTATAAACCGGGTTTAGTCCGGTCTTAAATTTTAAACAGTGATTCGAATTTTTGTGCGAAAACCGGATTCGACCAGAAAAAGGATAAATTGATTAAGTTACGGGTTTTTTAATGCAATTATTTGAATCTCACTCGCATATGTGTCTATTTAACTCCGTTTAAAACATTAGGGCCGAAATTGTAAGATTCAGTAATTTCTGAGCCTCTGAAAATACCTTCATCAGCCATATTGATAGATTCCCGGCGTTATTTCTCTTCTCGGCGGAACCGCGGCCACGAGAACGAAGAGCTTCACACTACCTTTAATGGTGTTTTCTATCTCTCTCCTCTCTTCGACCACTTCGATCACCACATGGTAAATGATTCCTTGTCACTTTTCGCTTTGAAGTTTTTAGCCTTTTAGTGAAAAAGCTTAGTCTTTTAAGTTTGGTATCAAATTACGGTAAAGTAGCTTAAGTTTGATCCAAGGTGACTTGATCAAGCTCAATATCTCCAAAAAGTTTGGCTTTTGTGTCTTTGCTGAATTTGTGATTTTGGGTTTTTCAGGGCAAATCAATTAAGTTCTCAGTCAGGTCTTTACCCGAGAGATTCGACATGGCAGTGTGGTGTTTGTTTTCGTAATCAGAAACGCAAACCTAAGCTCTACTTGATTCCCGCCCGCCATTTTTTATTGACTCCAATTGATTCAGTCACCTCCTCAGAAACTGCTTCAGTTCATGCTACTTCTGGCGTTTCTGAAGTTCAAAGGTGAGAGGTTGATTGATTGATATTTTTTTGTTTAACTTAGAAAAGAAGAATTTAGATGAGTTTTCTGTTTATGCAGGTCTACTTCAAGCAACAATGTTAATGAGATGAAAGAGTTTGAGATGGAGTTGCAAGAGTTGTTTAATGAAGTCAAATCTATGGTGAAGATTGGGAAGGAAAGAGATGCAATGGACCTACTTCGAGCTAATTATGTTGCTGTGAAAGAAGAGATGGATTCCGGTTTGAAAGGTATCGAACAAGCTGCTGTACTTGACATCATTTCGTTGGGGTATATGGCTGTTGGAGACTTGAAACCTGTCCCGGCATTGCTTGATATGGTGAGTCTAAGCCAGATATCTAGAAAAAAATCATTTCTTTAACTGGATTGTGTTGTATTTGGTCTAAAACAGTAAGTTAACAAATGCAGATAAACAAGATTGTTGATAATTTAAAAGACTCCGAACCTCTTTTGGATTCAGTACTTATGCATGTTGGCAGTATGTATTCGGCAATAGGGAAGTTTGAAAACGCTATACTCTCGCATCAAAGGGCTGTTCGTATATTAGAGAATAGATACGGTAATGATCTTCTACACCTGTTTTTGTTTTCCTTGTGTCTTCTTTTTCCTTTTCGTTTGTCTTTAACCAACAGGAATTCTATGTGCTAGGTAAATGCAATACTTTACTTGTCACACCATTACTTGGTTTGGCAAAGAGTTTTGCTTCTGATGGAAAAGCCACTAAAGCGATTGGTGTTTATGAGCGTACGGTGACTATCTTGGAACGGAATAGAGGTTATGAAAGTGAGGATCTAGTGGTGCCGTTATTTGCACTCGGTAAACTTCTGCTCAAAGAAGGTAAAGCTGCTGAAGCAGAAATTGCTTTTACCAGGTACGGAGTGAAAAGGACTCGTTGGGTCAAAGTTTTTGCATTTTAATTCGCATATTATGTGATCTAGTTCTATCTTCTTTCTCTCTGCTAGGATTGTAAATATATACAAGAAGATATACGGAGAGAAAGATGGAAGAGTTGGCATGGCTATGTGTTCCCTTGCTAATGCTAAGTGCTCAAAAGGTGGGTTCTAAACTTCCAATCTGTTTTGATGTGGTAACTACAAGCTTTTGTTGAAGAGATGGTCTTGTATCTCTGGTTTTCTTAACAGGTGATGCAGATGAAGCCGTTGATATCTACAAGAATGCTCTACGGATAATCAAAGATTCGAATTATATGGCAATAGACAACAGTATCTTGGAAAACATGAGGATAGATCTTGCTGAGCTGCTTCATTTTGTTGGAAGGTAGAAGTTTTTCCTCTAAGCTTCTTCCTGTGATTGAGGAACTCAATTAAGCCACTAACTATCGCTTTGCACACAGGGGAGATGAAGGAAGAGAGTTACTAGAAGAATGCCTATTAATAAACGAGAGATTCAAAGGGAAAAATCATCCTAGCATGGCTACACATCTTATAAACCTTGCAGCATCTTATTCGCGTTCCAAGAATTATGTGGAGGCAGAACGATTGCTACGAACTTGTTTGAACATCATGGAGGAATCAGTCGGTTCAGAAGATCAGTCCATTACCTTCCCAATGCTAAATCTTGCAGTCACTCTTTCTCAGTTGAATCGTGATGAGGAAGCCGAGCGAATAGCCTTAAAGGTTCTACGCATCCGTGAAAAGGCATTTGGCAAAGACTCTCTCCCTGTCGGTATAAAATCTCTCGACTCCATAATATCATCAATCTTTATGAAATTTCTTGTCATCTGAAAGTGTCTATTGAAAAGCTGACTTGTATGGATAAAACTTTCAAAATTTGTTTATCGGAAGTGACGGTAAATCTATATATTCCCACCCTATGCAGGCGAGGCGCTGGACTGTTTAGTGTCGATCCAGGCGAGATTAGGAAGAGACGATGGAGAAATACTGGGATTGCTGAAAAGGGTTATGATGATCCAAGAGAAAGAGTTTGGTTCTTCAGCTGAAGAACTCATTGTTACTCTCCAAAAGATTATTCATTTCTTGGAAAAATTGGAGATGAAAGATGAGAAATTTAAGTTTAGAAGAAGATTAGCTTTGCTTAGAGAGAAATACAAGCAGAGTCTTAGCTTCTAGAATATAGTTATCTTACTCTCTTTAATAAGCTAAGATTAAATTAATTGATCTATATATCGTGTTTCTTGAGTTTTGTCTATTAAACATTATTGTGGTGCCAGATTCAATTTCTAATTGATGTTGTTAATTAATTATACAAAAAGTAACTGACAAATGATGCGAGAAGTCCGAGGTTTGAGGTGATTAAATTAATAAAATAATCAAATCTTTAATCACGCAAATGCTGTTTTTGTCTTGTCCCTGAAACAGATCTCTCTCATCAATCATCTCAAGAAGGAAGAAGAAGATGAGCAGTGAAGCATTGTCTTTGACGAAGAAGAAGAAGGAAGCTTTGGGATGGATAGAGTTGATCAGAGGATGGGGTTGTGTTTTCCACGAGTTTCTCTTCCAAAGATTCATGGCGTGTCATCTAAAGAATCCATTTCCTCTTCCTTCTCTCAATCACCTCACCTGCATTGTCACTGGCTCCACTAGCGGCATTGGTCGCGAAACCGCTAGGTTTGAATTAAGGAATTGGGAACAAGAAAGCTGGTTTTTGTTATGTGTAAAGGAATGTGAGATTTTGACTTCTTGTTGTGTGAATTTGTAGGCAACTTGCAGAAGCTGGTGCTCATGTTGTAATGGCAGTGAGGAATACAAAAGCAGCTCATGAACTGATTCAACAATGGCAGAAGGACTGGTCTGGTAAAGGCCTTCCTCTTAATCTTGAGGTAAATCTTATATGATCATCACATAGTATGACATCTCTATTTAGCATGTGTTTGCTTGGGACTAAAGCCTAGTCAACAATGTGTAATTCAGAAACTGTGAATGGGAAGTAACTGTTTGTGATCTAATTAGATAAGAATATTGATAGATTTTGCGGATTTTAACTATATAGTGAATGCTGATGATGAGATATACTTATGTTTCTTTTACTCAAGGCTATGGAACTTGATCTTCTCTCTCTGGGTTCCGTCGTCGAATTTTGCAATGTGTGGAACGCGCGATTATCCCCTTTGCATGTTTTGATCAACAATGCAGGCATATTTTCCATGGGAGGTTCGTTTTATTGCATTTTAGCTCTGGAAAAAATTTGAGCTTTTTCACCTTTATTGGCATGCTTAGTGTTCTGCACTTCAATGATCTGGTTGTATAGTATATTTCATATTATGACTTGTGAAATTTTGCAACTAGAATTAGTATTTCTTTCGGTGGTTTCCTTGTTCATGTTCATTTCACTATCTCAAGTGTTTGTTTTACATTCAATGAGATTTTCAGATTGCTGCAGCACATGTTGACGAAAACCAAGTAAGTTACTTCTCACTTTGATTTGTGCAGAGGAACAGAAGTTCTCAAAGGATGGGTATGAGCAGCACATGCAAGTGAACCATTTAGCTCCAGCGCTGCTTTCACTACTCCTTTTGCCTTCGCTTATACGAGGCACCCCAAGCAGGATCATCAATGTGAACTCTGTTGTAAGTATCATCATCGCTGAAACTGCCAGCTGCATAAATTTGTCATCTAGTTTTATAGTGATGTTGAAAAGTTTGAATTTTCTTGGTATACGTTCTAAACAAACTGAAACTTTGAACTTTGTATATACAGGGTTACTTCATTGCTTTTATCTCTGTGAAATTCTTCTTTGATTGAATCTAAATAAGAATAACAACGTTCTGTTTATCGTCTGAGGTTATTCCCATCTCATGCAAGATCATTGTTTGTTGGGTTTACTCTTTTGGTAGATGCACTATGTTGGTTTCGTTGACCCGGATGACATGAATGTTGTTTCTGGGAAACGAAAGTTTACAAGCCTCGTTGGATATTCTGGCAGCAAGCTTGCACAGGTGAGAACTTACACAAAACAGCATTCAATACTTTTTTTCTTTTGTTCTTGATCTCAGAAACTAATGGATTTACTTTCCCTTCAATTTTATCTGGTCAGGTTATGTTTAGCAATGTTCTCTTGAAAAGGCTGCCACTAGAAACTCGCATTAGCGTTGTTTGTTTATCCCCAGGGATTGTCCTAACAAATGTTGTGAGTATTATTGAAGTCTCACTTCATTGCTTGTTCCTCATAACTTATATCGCATTAAACGAAATATCCAATTATGCAGGCGAGGGATCTGCCGAGATATGTTCAAGTTCAATACGCGTTGATACCTTATTTCATCTTTTCGCCTCAAGAAGGTTGTAGAAGCACACTTTTCTCAGCGACAGACTGTCAGATTCCAAAGCATTGTGAAAAGCTAAAAACCGACGATAAGCCCATTTGTCCATTCATATCTCAAGATTGCAAGCACACAAAGCCTTCAGAAGAAGCACACAATGTAGAAACAGCTAACAGAGTCTGGGAAAAGACGATAGAGCTGATAGGTCTTCCTCTTGATGCACTGGAGAGGCTTATAGAAGGAGAAGAGGTCCAATGCCGGTATGGGACTCATCAACAATAAGTATTTCTCACAAGTATCTCTCTTCTTTCCTCCAATTTGTACTTGTTAGAAAGCCTCTAGAATTTGACCTCAAAGCTGCCTAATTACACTACACTACACACATTCTAAACGATGAAGGATGAGATCTTAGGGAGTATAGCTTTCATATTATTTTCTTCAGCAATGTGGTGGTGCTTTGAGAAAGGACAAAATTGCTTTCTTTGTTGGTTACAAGAAACTTTAATGGTGGTGTAGAAAACGTTTTTTGTAACTTATTTTTACTGTCCACAAAATTTATCTGAATTGATGTTCTTATGAATATTTAAGCTTCTTTTTATTCTTAAATCTTAAGTATATGCGAGCCTTTCAAGACTCCAATGTCAAAACTCTTATAATACACGTAAATTGCTACAGCCTTTAAATACAATTCAACTACTCAAAGCAAACACAACTATATACAAGAATTGGTATGAATAATGAATTGTGTTATATTTATTTTTGAGACATCTTGATATCTTTTTCTTTGAAACTATTCTGTTGGATTAAATCTTTAAAAAACATCATAGAAATTAAATTACGTGCATATTAGCAAATACAATCAATCTTATATATTGCCATAAACTCACATTTATTATAACAAGAAGTCAACAAATAAATAATCTCTATAACGTGACAATAGAGTGAAAAAACAATAAGACATATTAAACCAAAAAAAAAAAAAACAATAAGACATTCAAGTCGAAGTATTTTCTACGTATTATTCAAAATTTCTAACCAAAAAACACACATGAAAAAGGCGGGTTCTCATATAGTAACATTAAAGATAATGGTCAATTAATGACCAACTAAATATATTGTAACCATTTTCAAAAAAAAAAAAAAAAAAAAAAAAAAACTAAATATATTGTAATTGTAACGGTTGGAACGAGGTACGTATACCACCAAGTCCGAGGCGTCACAGACTTCACAGGCTTTATCATGTTTATTGATTATCAAATATTTAACCCTTTTTGTCTTTCTCTATATGTGTTGTGAACTCTGGAGAGAAGAAGAAGAGTAGTGAAACGGTGTCGTTGAAGAAGATGAAGAAGAATGATGGTTTAGGGTGGATTCAGTGGATTAGAGGATGGGTTAATGTTGTGGTAGAGATTCTTTTGCAGAGAATAATGGCTTCTCACTTACAAACTCCATTTCATCTTCCTTCTTTAAACCACTTGACTTGCATTGTCACTGGCTCCACTAGTGGCATTGGCTCCGAGACTGCTAGGTTCCAAATCGAAAACAAAAACTTTTCTTTAGCTTCTCATCATGATGTTGTTTTTGATTTTTTAATTGTTGCATGTGATTTTCCTGTGAATCTTATAATGTATAATTTGTTGTGTGAATTTTGTAGGCAGCTTGCAGAGGCTGGTGCTCATGTTGTTATGGCGGTGAGGAACATAAAAGCAGCTCATGAGCTAATTCAGCAATGGCAGACCAAGTGGTATGCTAGTGGTGAGGGATTCCCACTTAATATTCAGGTAAAATTTTTGATTAATCTTTATAGTACATTTGATCATTTTTCAATTATTTCAAAAATCTAGTGAACATTTTAAATTAAATTTATGCTTTTAAAGAAATTAAGGATCCAGTCTATAATTATTAAAAATATTAAATAATTTTATCGTATATAAGATCTTGTGATTCACCACTTTTCTTTAATACATATGTTCTCTCCGATTCACAAAAATGTCGGTTTAGAGTAATTTTTCGTTTTGTAACCTTCGTATTTATTTTTTTGATAAGAAAATATTCTACTAATCCATCAAATTTATTAAAAAAATTGAATAAAAATATATGAAGAGAACTTTTTTTTTGTTTCAACTTCTTTTTAAAATTTTCTGGAAAGTGTCAAAACGATCCACTAATGGATAGAGTTGTATAGCCATAGGTCATGAAATTCTATTTAGCATGTGTAGCTTGGAGTAACTAAATATAGCAAGTCAAAAATTAGATTTCATTTCAGTAAGATTCATGTGCATTTTGTAGAGAAAATGCATGTTATAACTTATAAGAACTACTACTAGTGATTCCTCTCTAATGTTTAATAAAAATGTTAAGATTCATCCCTCTCCAATTGATTGGATAAAAGACAATAAGTTTTACGATATCTTACACGACATCCGAATTGCTAACAGTGATACTATGTTTGTTTGTTTTTTTCAAGGCAATGGAACTTGACCTTCTCTCTTTAGATTCCGTCGTCAGATTTAGCAATGCGTGGAACGCACGGTTAACCCCTTTGCATGTTCTGATTAACAATGCCGGCATGTTTGCTATGGGAGGTTAGTTTATATTTTATTTACATGCATTTTAAAGCTATAACCATCAAGACCTCTTTGACAAAGAAGGAAAAAAACAGCAAAATTGGTTGGCATGTTGATTTTTGCAGGGGCACAAAAATTCTCAGAAGATGGATATGAACAACACATGCAAGTGAACCATTTTAGCTCCAGCTCTGCTTTCACTACTCCTTTTGCCTTCGCTTATCCGAGCTTCCCGGAGTCGAATCATTAATGTCAATTCTGTTGTAAGTTTCATCAATCATCAAATCAAAAAGTTCATTGGTTATCTCTATGAAATTATGCATTGTTTTTGGATTTTCGTTTATGTAGATGCATTACGTTGGTTTTGTTGATCCAAATGATATGAATGTTGTTTCTGGTAAACGAAAGTTTTCAAGCTTGAGAGCATATTCTAGCAGCAAACTTTCTCAGGTAAACTTATATATATATATTTTTAGATAAATTTGAAAATGTTTCTATAATCTAAAACGTTTTCTTGTTTTTTGTTTAATTTGTCAGGTTATGTTTAACAATGTTCTTTTCAAAAAACTGCCTTCGGAAACCGGCATTAGCGTCGTTTGTTTATCTCCTGGTGCTGTCCAAACTAACGTCGTAAGTACGAGTACACTAACTTTTTAGTTATGTGTAATTTGCAAAAAAAAAACAATTATGAACATTTTTGACATGTCTCAAATTTCTACAGACAAGAGATCTTCCAAGAGTGATCCAAGATCTTTACTCTGCCTTGCCATACTTCATCTTTTCGCCACAAGAAGGTTGTAGAAGCTCGCTTTTCTCGGCGACAGATCCTCGAATTCCACAGCATTACCAAAAGCTAAAAACGAATGAGAAATCAGTTTGCACATTATTCATATCTCAAAATTGCAAACCAACAAATTGTTCTGAAGAAGCTCACAATGTAGAAACAGCTAACAGAGTTTGGGATAAGACATTAGAGTTGATTGGTCTTCCTTCTGATACAGTGGAAAGGCTTGTGGAAGGACAAGAGGTTCATTGTCGTTAGGCAACTCATTAATTAAGAGCAAATGTTTCGTTATTTATTTGATGAAAAAAAAAAAAAAAAGTCGCAACAATATTGTAAACTAATAACGTAATTTCATGGCCATTTATGGGCTTACTCCAGGCCTAAACTAAATAAAGGCCCATCGTTTGATTTTAGTTGTATATACAATAGAGGGAGGTTATGTCCCAAACCAGTATAAATAATTAACAAAAACTACCAATAGTTGACGACAACCAAAAAAAAACAAAAACCCTTGTTCGGACCTAAATTGAAGAATATCTTTCGAGGGTCGGAAACTCTTGAACTCGCTCTTCTCAACTTTAACTATGGAAAAATCCTCCGTCAAAGTAAATCTTCTTCTCCTTAATGATATATTTCTTCTTACTTATTCTTTGCATAATTTTGTATTAGAATTTCTAATTAGATCTTTTGTACCCTAGGGTCAAAAATCGCTGGAATGGAAGTTGACAAATAGGTAAATTCATTTATTTTTTTGTACTTTTTCGTTTTTGTGGGAACTAGATTTTCTCATATGTTGATAATATTTTCTCATGCAATCAAATTGTAGGCTTTGCACGATTTCCGTTGAGGGATATGACACTTCGCTTCATGAGTATCCTCTCAAGCTCGCGTTGAGAAAGCACTTCGCTTCATGCGGAAAGATCGCATGTATGTTTGTTCCCAAAGAATTTCAAACGGGTATCCTCAAGAGTCCTCTCTTCATTTATTTTTGGGGAAAAGATACGAGAGACAAGGCATTACAACTTAGTGGAAGTGACGTGGGAGGTTGGAATGTAGTCGTTAAGCCAGTACCGCGGCGGAAAGATCATAGAGATCCTGCGGGATTCAACCGCTTCGAAGGAGCACGCGAGTAAGTTGATTAATATAATCATCTACTGTTTGATGTGTTCTTGAATGTGAATTTGTGATCATACTATATAATATTCTCTCCTGCAATTGAATTTTATAGGTTGATCGTTAAGGTATATGATTTACCTTCTTCGGTGGGTAAGATTGATTTCCAGATCGAGCTGTGTAAACATTTCTCTTCATGTGGAGAGGTCACTGTTAGAGTATATATCAAAAATGTAAACATTCCTTTTACATTTACCCTAGATACGATCTCTTGTAACCTATATATACTCTTGATAATGTATAGCAAAGGGTACGGAGTTTACCTTCTTACATGGTATCAGACGCTTAACCCTAGCCCCCAAGCTAAAGCGATCGATCCTCTCCGCTCTTTTTCCTCTTCTTCATCTTTCTCTTCTTTAATATTTCTTCTCTGTTCATCTTTGTGTCGTCATGACCAATTCAACTTCTCCTTCCACCAATAAAAAGCCCTTCTCCATCTCTCAGATTAAGGCATATATTCCCATCACCCTTGATATGAACAAGCTTAACTATCAAGCTTGGCGAGAACTCTTTGAAACTCACTGCACATGTTTTGGAGTTCTCGGCCATCTCGATGGCACCTCTTCTTCTACTCCGGCAACTGCTAAAGAATGGAAGGAACATGATGGATTGGTTAAGATGTGGATTTACGGTACCATATCTGAATCTATCCTTGACACTGTTCTCAAAACCAAAGCCACAGCTCGTGACTTATGGCTATCAATTGAAGGTCTTTTTCGCGACAACAAGGAGGCCCGTGCTCTGGAACTTGAAAACGAGCTCCGCACCACTGTGATTGGCGATCTCACCGTTCACGCTTACTGTCAAAAGCTCAAAACAATCTCTGATCTCCTTGCTAATCTCGACTCTCCTGTCTCCGACCAAGCTTTGGTACTCCATCTTCTCAACGGCCTATCTGACAAGTTTGATAACATCATCAATGTTATTAAACACAAATCTCCATTCCCTGGTTTTCTCGAGGCTCGTTCGATGCTCACCATGGAAGAAAAACGGCTCTCCAAACAAATTCCGTCGACGCCCGTCACCAATAACGACGCCTCCTCACCAGCTCTCCTCTACACGTCCTCTGATCACCATCGCCAATTTAACAACAATAACAACAACGGCTACAACAACAATGGCTACAACAATAACAATAACAACAACAACAATGGCTACAACAACCGTGGTCGTGGTCGTGGTCGTGGCGGACGCAACAACCGTGGCAGAGGTCGATACGGTAACAATTGGCCACCGGCGTACCACTCTCCGACCTGGCAAATTGGAAACCCGTCATGGCCATCGTATTTTCCATCCCCTGCGGCAATGGTGTACCCAAATCCTCAATTTTCAATGGGCTCCAATCAACACTTTCAGGCCCATAACAACAATAGCTTGCAACCAAGTCTTCTTGGGCCTCCACCCACTCGGCCCACTCATGAAGCCCACATGATTCAAGCTATGCCTTCACCATCGTCTCCATATTTCTTCCCTGCGAGCATAACTCATGCCTTTAACACCATGGCACTTGAGGACCCAAACAATTCTCCTTGGATTATGGACTCCGGAGCTACCAATCACATCGCCTCCAACTCAGGTACTCTTCGCTCCATTTTTAATTCGAGTCATCTACCTTCTGTTACTGTTGGAAACGGATCACGGGCACCTGTTACGACACTTGGTCAGGGAATTCTAAACACAAATTCTCGTCCTTTTCATCTACATAATGTCCTTGTCTGTCCATCAATGATCAAAAATCTTATTTCTGTTCGCAAATTTGTGACTGACAATTTTTGTTCTCTTGAATTTGACCCGTTTGGTTTCACTATTAAGGATCTGCAAACTCGGGCCAATCTACTCCGATGTAACAGTCCAGGACCTCTCTATTCCTTCACTCCGTCTTCTTCAAATTCTAGTCCTATTGTTTTAGCTGCTTCCGCAAACACTAGCTCTCTTTGGCATCGAAGACTCGGTCATCCCAACGATCAAGTTCTTCAACGCATTCTCTCATCTCTTTCTTTGTCTTGCAATAAGGCTGACTTGACAACTTTGTGTCAAGCATGCCAACTAGGTAAACACACTAGGCTCCCTTTTGTCTCTTCTACTAGCATTGTTTCTCGTCCTTTTGAGATTATTCATTCCGATATTTGGACTTCTCCGGTTTTAAGTGTCAGTGGAATTAAATACTACCTAATTTTTCTTGATCAATTTACTCATTTTGTATGGGTTTATCCACTTCATCGAAAAAGTGATACGTTTAGCAAATACCTTCACTTTTCTAAGTATGTGCAGACGCAATTTTCTTGCAAAATTAAAGCTCTACAGTGTGACAATGGGGGAGAGTATGATAATCACACATTCAAAGAATACTTGGCGTCCGAAGGCACCACCTTTCGCTTCTCTTGCCCATATACGTCCCAACAAAATGGTCGTGCTGAAAGGATGCTTCGCACCATCAACAACGTGGTGCGCACGTTTCTCATACAAGCTATGATGCCTCTTACATACTGGGTGGAGGCTCTCAATGCTGCAGTTCACACTCTTAACTTGTTGCCATCATCAGCCATTGCCAATGACGTTCCATACACCAAACTATTCAACGTCACGCCGAACTACACTCATCTCCGGACGTTTGGATGTTTATGTTATCCTAATATTATCGCCTCCACACCGCACAAGCTTGCTCCACGGTCAACTTCATGCGTCTTTCTTGGATATCCAACTGACCATCGCGGGTTCCGGTGTCTCGACTTGACAACTCACAAAATCATACTCTCCCGGCATGTCACATTTGATGAGAGTTCCTTTCCTTTCGCTACTGTTCACTCTCCATCTGTAAGTATCTCTCCCTCTCTTTCACTTCCGCCACCGCCACCTATTTCTCCACTTACTATAACTCCACCTACTGCTCCTCCGCTTCCTCCTATTATTTCTCAAACTTCTTCTCAAACTCAACCTCACTCCTCTTCTACTCATCCTATGACAACTCGCAGTAAAAGTGGAATCGTTAAACCACGCACTCCATTGTGCCTTCACTCTGATGTCACAATTTCTCCCTTACCTATGTCACATGTTCAGGCTGCTAAGGATCCATATTGGAATCCTGCAATGAAAGAAGAGTATGATGCTCTTATTAAACGTGGAACGTGGAGACTTGTCCCACGACCAGTTGCTACTAATATTATTCGTTCTTTGTGGTTGTTCAGGCACAAATTTAATGCAGACGGGATTCTCTCTAGATACAAAGCTCGACTTGTGGCGAATGGAAAATCTCAACAACCGGGCATTGACTGCGATGAAACATTCAGCCCTGTCGTGAAGCCCGCCACCATTCGCACAGTCCTCAGCGTTGCTACGTCTCGTGATTGGCCTCTTCATCAACTTGATGTCAAAAATGCGTTTTTACATGGAGATCTTGAAGAGACGGTCTATATGCATCAACCCCCTGGCTTTGTTGACGCCTCAAAACCGGACCATGTTTGTCTTCTTCAACGCTCTCTTTATGGCCTTAAGCAAGCTCCACGTGCTTGGTACAATCGGTTTGCCACATATGCTCGTACTATCGGTTTCAAACAGAGTTCCTCTGATGCCTCGCTATTTATACTATGCCATGGTTCTGATCTTGCATACCTTCTCCTATACGTTGATGATATTGTTCTCACGGCTTCGTCATCTACTCTTCTCAACCGTGTCATTTCCAGTCTCAGTAAGGAATTTGATATGACGGACCTTGGAAATCTTCATCATTTCCTCGGTATCTCTGTTCACCGTAATGATAAAGGACTCTTTCTCCACCAGCAAAATTATGCAGCTGATATACTTCACCGCGCCATGATGACCAATTGCCACCCTTGTCTCACACCAGCAGATACTAAGACAAAACTTGATGCTACTAATAGCCCACCTGTCTCGGACCCGTCTCTATATCGTAGCTTAGCAGGTGCGCTCCAATATCTTACATTTACTCGTCCGGATATTTCATTCGCAGTCCAACAGATATGCTTGTTTATGCACGATCCTCGTGAGCATCACTTCTCAGCACTTAAACGGATTCTTCGATACATCAAAGGCACCATTCGACATGGCATTCATCTTTATCGCTCTACTACTACGGGTTTGGTTGCCTACTCAGACGC